TATGTAGCTGTCCTGGGTTGGTTGTTTCAATACTCAAAGGGTCTTGTTAGACTAAAGTAAAACAACATCGTAGGTTGGGGGTGTGGATGGTTCTGATAGTGGTTCTCTCAAAGGTGGTCTAGGCTTTCTGTCGCCCATCTGACTATAGTGCCGGTAATCTTCTCCACACCTTCATGACCTTTGACCTTCAGGGCTGACCCAGGGACCTAACGATTCGGAAACGAATACCCCCAGGGTGGTAAGGGTGAGGGGTTCCGGTATCTGGCATGAAAATATTGTGAGAACCGCTGATCTAGTATGTAAACAATGCCATCATTCTGTTTTCCTGAAATCTTGATATAACCTTATAATAAATCTTGACTTTAACTCTATGCTGGGGGGGGGGGGGTCATCTCGCGAGAAAAAAGGGCTACCTTACATGAAATGAATTTTTAAAAATTGTGTGCACCCAAAAGATACAAGTTTCAGTTTTTTGTTGATAACAGCCGTAACTACAGTTCTTGTGTCGAACTTCTAGAAGCTGAAGATAAAAACGCGGGAATTGAAAGCGGTCTATTTTTAGCAACTGAAGCTGCTCGGAGGCTGACGAAACGTCGAGCCTGATTGGATGACGCGGCCATTTGCATTTTTTCTTTATTTTTTTTAACCGTACCTGCCTGTCAAGTGCTATCTCTTTCAGCAGAGACAGGGCATCATTGCAACCCGAATTTTCATGACAACCCTGTTGATACAGGGCGGATTGTCTTACAACCCGATTCATTGTTATATTATATATATATATCTTAACATGCACATTTTCATAACACGTCTCGATCGATTCAATAGCTGGCTTGTTTCCCTTTTCCACAACTGCTTTACCTCCCCTTTCCACAAATAGAATCTTATATTTTCTATAACTACAATACAATCAATTCTCCCTGTACAAAATTTAACTCGCTATATTCAGTTTTGATCAAAGTAATCATATTTCTACGATTTTAACCTAGAATTTTAAACTCCGTTCAATCCTAATACTACACAGTTAAAAAAAAAAACGAAAGATACGTGAACTTGCTCCTCAGTTCTTTTTTTCAACGTGTTTAAATATCGTATTCTTTCGCGCGTGCCTCCGCCACGATTGAAGCCGTCACCGTCTCTGATTGTTTGACCAACTAATTAGATCAGATTCAACGTTTAAACATGAGATAACAGTAAATGACACGAGCTGTGATAAGCGCCCGGGTGTAGGGAAGATAAAGCGAGGTGTTTTAATTACTAAATGTGGCCTGAATTGTCTTCACCACACTGGGTGGTGTTGGATTAGTGAAGGGTTAGTTGACGGTGTTGGAGATTGTTTCTGTTTTATTATAGCAGGGGGTGTAGTCGGAGTGGGTAGGTGGTAGGTAACGGGTTCCTACCTGTCTTAAAGTTGTTGAGTAGGTCTGAAGGTTGATGGGAGAAATTTTTCCTGAAGCGCGGTTTATTTGAAATCTTGGAGCATATTTTGGAATGAGGGTGGGGGGGGGGGGGTGCTTGATTTAAGGTTCGAGTCCATGACCGGTTATGGGATGGCGTGGTCGGACGATAGAACGGTTGACTGCCAACCTGTAAGATTCGAGTTCGAATTTCATGAGTCGACTCAGTTCTGCCAAGTACCTAAAGGTAGGGAAAGTAAGGACGCCTTTTTTTTTCATACGCCGAGGTCAGAGAAACAGGCGAACTCTTCTTCATCTGCCCCACGGACCGTTATGTTCGAAAGAGATTTTTTTTTCATCCAGGCAGGTCTCGAAATCATTGACATTTTCCTTTCATAAAAATGAGGTTTGTTGTAATGCAGTATAGAGGCATGCATGTAAAGTAACATCCATGTTATTTGTTGATATAAAGTAACATGGCCACCTTATTTTCGCCAATTGCCATCAAGGTGTGTAGACCCATTCAGCCGAGATACGGTTTGGGTGAGAAAGTGACCTTTGAACCACAGGGGTCAAAGCGAGTAGTCCCCTTAGGCTGAGTGCTCTACTGAACATGTATGCCCGTGTTGTGGTTTGGGCTCTATCGACTATTGACGTCATCCCACCAATCAATGCGATATCGAGTGTTAATTTCATATTGGAAATCAATGCCATGTGAAGTCTCTAATTACTTTATACATATCTGCCTCTGGACGAATTTTAATTTTAAGGAATTCAATTGGTAAAAAAATACAATTGAAAGTAAAAAGTAGTAAATAAATAATGGCAATCCACAAACGATTGAATTATAGCTACAGGCGTACATGCAGTTAATGAAAACAATGGGTAGGGGGGTGCAGTGGACGCTATGGGGGTATCGATTAAAATATATATGTGTTGGCTGGTACCAAATTGTTGATTCTTAAGTAAGCATGTTGGCTGGTATTATATTGTTTATTTTTAAGTAAAATGGTAACTTGGGTGCTTATTAAAGGGGCTAAGGTGACTAGGACTAGTTACGGAAACCCAAGGGGTTAATCTAAGATATTGGGGATGAGCAGGCCAGGGGAAATCTAAAATTTAATTAAATGTTATTGGCTCACTCTGGTCGTTAAGGGCTACGAGCTCTATGCAGGTGCATGAGTGGCACGTAATGCTGGGAAGACACCCGCGGTGATTTATGTCTAAAGTTGAGTTCGGACATGCCGCTGGACGTCCCGGTAGAATCATTACTCATGATCTCTGTTGTGGTCAGTTGTCAGGTGTGAAACGCGGCGGGAGTGCCGCGTGGTCGTGCGTTAGCTCGAGCGGTGTATGACACGATCTTTAGCCCTGAGACAACGGGAAGATCTATAGCGGTCAGTTATCGGGTGTTCAACGCATGGGTGCATAGTGACCGGTGTTATCTCGAACGTCGAGAGATGGTACGGAGCCCAACTCGGGTTCTATAGCTCTAGGGAGATGATAAGGGGGGTGAGACTAACCTATATATGAGGAAGGGCGACTATGTTGAGGTCTCTTTCTCTGACAGACACATAGGCTAGACACCATGGTCTAGGCCTCGGATGGTGGCAGCCTTATGGCTGGCCACTAAGGCTGGATTATTGGCCAAGCCGATGTTTTGTTGCTGTACATATGTGCTTCGTTCCAGATATTTACATATGTGACCTATGTTTATACATGTGGCCAATGTTGTACCAGTGGCTGGAAATCTTCCTGCCGTGTAGATATGTTCTTCGTTCCAGTGGCCATTATCTTTGTGGCCCGATGTTTGTACCAGTGGCCAGATGTTTTATTCCAGTGGCTGGAAATCTTCCTGCCGTGTAGATGTGTTCTTCGTCCAGTGGCCATTATCTGTGTGGCCCAATGTTTGTACCAGTGGCCCAATGTTGTATTCTGGTGGCTGGAAATCTCCCTGCCGCTTGAGTATCGAGCTAGATTTTTGGGAGTACTGATGAGTATTCATAGATGAACTTTAACCGTGTTTGATTAGTGAAATCAGAATTAGTGATGATAACATTTACCCGTGTGATTCTGGGATTACATAACAGTGTAAGTAGTAAAGTTAGAACAAGAGACGATGACATTTACGTTTTTGAATTTGAGATTACATAGCAGTACAAGTGAAATTAGGACTAGGAAGAATAACTTTGACAAGTGTGATTCTGAGATTACATAAGCAGTGCAAGTATTTAAGTTAGGGCTAGAGGATATGGCATTTACATGTGTGAATCCTGAGTTGTGTAAATGTAGGTTTGCTATCCACATTTATATGTGTTTTCGATGAATTAATGTCAGTAACTACGGTGAATAATTCCACATCGAAATGTAAGTTTGATTATTTTTGTCCTTTTGACTTGTATTAGAAATTCAAGTGATGTTTTCTTGAATATGAAAGACTGGCCAGGTCTTATTCGTATTGTGTTTTTGCTTTTGACATATAAACCTTTGTGACGTCAAACAAAGATAAATAAATGCATATTATGTGTGTTTACTATGTTTTATTTTTAGTTTAATATTGGTGTTGTTTAGGATTTTAATTAGTTTTGTTCAGGTCTTATTAGACCCCTTTGTCACCACGCAAGGGTGCACGGATGAGTGAATAAGATCACCTTTTCGGTTTAAACCCCCCTAACATATGTAATTAAAATTTTTATATATGTATAATGTATATATAAGGACTATAACAATGTCAACGTGCTTATTAACATGGTGTCAAAATGTTTACTTTATTGAGGCAGACGCACCGTTAAATTATTTACAGCGAGGTAACTTAAAAGTAAGAGACGGTGTTAACGTTGAAATGAAGAAAGGTTGCGGTATGGGTGTAAAAAATAGCAGGGAAACAAAAACCAGTTTGCGATGATCAGCCTATGATGTACACTCTCATCCTTCACCTTGTAGAGACACGACTGACGCTGAGTGTGATTTATGACATTGTTTTATTACAGCGGTCAGGTTAGGTATTCTGGCTTCAGTGGTTCTAAATCTGTTTTATTACAGCGGTCAGGTTAGATACTCTGGAACCAGTGGTTCTAAAACTATTTTATTTCAATTTCTAGGTTAAGACTCTTGGCTTCAACAGTTTTAGCAATAAACACTGCAAACTCAGTGTAGAAAACACAGCTTTGCAATAGACGTTGTATAGTCTGTAGGTTTGGGTCGTGCTTTTTTTTAAAATCTGGTCATTTTAATTTAGAACCGCTGAGTCGAAACATCGCCTAAAACAAAAGTGTGTGTAGGGGGTGGGGGGGGGGGGGGTTGAATGGAATTCTTGAACATTGTTTCAAGTAGTAGTCGACATAGTTACTGCAGTATAGCATTGTTTCAAGTAGGCCTACAGTTACTGTACTACGAACATTGTTTCAAGTAGGCCTACAGTTACTGTACTACGAACATTGTCTCAAGAAGGCCTACAGTTACTGTACTACGATCATTGTATCAAGTAGCCCTAGTGACAGTTGCCGATACAGTCACTACAACACGAACGATAACCGGGGGTGCTGCCCATACAAGATAACTCTACCTGTGCCTACATAATGAGATGGGACCAAGGCACGCATTGATATACACCTCAGGCCGTCACTCTACCGCTGTCAGTCCGTTGTGACAGAGCCTAGGACCCATGAAGGCATTCAGGCTAAAGGTGATACTAGTGATAGCGACAATAGGATTCGTTTTATTCTTTCAGCACTGTGGGATAATAGTTTTATAATCACTTTTGTTTTTCAGCGCTGTGGAATAATGCATTTTATAATCAGTTATTCTGTGTCAGGACTTTGGAATTATAGGTTTATAATCAGTTTGTTGTTTTTTTCCCGGCACTATGGAATAAGCCAGTTTTATATCAGTTAACACAATGGGATAGTGCAGTTTTTACGTCAGGTTTGAAAATCAACACCATGGAATATTGCAGTTTATAATTAGTTATTCTTTCAGCCCTGTGGGATAGCACAGTTTATAATCACTTATTCTGTCCGCGCTTTGGGATAATACAGTTTTAAAATCACTTATTCTGTCAGCGCATTGGGATAATACAGTTTTAAAATCACTTATTCTGTCAGCGCATTGGGATAATACAGTTTTAAAATCACTTATTCTGTCAACACTATGGGATAATACAGTTTTATAATCACTTATTCTGTCAGCGCATTGGGATAATACAGTTTATAATCAGTTATTCTGTCAGCACTATGGGATAATACAGTTTTAAAATCACTTATTCTGTCAGCACTATGGGATAATACAGTTTTAAAATCAGTTATTCTGTCAGCACTATGGGATAATACAGTTTTAAAATCAGTTATTCTGTCAGAACTATGGGATAATACAGTTTTAAAATCACTTATTCTGTCAGCACTATGGGATAATACAGTTTTAAAATCAGTTATTCTGTCAGCACTATGGGATAATACAGTTTTAAAATCAGTTATTCTGTCAGAACTATGGGATAATACAGTTTTAAAATCAGCACAATGGAATAATAGTTACCAAATCAGTTCTGATAAATCCCAGGAGTAATACAGTTTTAAAATCATTTGTTCTGATAGACGTAGGGGATAAAACAGTTCTGTAATTAGATTTGGTGGTGTCGTGTTTTTGTGCAGTGTTCAATAGTGTCGGCTGAAGCGGGAATGAGGAAATCGGTATTGGATTAAACAGATAAGGTGCGCCTGTCAATCTCTGCGTGTTAGACAAAGGTCTAGAGCCCCATTCGCGATATCTTATTCTGCTGTTTAAAGTCGCCGGTCTATTAGTTACCTGATGTGTAGGTTTTATTCAGGAGTGATGGAATACGTTTAACCAGTAATAGACCTGATAATTAAGTATTGACAATCAAGTATTTTGTTCAACGCTAAAAAAATTGTGAATTTGCGGACACTTCCCTTTCTTCCCCCCCCCCCACACACGAATTCCTTACCCCCCCCCCCCTCCTCACCTCCCCACGAATGTCTTAACCCCCTCGTCCGGTCACATCAGTCACTTCCCCGGCCCTTCAGTGCCTGACGTCATCAATGGGCGACTACTCCAGCGGTCCAGATTTTTAACATTCAAGCTTGGGTGTCGTGTAACCTTAGACATATATGGGATCGTGTATATATTATAACAAAAATGTAACATTTAAGGACCCCCCCCCCCCTCCCCTTTTCACCCCAATTATATAATTTCCATAGACCAACACCACTGATATTACAATAATGTTATTTTTAAAACACCCGTCTTCCTTCTCCTCATCTCTCACATCATGAAAATTCTGCTGTAATTTTTTTAGAGGGTAGTTCTTAACAGTCTGTTAGTAATAGGTTGCATTCCCTTGTACTGCCTGCATGTTAGATATTGTGTGATTGCTCAGAGAATTCACACACATACTGTTGTATGTTCCCTTGAGAAATCACTTCATTATTATTTCATAATTCATGACAAAAGGAGACAGAATTTAAATATTAATGCTTGGCTGTAACCCATTTAATGAAACATAAGACTTGTATTGTGGTAAAATCTATCTCATCAGACAGAAGACTTCACTATTGTTCTAGACATATAACTTATTTCATCAGACATAAGAACATAAGACTTAAATATTGTTTTATTAGACATAAGACTTCAATATTGTTGTAGATGTATAACTTATTTCATCACACAAGAAACTTAAATATTGTTGTAGATGTACAACCTATTTCACCAGACATACGACTTAAATATAAAGTTGTAGACATAAAACTTATGTCAGAAGAACATAAGACTTAAATATTGTTGTAGACGTACAACTTATTTCATCAGACATGAGACTTAAATATTGATGTAGACATACAACCTATTTCATTAGACATGAGACTTAAATATTGTTGTAGACGTATAACCTATCACATCTGACATATGACTTAAATATTGCTGTAGACGTATATCCTATGTCATCAGACATAAGACTTAAATATTGTCATTTCTCTCCCCAGGGGGATCACGTATGGATCGAACCAGAAAAGCCCGGGGAGTTCACTGTCTCCCTGGGTGCCAAAGTGGTCACCTCAGACTCTGGCCGGATACGACTGCTGGACGACGATGGACAGGAGCACTGGGTGGATGGGTCGCAGGTGCTACGCCACATGCACAGCACCTCCGTGGAGGGGGTGGAGGACATGATCAGTCTCGGAGATCTGAACGAATCTGGCATTCTCAGGAATCTTTTTATACGATATATGGACCACCATATTTATGTAAGTGGGTCAAAGATCACATTCAGATATTGATATATACATTTTTGGAATGTGGGTCAAAGGTGAAACCCAGAGCTGTAAATTGTAGCCATTTTTGAAAGTGTTGATACATGAAATTCTCTACCACAAAAATTAAACACACATACATGAGTGGGTCAAAGGTCAATCTAGACATAATATGTAGTCACCATATTTATGCAAGTAGGTCAAAATGTATTAAAAGGAGGTCAAGTAGTCACATAAAGTGAACTCTTGTATAGTAAAAATAAGACTTAAACCAATATATCAGTATTATAAACATGGCACACAAAATGGGCCAAGCAAATAAAACCAATAAATTCACAGATTGCAACCTTTGACCATAAGAGCATTCTGCCCACTTTTCAGTAAATAAATTCTCTTCCCTCAGCAAGAGTTCAACAGCTAAAATTAGAACAGGCTCCACATCAGCTGTTGTTAAGCATGTGGACACTGTTTACAATAGGGCTAATCTTGTTATTTATAACTTGGGTATTGATTGGCTTATTTTGGTGGCTGATTTAGATACATTGATAGAAAAAGAAAATAGCCTGCATATATGATATTTTTACACATAATTATGTGCTTACATGTTTATACATGGATGTATGCCTATATATTTATAGCCAGACTATTATAATTCCACTTTTCAAAAATGCTCACAACAAAGCTTTAAAGTTCCTTACATGTTTGTGTGTGTATTTTATAATTTAAAAAAACTTTTAATTAAGCAGAAATCCACATGCCCAAACACTCTGTACATTAGGGCAGTATGGCGTGATGTAGCTTCAAAGTTGCTGCCTCAAACTACCTTTAGAAATAGCTGAATTCTTTCCAGTTAAATAAATCAAATTTATTTGGTACTTTTGATGTTTCTTAAACTCCCTGGAAGAAAATAGGTTTAGCTATAAAATACAGAACATTGCTAGTGGTGGGAAAAAAGCTAATAAATAAATTACCAGGGTGGAATACTCCTGAGCAGGATATTTTTTGTGAACTTTTGTGTCTGTAAATATGTCTACTTCACTTTAAACTTCACAACTGAATGTTGAATTCCAATATTTCATAAGACTGGAGTAAAAATTGATGTAAACAAATCACTTAATTCTACTGTGTTAGATCACCAAATTAAAAAAATCTCTACTTTGTTTAATTAAAGAACAATTCTACATGGATAAAATTATTTCAACAACTTTTGGATTAACATGTTTCTGTTTCAAATGGATACTACTGCGAAAAGGATAAAATTCACAGAATGGATAACTTGTGGATATTCTTAAAAGCCATCTTCGTTGGATATTGCACATTGTGATTTGAATTATTGAGGATACTATTCATAGTTTCATCTGATTGGTGTTCTTCGAAGCAAACTCACATTTAATTTTGTTTTTGTTTCAAAGGTTGTGAAAGGGTTAAAATGAGATTTTATTTTAGTTATTTTATTTTTAATTTTCTTAAACACATTTTATAATTCTACCGCATCCACTCATGAAATCCTCAACATCTGACCCTTCCTCATAAAATCCTCAACATCTAACCTACGTCTCCCCATAAAATCCTCAACATCTAACCTATGTCTCCCCATAAAATCCTCAACATCTGACCTATTTCTCCCCATAAAATCCTCACCATCTGACCTAATTCTCCCCATAAAATCCTCAACATCTGACCTATTTCTCGCTATAAAATCCTCACCATCTGACCTAATTCTCCCCATAAAACCCTCACCATCTGACCTAATTCTCCCCATAAAACCCTCACCATCTGACCTAATTCTCCCCATAAAACCCTCACCATCTGACCTAATTCTCCCCATAAAACCCTCACCATCTGACCTAATTCTCCCTATAAAATCCTCACCATCTGACCTATTTCTCGCTATAAAATCCTCACCATCTGACCTATTTCTTGCTATAAAATCCTCACCATCTGACCTATTTCTCGCTATAAAATCCTCACCATCTGACCTATTTCTCCCCATAAAATCCTCACCATCTGACCTTGTCTCCCCATAAAATCCTCACCATCTGACCTATTTCTCCCCAGACCTACACTGGGTCCATCCTTGTGGCAGTCAACCCTTATGAAATCCTCAACATCTACACCACGGAGCAAATCCAGCTGTACAGGGAGAAGAAGATAGGAGAGTTACCTCCCCACATCTTTGCCATTGCTGACAATGCGTATGGCAGTATGAAGAGGTACCAGCATGACCAGTGTGTCATCATCAGGTAATTTTTTTTTACTCACCTTCTAAATGGCATGAGTAGTTGACTAGATGGGGAAGTGAGTTTTAAACTATTCCTTTTCTGTTTACTCAATGAACAAATGAGATCTAGTTTATTTTTCTTGTTCTAGGAAGCTGTTCTACAACAAATTATCAGCTGTTTTTTTTCTTAAAGCAAATTTTGCAAAAGTTTAAAAACAAAACAAATTTTTGAGACAGTCTGATGGAAAATGACTACATGTATTTGATTTAGTTTCCTGTGGTTAACCTCCATTTTGTCAAAAATAATTGTACACACTGTTTGTGGTTTATTCAATCTTTTAAATTAATTTTTTTTTGTTTTTCTGAGCTGACATTTTAATTTTTTTTAATGGTAATTTTTTTTTTAAATTGTGAGTACAATGTTATATTTGACAGAATTTAATAAGCAAAACTTCTAAGTAAATGAAAAAAAAAAACCTGTACTAATCTACAGACAGTTTTTAATTTAGCCAGTGATATAAATGATGCCCTTTAATTTTTAATTAGTATAATTTAACCAATTTCCTTCAAGTACATTAAAAGACTCAACTAACCATCACTAGCTGTGTTTAGTTCAGTGTAACTCTTCATCATCTTGACAATACCTGCTTGAAAGAGTTTCCACTCAATGGATAAATCAATCAATGTTTAATGGACAAATCTATTCCCTCACTGTTTGAGTGTTGAGCAGAATACTGTTGTACCATCGACAGTATTGATTCTTACTTAAGTACCACTACAGTCCAACAGTGATTGATGCTGCGTTATTGTTTAAATTAATGGCTTTTGTATAGACTTTAAATTGTTTAAATAGTCAGAATTTTATATAACTTTTTTAAACCTGAGAGGGATCTCATTGAAAAATGAAATGGATGTTTGTTTTGAATGTCACTAGGAATAACAATATATAATTGCTGTGGATAAGTGCAGTAAATGTAGGTTTAGGCAGTAGTAAGCGTAGTCAACCCAAAAGTCTGAGTTTGTTTCCTATCCCTGAATTCACCCAGCTTTAATGGGTACCTGACTTAAGTTAGAGAAAGTAACAGTGGCAGGACAATGGTCAATAATTAAACAGTTGGACTCTACTCCATCTGTCCTACGGACTGAGTTTCAAAAAGATATCTTTACTTTTTTGTCTTCTCTACGTAGCCCATAGAACTATTGGTTATTCCCCTTTTGTTTGTCTGTTAAGTAATAATGGTTGTAACAGTTCTTTTGCTGGAATGTCGCTTTATTATGTAAAAATGATTTTCTATACACTTGTATCCCTGTTTTGCTGCTAAAATAAAATCAAAATAATTTTTTTCTGTTTCCCACCAGTGGAGAGTCAGGCGCAGGTAAAACAGAAAGTACCAAACTTATACTACAGTTCTTGGCTGCAGTCTCAGGGCAGCATTCGTGGATAGAGCAGCAGATTTTAGAGGCTAACCCCATTATGGAAGGTTTGTCAAGTTCTAATAATTCATTTGTTTTAACTTGCAACATCTACATTTTATCCATTTTTTAAAAATGCTCCCCTCCACAAAAGAAAACTAGCTATAAACGTTCTCATTGTTTCAGCAATTTGTAATTTCTGCTTAAGCTTTTTTGTGTTCAGTTTTGTCAGTCTGTTAGTTGTATATTAGTTTATCCCTGTGTTGTGATGTTATATCACAAATATACTGGCCCATGTCAACCCTAAACTATGCATTTTAAAAAATCGTAATGCCTTTTCTCCTCAGCTTTTGGTAATGCCAAGACAATCAGGAACGACAACTCAAGTCGTTTTGGTAAATACATCGACATCCATTTCAACGAGAAAGGTGTGATTGAAGGGGCCAGGATAGAGCAGTACCTGCTTGAGAAGTCTCGTATTGTCAGCCAGATGCATGATGAGAGGAACTACCACATTTTCTACTGCATGCTGGCAGGTATGACTGCTGAAGAGAAGGCAAAGTTGGAACTACAGGGTGCTACAAGCTATGAGTACTTGATACAGGTGACCATTTCACTTTGATTTTAAAGGCAATGAGTGTAACTTGTCATTCAGCATCATCTTTTCCTGTTTGTTCCCAAGACACATGGGGCAGATAAAGTAAAATTCATGTTTTAACTACCTCCCCATACAAGTAATATTAAGGTCAGCACTATGCCCAGCTGCCCTAGTTTTTTTAAATGCGAGTCAGGTACCCATCATAACTGAGTGGACTCAGGAATGTACTGCATCTTTAGCCCAGGATCTGAACTCGAGACTTTTGGGTTAGCAGTCACTAGCTCTACCATTCAACCACACCTTTCATTGCTTAATAGTAAAACATGCTTTTGCATTAGAGAATATAGAAGATTGAAATGGCAGTTTAGTGTGTTTATCATCATGTTTGAAACGCATTTTATATCAGTTGCTATATATGATCTACTTTGTATCATAAACTTGTATGCCATTAATTCTTTGCTTTAAGTCAGATTTTGATGTCTATCATTGTAGAAAAAAATTTTGAATCACATTTTTGTATCTATCAATGTAGAAAATCAAATTTTCTTTCAATCGCATTTTAGTCTATCTAAGTACTTTAAATCATATTTTTGTGTAAATCATGGTCAATTAATCCATATTTTCCTTGTTTCTGATCAGGGTGGAAGTATTGTGTGCGATGGCAGGGATGACAAAAAAGATTTCTCAGATATTAGATCAGCCATGAAGGTGCTCATGTTCAATGACACAGATATCTGGGAGATTTTGAAGATTTTATCTGCCTTGCTTAATCTGGGCAATGTCAAATACAATGGTCAGTATGTCAATATATGTAAAGGTTATAGAATGCTACTGGACTTGTACAAAATCTATTTAAAATAGCGTCCCCAAAATATGAAATTAATCATTTTAAACAATCTATTGATGTATTTAAATTTTAAAAACTATTATTAATATTTCCATAAAGACTAAAAGGTTTTGAGTTCTTTTTTTTTTAAATGTTTACAGAAAGTTTTTTAAAATTATAATGTTTTAAAACTAGTAACATTCCTAGGAAAAATAAATATTTTAGTTTTATATACAACATGATCTTTTAAAGATTTTTTTTTCTACCTAAACCTTTAGAAATTGAGCTGGACAACATGGCAGCCACTGAAATCCAAGACATTTCTTACATCAATAAAATTGCCAGACACTTGGAGGTAAGTTGTGACCAAACTGTTCATTTTCACTTGCCACTTTGGATTGCCATTACCTTTCATTGGCTTATAAAAGATAACTCTCTGTTCAGAATATTAGCTCCCGTGCACACTGCATGGATTCATTGTGGCTTCTACATTTAGAACCACATGTGATCTGCTTCTCTTTTGTTTTTTTGGGTTGTTTTTTTTTTTCAATTTGATCTGAAAATTAACATCTGGGCTATATTGATGGTCATTTCAGACCATGGATGGTTAACTTCCCTCATACATTGTGTAATATTAAGTTGCCCAGCTTTAAATTATTTACGGTGTAAAATAAATTTGTGGACTCATTCATTTGATATTTTATGGACTGTACATTTGTATAACCATAGGCTGACCATATTTTGTGGGCTATAAATTTGTAAAATTATAGACCAAGCCTAATTTAAGGACCCATATTTTGTAGACTATACATTTGTAAAACTATAGGCTGACTATATTTTGAGGACTATGTACATTTGTAGAGCTATAGCCTGAGCAGATTTTGTGGACTGTAAATTTGTATAATTATTGACAATATGACAAGCCCTAATTATTGTCTAAAAATTTTCAGGTGAATGCCCAAGCCTTGGTGGACTCACTGACCACTAAGACCATCTTCGCCAAGGGTGAAAGTGTCACCTACACCATGAACAAGGAGCAGTCGCTGGATGTCAGGGATGCATTCGTCAAGGGAATTTACGGCCGGATGTTCATCTGGATTGTGGATAAAATCAATGCAGCCATTTACAAACCAAAAGGGGGACAGTATCGCAAGTCTATTGGAGTCTTGGATATTTTTGGATTTGAAAATTTTGACAAAAACAGGTTTTTATGCTTTTTTAAAAATATTAATTATCCAGTTAATTAAACGAGTTGTTGCTAATTTGTATATGACATTATTACAGAGGCCAGGGTTCCTTTCAGACATTTTGTTCCAGAGACATCTAAAAAACACATTACCTCTAAGAAATGTGATTTATGCTTTTATACTGGTCTTCTGCTTAGCTTGTATGCAGCATAAAATATTTTGTCTTTTAGAACCTTACTTGGTCTAGAACTAATATGCACATGATGTTGGAACTCTAAGTGTAACTGTACAGTTCACCCAGCTGAAATGGGTACCTGGCAAGCAATTTTATAGTTTACTGGTTATAAATTACTCAGGTGACCTGGTGTCTAAAGTTTACATTTGTAGATCTTTCATTACAAAACTTAACATTCACCAGATTTAACATATTTAACTTACCTATCTTCCACCCCACCCCTAACATGGAATAATTTTTCTTCCCCCCCCCCCCCCTCTTCCACCTCTCAACAACAATATCAACTTACCTTTCTTTTACCCCACCTCGAACATATGGAATAATTTACTTTTTTTCTCTTCCCCCCCCCCCCCCCCCCCCCCCCCCGCTTTGAACAACTGTATCAACTTACCTTTGTTCACTACCTCTCAGCATCTATATCAACTTACCTTTTCCCTCCCAGCTTTGAACAACTGTATCAACTTACCTTTTCCACCCAGCTTAAAACAACTGTATCAACTTACCATTCCCCCCCCCCCCCCCCTAGCTTTGAACAACTGTATCAACTTACCTTTTCCCCCCAGCTTTGAACAACTGTGCATCAACTACGCCAACGAGAACCTGCAGCAGTTTTTTGTGCGCCACATCTTTAAGCTGGAGCAGGCTGAGTACAACCTAGAGGGCATCAGTTGGCAGCACATAGAGTTTGTGGACAACCAGGACGCCCTGGACCTCATCGCTGCCAAACCAATGAACATGCTGGCTCTGATTGATGAGGAGAGCAAGTTTCCCAAGGTCAGCACTGGCTCTTCTGGTTGTACTCAGTTTTCTTAAGTTGTGTTTGTGTGTCAAAAGTCAGCACCGGCTCTTCTTATTTTACAGTTTTCTTAAGTTGTGTTTGTGTGTCAAAGGTCAAAGTAACTCACTTTTGACCCATTTCTTCTGTGTGATAGTATTTATATGTTAGTGGTCAATTTAGGTAACTCAATTTTGACCCAAGTCTTCTGTGTGTTAGTATTTGTATGTTATTGGTCAAATTTACTTACTTGACTTAGTTCCTTCCATTTCATCCGATCTCCGGCTATTAATTTTGCCGTCTCCCAAGACATCCCTGTTGGCTTCAGTTTGTGGTCAAATTAGGTAACTCAATTTTCACCCATTTCTGCAGGAGTCATTTTTTTGAAAACTTTGCACGTAAGCACATACATACAATGACAATGCAAGAAAATCTAACTTTGAACTTGTAAACATGCTCTAATTGCTGTCCATTTAAGATGTAACTAAAAGTTAACTTAAAACACTTGTTCTTATTTTTGTATGCTTAAGGCATGAATGAAAGTTTACTGAACATTTGTTTCTATTGTTGTATACTTAGGGCACAGATACAAGTTCACAAAACAAGTTACTGTTTTTGTGTTCTTAAGGTTTAAATAGGTTTACTAAATTTGTTTCTGTTGAAGGTTAACTCAACATATTTCAATTATTGTGTACTTAGGGTACAAAGGAAATTCTACTCAACATTTAATTATATTGTTGTATGTTGAAAGTCCACTCAACATGTAACTCTATTGTTGTATGTTTAGGGCACAGATGAAAGTCTACTCAACATTTAACTCTATTGTTGTATGTTTAGGGCACAGATGAAAGTTTACTCAACATGTAACTCTATTGTTGTATGTTTAGGGCACAGATGAAAGTTTACTCAACATTTAACTCTATTGTTGTATGTTTAGGGCACAGATGAAAGTTTACTCAACATTTAACTCTATTGTTGTATGTTTAGGGCACAGATGAAAGTTTACTCAACATTTAACTATTGTTGTATGTTTAGGGCACAGATGAAAGTTTACTCAACATTTAACTCTATTGTTGTATGTTAGGGCACAGATGAAAGTTTACTCAACAAACTCCACCAATACCACTCCAGTAACGCTAACTACCTGAAGCCAAAGGCTGCCGTCAACCAGACGTTTGGCCTGCAACATTTTGCTGGCATTGTGTTCTACGACTGCAAGGGTATGTTCTGTCTTTGTCAATATCCATCTCATGAATAAAAATATTTTTTTTTACTGTTACAAAATAAAAACATCGAATATCAGTTTTATAAATTATTAATATAATGAACTGTTTTTTTATTTAACACTTTCAAAGTTTCATAGAATATGATTTTATTTTATTTGCTATCAACAGTTATTTATATAAGACAATTATTTTGTTTCATAGAATATGATTTGATTTGATTTACTATCAAGTTATTATTTTGTTTTATAAATTATCAATATTATGAATTATTTTTTATTAAATGCTTTCAAAGAGTTTCATAGAATATGATTTGATTTTATTTCCTATCAACAGTTATTTATATAAGAAAATTATTTCATTTTTTTAAGGTTTCCTGGAGAAAAACAGAGACACCTTCAGTGCTGATTTGGTGCAATTAATTCAAGCCTCCAAGAGCAAGTTTATCAACACCCTCTTCAACTCAGACATCACAATGGTATGTTCATGATGAAATTTTACTGAAAAACGTAGCCTTAAACATATATCTTATTATAGTCATTTTTCCACAAAGCAAATTACTAATAATTTCTGTCACTTGTCAAAGCTGTTCTAATTCATTTCTGCCACTTGATGAAGCTTTTCTGCCTCTCTGACCACAGGGTACTGACACAAGAAAGAAGACGCCAACCCTGGCCTCGCAGTTTAAAAAGTCTCTAGAGCAGCTCATGTCCACACTAAGTACCTGCCAGCCTTTCTTTGTGCGTTGTATCAAACCTAACGAGTACAAGAAGCCTTTGGTAAGTCATCACTAATCTGTGGTTATGTTAGAGTTCTTCAAATTAGCCTAGTTTAGAAAAAGTAGTCTTTACCATTTTCTGCTCACATTTATCGGTGAAATATTATAGTTTATTTAACTATTTCATAAATATAAACACATTTATTAGATAATAATAAATATTTGATTTAACAATATTTTTAAAATATATCCCCTGTTTGAATCAATTTCACAAATATAATCCCAAATATTTTAAAAACTTAAATACAGAATTTTGAACCTTTTACCAAATACAGTATTAGCCGTTTGAATCATTTACTAAATACAGTTTGAGAATTGTATACCATTTACCAAATACAGTATGAGACTTTTGAACCATTTATCAAATACAGTTTGAGACATTTGAATCATTTACAAAATACTGTATGATAATTTGAACCATTTACCATATACAGTTAGAGAATTTGAACCATTTACCAATAAGTGTGAGAAATTTGAACCATATACCAATATCAGTATGAGAAGTTTGAACCATTTGAGGATTTCAACCATTCACCAATTCCACTTTCAGCTGTTTGACAGGGAACTGTGCTGCAAGCAGCTGAGGTACTCTGGCATGATGGAAACCATCAGGATCCGCCGTGCTGGGTACCCCATCCGCCATCATTTTGCTGAGTTTGTGGACAGGTACAGGCTGCTGGTGGAAGGCATTGGGCCCTCCCACAAGGAGGACTGTAAGTCTGCCTCTGCCAGGATCTGTAAGGCTGTACTGACCAATGCTGACTACCAACTTGGCAAGTCAAAAGTATTTCTCAAGGTAGGTTTTGTGACTAATATGTGGAGAGAAAATAATCATTGTAAACACTTCTTTTACCTAAGATCATCTATGTGCAATTACAAATCACTCACTCTTCACTTACCTAAGCTCATCTACATATTTTCTATAATAAAAAAAAGTATTTAACCAATGCTACATGCAATTACAAATCATTCATATAAATCAAATAAATAGTTTTCATCTTTTCAAAGGTCAAGCTTTAAATTTTATGCTTTATTAATTAAAAATATACAGCTTATGTTTAAGGAATTGTAAATAACATTTTTTAAATGTATTTCAAAGCTGTATAAATACTTTCTTTCTAAATCTTTGCTTTTTCCGAGACTTAGTTTTGTTCATTTGTGAAAACAAGTGTCGTGCAATTATTAGATTGTATTCAAATTTCTTAAAGGATAACAAGATATTTTTTACATTGACAGCTACAAGTATTTGCTATTACCTTTCAAAACAATTTTTTACTTAAGATTGTTTGTAGTTTGTTTTTATTTTTAAAGAAATTATTTATTTTTCAATTTTAGGACGCCCAAGATGCCTATCTAGAACAACAAAGAGAGATTACTCTAACAAAGAAGATTTTAATCATCCAAAAGATGGTCAGGTCATGGCATTACAGAAGGCGTTTCCTGAAGATGAGAAAGTGTATCGTCACCGTCCAGTCCACCATTAGAGCCTACCAGGACAGAAAGAGATTTTTAGTGGTAAGTGGTCAGATGTGTACCTTAAAAAAATGGGGACAGAAAGAGATTTCTAGTGGTGAATGGTGATGTCCTACTGTGTACCTTTAGAAAATGGTAGTTCTACCATGACAGAAAGAGATTTTTAGTGGTGAGATCCTGATGTGTACCTTAAAAACAAGTTTTGATAAGTTATTGCTACTTGTTATTGTAGTGGAATGTTAAAATACCTTTAGGGCCATGGTGTAGCCACTGTGAGTAATAAAACTATTGTTGATCTGTTGACCATGGTGTAGCCACTGTGAGTAATAAAACTATTGTTGTTCTGTTGACCATGGTGTAGCCACTGTGAGTAATAAAACTATTGTTGATCTGTTGACCATGGTGTAGCCACTGTGAGTAATAAAACTATTGTTGTTCTCCTGTAGATGAGGCAAGGGTACATGCGCCTGCAAGCTATGATCCGGTCAAGAATTCTGACTGCCAGGTTCAATGTTATCAGAGGCTGGGCACAAAATCTACAGGTCAGTACATTTCATAATGACTTTTATTTTTTGATCAGTACATTTCTTAAAGGCTTTTATTTTTTTAGTCATTTCATTTCAATTATTTAATATACTTCATAAACAATTTTCACAAGTTCATTTATATTTTCAACTATTTAATGTAATTACAAGGACTTTTTTTTGTGTCTTTTTTTCATGAAGTTTTGTTAGTATATAGATTATCAATATGGTTTATTAACTCTAGGTAATTTTTGTTAAGTTGAGTTTGTTAGATTATTAAACAGTAATTCAATAAAGTTAAGAACATAGCAATTCAAAGTAAATAGGTGTGCTTTTTTGGGGAAAAAATCTTTAGTTAAATTAAATTTAAAGTCTTACTGTAAAGAATTTGTTTCATTATATAAAATTCATTTATTTAGTGCTACTATTAAAACTTGGCTAATCTTCTTGAACTTGAAATTTTGTTTTACAGCGATATTGCCGAGGGTATCTAGTGAGGCAGTGGGTACAGAAAAGAATGATAGCAATTACTCAGATTCAGGCCTCTGTCAGGACCATCATTGCTCAGAAGAAGTTGAGGCGTCTCAAGATTGAGGTATCAACTGTTGAAGCATTTTCTGGCTGAATGGAAGTATCAAACTGGTTTACTCTAGGTCATATGACAGTTACTAGTTAGGGCTGAGTATTGCTCAAAAGTTGGGGCGTCTTTAGATTGGATTTTCAGTTGTAAAAATATTTTCTGGCTTAATGAAATTATCAAACATGTTGGGTGCTCTTCATAGCTGGGTTTACTTTAGTTAGCCTGGTGTGATATGGGGGTGAACTATGAAGAATCAGTTAACCCAATGTAGTAAGCCTGGTGTGATGTAACCTATTGTCTGATTCAGCATGAGATGAAGCTGGAAGCAGAGAGACTGAGGATGCTGGAAGAAGCAGACTTGAAGAAGAAGATGAATGCAAAGAAAGCCAAAGAGGAAGCTGAAAGACATCACCAGGTATTAATTGGAAACCATTTAATTAGTTAGGAATGTAATCACTTAATTGGCAACCATTTATATTGTCTTAATTATGTAGGAAAATAATCACCTTCTTACAGTGGTAATGGAGTTTTAATTTATTTCCTTCTAAAAAAAAAATTTCAGGCTTAAAAATGTTTTCAAAAATATATTTAATGAGAGATAACTATTAACTTTTACAAAATAATGTTATTTGTATATTGTAAGTAAAGTGATGAAATGTGATTGTTCTAAAAATTCTTAAAGATTTTACCTATATTTGCATCTACTTGCATCGTTTATACTAGGTTTATGTTATATCTATACTAAAGAAATGAAAGGTGATCATAACTTAACTTTGATAGAATAGGAATAAAAAGGGCCTTGTGAAAAAGTTCCCTTTTTAGTTTATTATAAAGTAAAACTAATTTTTCTCTAGTTATATAAAATACAGCAAATTTCTGATTTGAAGCTTAAAAACGATGTAATATTTCTGGCATCTTTACAATGCAGGAAAGGCTACTGGCTATTGAGAGGGAGGCTGTGGAAAGAGAACAGCAAATCAAGATGGGGGCCATGCAGAAGAGCAAGCAGTTTGAGGAGGCTGAACGGCGCCTCAATGACACAGTCAATGATTCTAAACTGGTAGGTCCATTTCACGTACAGCCTAACTCTTCTAACAGCTGTTGGATGCATCTTGTAATTACTTCTCAATCTTTTGCTTGGCTGAGCTATTTTGCTGGTGTTTCTATCAGCTTGGAATGAGAGTATCTACTACAAACAGGATTAAATCTATAGGTTCAGATAACTTTTTTGCCTGTATTGTTAAGTATACAAAAAACATTTCCTCCTAAAAAAGGCAAAAACTGCAAAAGTAGATTTTAGTAATTAACTTACTAATTTTTTTAAAACTTTGTTTTCTGATATTTTGTTTGCATGTTTAAAATAAAATAAAATAAAAATTTAAAAAACAAAAACCCCATGCATGTTTCTTTTAACAGTTAAATAGTTTCTGTAAATCAAATTTTTTAAGTAGTTTCTTTTTAAATTAAATTTTATAGCCTTAAAAATATCAAATATTCTCACAAATTAAGAATTGAACATTTTAATTAAAATTTTAACTTCACAAATGAAAGCTTTTCTTGCCTGTTTAAATTATATAATTTGTTTCATAAAAATAATTTTTGTGTGTAGTTTGCTTAAAAGCAATTTTTTAACTAAACAATTAGGCTTACTATTGATTTAACAACCTAAAACAGATTTTTTTTTGTCTAAATTTTTTAGTTGTGTAGTGTAGTTTTGCATTTTACTTAGTTGAAATTTTTTAACTACTTTAAAAATGTTTTTTTTTATATTACAATTTATCAGTGGATAGAATTTTTTTTGTTTTAATTTATTTTCACTTGCCTTTTTTTTCTGTTCTTCATTTTGTTTGTAGGAGGTTGATTATGATGGCATGGTAAGACTTTTGCTACCCTTCCCCACCCATTTTTACTGCCATAGATCTATATTACATGAACAGCCTATGCAAAGCTATCTCGCCCCAAAAGTTCATATTTTTGTTGTACTATTATGATATATTGGTATAGAGGTTATTTGGACAAGTGTTGTGTATCTATACTCATAAAAAAATGTGTATCAGTTACTTTGAATAAGAAATTTGTATTTACAGGTGCTAGGTATTTTATAATTTTTTTGGAAAAATGTATGTTGTAAACTTTTGAAATTTTGTTTTTGGTTGTTTTTTTATTAAATGTTTTTTTAGTTTATTACTTTTTCTAAACATGCAAAGAAAATTTAAACTGACCACAATATGCAAAGAAAACTTAAACATTACTTTAAAGCAAACTAACATTAAATTAACAACTTTCTTGTGGTCAGTTCTTTTTCCTTTGCTTGTTTGTAATGGAAAATTATTTTTTCAAGTTCCTACTAATTTTTGAATATAAGTTTTTGATTACTGATTTAAAAAAATCAGTATAACAAATTGGTACTCTGGTGGTTCAATAGTAATTTTTTTTATTTTTGAAGCCTAGATTTGGATTTAAAATAATTTGAGACTATTTTAAAGGTTGTTTGTCTTTATTGGGTTATTTATATTCGTTGTTTTATGTAGTTCTGGGAGTAGAGTTATCTGCCCGTTATTTTATCCAATGGTAACTCACAATTGTGACAATGTTTAATGCTTCAATATTCACTCTTTAATAATAGTTTTCTACTTTCTGCAATGGTACCTTGAAAGTAATTTTACAGCAATAAAACTAAACGCCATAAGAGTTTTTTTTAAGTGATTACTCACATAATTGCTTATCCCAGTTTAGTTATTGCTTAATTGTATGCTATACAATTACAATGAATGCAGAAAAACTACTCAATCACGTAACTGCAATGATAACAGCAGAATTAACCACTTGTAATTTTATCAGAGCTGTGCTAAAAATATTCTAAAACCCTTTTCTTTCTTATTTTGTTAGCTTTTCATTCCACTCTTCTGCCAGCATCCAAAACATTTTCATCTGATTCAGTTTTCAAAAGTTGAACTTTAACCCACAAATCAATGACGGAGAAAAAAAAAATTTCCTACTTACTAATTATTAAAAGAGAAAAAATGTTTTACTAGCAGAGAACTAAAGACGGATAAAGGAAATTCCAACCATTTTTTCTGATTTTTCAACAATTATTTAAAGGAAAAAAGATTTTATCAGCAAAAAACTAATGATTTAGAAAAATTCCCAACTTCTTTTCCTGATGCCTCACTTTTTTAAAGGAAAAAAGATATAGAAAAAATGATCTATGCCACTGCTGTCAATAATTAACAGCATGCTTCTCATCTATAATTGTGTTATAAATTTATACACAATATAGGTTTATAAACACAGAACTAGCACTGTAATAGTGTAATGTTGATATAAATAGGAGTATACCTCAATATCTTTATATTTGTATTGTTACCTGTATCTTACTAACGGGCCTGAATTACTGAAATATCATACTGACAGTCTTTGTACTATATACCCAAGTGTTAAACTGCATGCATTTCTTTTTTTTCACACCATTTTAAGTTCTCTTATGATTAGTATTTATTCCTTTGGCCTTTAAATTTTAAAAGAGGCACATAATGACAGAGTATAAATAGCAATCACAATGTTAAATCTCCACTTCTGTGCTTTTATCATTTCTGGTGCTCTGAAAAACAAAAAATCCGGATGAAATCCAAGGAATTCTTTGATGTGTGTTCGTAAATTTGTTTCACTGTCGCTGGTTTATTTGTGAGGTCACTGAACTTCAACTTTCCATTAAAAAATGGACAAAAGATTTACATTTAATAATAGTATATTATCATTATAGTATCATTATATTTTCTTACACAGCTCTTAAATGATATGTTCACTTCATATCCTTTCTTAGAAGTTCTGCAAACATAATATTCGTAGTTCTGTTTATAGAAAAAAATCATTTTTCGAAATTAGTACTGTCTTGTAGTTATATACTACTGATTACTGTTTTAATATTCTAAGTTTCTAATTAATTATAATACATTTTGTATGTATGATTTTATTTCTTATAGTTTTAGTAGATTTTACTGCTAGCATTTATTTACGTTATACATTTTCTTTTCACTGTTTTTTTTTTTTGTTAATAAAGTGATTTTTTTTTAGCGACTTGTTATGGTGACTTATTTTGGTGACTTATTTTTGTGACTTGTTTTGTGACTTTTTGAATTGAATTCTTTTTTTTCCCTTACCAGGTGGAAGAGTTGTTCAGTTTTACAGACACAGGACAGAACAGATCCAATCAAGCCCCAGAAGTATTTCGGGTCAGTCTTATTGGTCAATAGGGGGGGTGGTCTTACACTTTTAAACACCCTAAATGTTTGCTCGCTAATTAATATTGAGATTATTGTGCCAACTCAATTAACACAGTATTAAGTCTAAATCTTGTTGTCTTTCAATTTATCAATACTGACATTTGGGGTAATAATAAAAGCAGTAATCAAATCTACAAAATGTGTTGTTGCTGAAATATAAACAAGATTGTTGTAAATCCTGAAGTGAAAATTTGTTGTAGGATAGATCTTAATTTTACTCACTCAAAATAGCCCCATCGACGATGTTGCTAAAATACTTATGTTACAGTCCTTGGACTTAAATATCATCCCCACTAATGTGAGCCACACCGTCAGCCACACACACATCAGCCACATACGCAACCACATTGACAATGTTACTGAAACACTTTTCTCACAGGACCTGGACTCTAGTGTCCATGACACCAATGGCTACATTGATGACGGACTGGAGAGGATGCAGTACACAGTGGATAACGCTAGGGAGGACGTCAGGGAGTTCAAGTTCTCCAAGTTTGCTGCCATGTACTTCCAGGGCAACGCCACACATACGCACATACGCAAGGCCCTCAGGCAGCCTCTGCTACAGCTGGCCAGTGAAGGGGATCAACTGGTACGTGGTCAGATAGTTCTGTTTTTTTTAACATTTTTATAAAATAAGCTTTACAGTTAACAATATTGCAGCTGTCCATTGAAAGGGATAACTGTAAATTGCCAGATAGTTCTGTTTTTATATTTTTATAAAATAAACTTATAGTTGACTTACCAGTTAGGTATCCAGATATTTCTGATTTTTTTAAATTAATTTTTTTAAAGAAGCTTTACAAATAAATTTATTAGTGTATAGTCAATCTACATTTATGACATTATCCACCTGTTTGATTATTTTTATAAATGGTAGAAAACCAAGAATATATTATATTTTGTAGTTGTTTGGAATGACAATTAATGGAATTTTTTCTTTATGCTGTTGTTTATTACCTAACTAAATCCCATTTGATCCATAAAAAATGACATAAAAAATGACACTTACATGAATAATTATATACAACGTTGTTGTCTGTTATCTACCTGAATGCTGTGTGATGTATGATATGACTGTTTTCCAGGCCGCCCTGGCTGTGTGGATTGTAATTCTCCGCTTCATGTCTGACCTACCTGAGCCCAGGTACCACACGTCAATGACAGAGGCCAAGGTAAACAAAAATTTTCTTTTACTTGAAATGTTAACTTGGCATCTAAGAACTGTGACCTTAAATTAGAGATATGGAAACCAACTCAATAATTAATTAGTAGAAAGTAGAATTACTTTTTTCTGTGACCTTACATTAGGGATATTGAACCCAACCAAATCTGTTGTTACAGGACAGCACACCTGTCATGACAAAAATCTACTCAACACTTGGTCGCAAGTTTAACAAGAAGGATCTGGAGGAGGCTATGAGGATGGGGGAGGAGATGGTAAAATTTCTAACATTTTAAAATTGTTTTGACATATTATAAATAGTTTGAAACTAAGATTTATTTCATTTTAAATTTTTGGCATTAAAGCTTAAAAAGTTAATGCTGTTTTTGTTGAATGCGATTTTTTAAAATCCTTAATTTTTAGCAATATTTCCAAAAGATGTAATTTATATTATAAATCCTAAATCTTATTTCAATGCAACATTTATTTTAAACTTAGAGTATTTTTGCTTAAGCCTTAAGTTTTGGTTCAATTTTAAAAAATATTTTAGTTTTTTCTTTATTTGATACAATATTTTTTATCACACTTAAAATAAAATAAATCTGAACTTTTTAAATCCTGATTTTTTTTTTTTTTTGCAACATTTTAATAAACTTGAATGTTTCAGGAAAAAGAAGCAACAAATATTCCATATGCTCGAAACCCTGCCAAGAAATCAACCAGGAAAAAGATTGTGTCCCTGACATTGAAAAAGAGGTCAAAGATCACAGAGGATGTCGCTCACCGCCTGCAGCATGGCTATGAGAGTGGACCCACCACTGGGGGCAATGCCCTGCTTGAGGACAGGCCCATGTCAAACTTGGAAAAACTGCACTTCATCATAGGCCATGGCATTCTCAGACCAGAACTGAGGTTGGTACAATTTGACAATGCATTTCCCCCCATATGGGATCTAATGCTTGGTGCTTTGTCAGTCTTAATTTCCCAGCATCAGAAATTAAATGGTTGATGCATTCACACGTTAATTTCAATATTGTGAATCAAACATGCTTTTTTTAAATTTCTGCATATGTTGGCAAGTATTCACATATCTTAAAGATGCTGGGATTACAATAATAAATTCATTTTAATTGTTGGCATTGACAAACTAATAAAGAAGGAAAGACTCTGTAAATTTTCTGATTTTGCCTCTCTAAAACTAGATTATGTTAATTATGCTTTTTTGACTGTTTTTACACTTTTTATGAAGAAATTAATTCACATTATGAAGCTGTTAAAATACCATGTTTATATCCTGATCTTTGAAAAACAATTATTAAAATAATTTAAAGGTAGGTAACAAATCTATGGGTAGGTAACTCTAAATTCCCTTTTCCCAGAGATGAGATCTACTGCCAGATCTGCAAACAGCTGACCAATAACAATTCCAACAGCTCTCACGCCAGGGGCTGGATACTCCTGTGCCTGTGTGTCTGCTGCTTCCCGCCTTCTGACAAGGTAGTTAACACATCCATCACACTGTGATTTATGACAACAGCCAATACAGCAGAAATACATCAACACAACCTAATAAAAATACTCGACCTACTATTAAACTTGATAACTAATACCAGCAGCCTATACATAATCTACTTTTTTACTTTCTCGTATATACGAAGTATAAAGTCTTGTAATCGTGCAAAAAAAAAAAATCGAGATTTTTACAAATCTTGACATTTTACACCTCACTGATACGGAAAAACATAATTTTGCAATCTTGTCCGTATGTCTGTGTGTCTGTCTGTGTGTCTGTCTGTCTGTGTGTCCGTGTGTAAACACGATAACTTGAGTACCGTTACAGCTAGGTTGATGAAATTTCATATATAAGTATTTTATCAAAATCGTAGATCCGTATCAACTTTTGAGCAATTTCCGATAACCGGAAGTGGTACTTTTTCTACTTTGAATTTTTCAAAAGCCTATAACTTGAGTACTATTTCAGATAGATAAATGAAATTTGATATGTAAGTAAAAGATCTAATTCTCTACCTTCTGTCAAATTTTGAGTAATTTCCGTTGACCGGAAGTACTTTTTTACGCTATTTCCGATTTCTCAAAAAACGCATGTAAATTTATAAAGTATTAATAAGATTGCGCACTATTATGCACATCTTTATTTAGCGTTCACTTGGTGTGCATTTCTTTTTTCTACTAGATTATATTCTATTTTTAAAAATTTGAGTAATTAAAATGGATTAAAAATTATGTCTAGAAGTCTAGATCTATATCCCGAGTTGCCATCCCCCATAGTGTTATATTAGAATATTCGAGAAAGTTTAGGGGAGATCACTCCCGGTTTATTTTAATTATATTAAATATTAATCTTGCTTTGATTATTATACCTTGATCAAATATATCAGATACAATTTGATGTTGAATGGTGCAAAAATTAGTTGTTTTTTTATGTACAAGCATTTAGCAAGCCACAGATGAATATAAAAAAACATCCTCAAACTAGTTTAAACTACATCCACATTGTGTTAAAAAAAATTTTTATTTACATTTTCTATATCTTTTTTAAAACACATCAGCCTTTTGTTAAAGTTTACCAACCATTGGAACATTGAATTTTTTTCTCTGCAACAGCTGCGACCTTACCTGCTTAATTTCATTAGAGAGGGTCCACCAGGCTATGCTCCATACTGCGAGGATCACCTGAGAAGGACGTTTGCTAACGGGGCTAGAAACCAACCCCCTAGCTGGTTAGAACTACAGGTAAAATATTTTGACAAACATGGAACTTGTTTTTATCTGGAAATTTCTGTTACTTAATGAACTGTCTTAAAAACAACTGTTACATAATTAACTGTCTTCATACAACTGTTACTTAATGGGCTGTTTTAAAAACAACAGTTACTGTAATACCAAATGTACGTGGGGAGGGGAGGAACACAACAGTATTGTACATGATTGCCAAAACGCACTATGCTAGGGTGCCGGTGGAACCACCTGTTTCAGCTTAGTAAACGACTAAAGTACCCCAACTTATTCATAGTCTTTTGCACTCACTTAAACGAACTTAGGCGCCAAAGCGAACGCGGGAAAGCCCAGGGCTTGAAATAGCACCCTGTCTGTGCGCTGGAGGACGCCCGGATTTGATTCACTTAAAGACCAAAGTAAACTTTCTTATCCAATTGTTTCTTCGGTAGTAAAACTTAATATACTGCTAAATGTACTGTTAAAAACGTCTGCTTAAAAAAAAATTCCCCTTCGTGCACAAAAAAAGGACAGACAAAACGAACGCGCAAAAAAAATAGACACAAATAAAAACTGCGGTAATTCTTGTTCCTGAATAAAGATGTCTTTAGTTACTTCAACTCTCTTTGATTAAAAATGATAAGAAAAAAACTTTCAATGTATAAAATAAATAAAAGGCAGTATTTAAAATACCTACCACATTTCACTTGATCAATCCATGCTAATTATGTAAATTGTTTTTCCCAACACCAAAACAAAGTTTTAAAAGGTAAATTTTTTTTCCTCCTGATGGTATGGTTTTTATAAAGGGGAGTAATTTTGCGTTCCTAATTTATCAAGGGAAGTAATGAGTGCTAAATGACAAAATGTAAATAATTTACAGACATAATTAGAATTTGTGTAAAAGATGATTTTTTATTTAATTTCGTTTAATAAATATGTTAAAATTAATATTTTAAGTATGAAAAATGTTAATTGTTTTAAAGTGTCTTCAATATTAATGTTTTAAATTATAAATTTAGACTATAAACACTTTAGACATTTAACACTATAAGAATGGGGTCTATTAAATTCTTATATTGTTTAGATTTACTTGACACGGATGTTTTTTCCTTTTCACTTGTATTTACTAATGTACAAATTGTAATGACATCAATGCAAATCAATTATGTATTGAATATTATACTATGTAAATATGTCACCACATATATGTTTGATGTTAATTGTTTTAATTGCAAATAAAAAAATAATATATCTGCGATTACAAACATTTTACAATCATACAGAATTGAACTTTATATATAAGATAATTAAAAAGTATTATGGAACAAGCACATTTTTTGTATTGTATTTCTGATTGTATGGCATTGTTTGAAATTTCCTAGGCAACCAAGTCCAAGAAACCTGTGATACTGCCAATAACTTTCATGGACAGTAACTCTAAAACACTCCTAGCAGACTCAGCAACAACGGCCAGGGAATTGTGCCAACAGCTGTCAGAAAAAATTGGTCTCAAGGACCAGTTTGGCTTCTCCCTGTACATTGCCTTGTTTGATAAAGTAAGGAAGATTTGTCATCCATGGTTTTTTCCGTACTGAGCAAAAAATACTAAAAAAATAAACTTAGGATTTCCTAGTTTTTTATGTTATTGTGAAGTAAGCATTATATAGAAATTTCCTACTTTAAAATAAACTTAAGATTCCCTGATGCTTAATGATGAAATTTTTGAAAATCTGTAAGGAAAGTTCAACTGTGCCTGTGAGCTCTGTCACTTGAGGTGTTGTTTTCCAAGAGAGAGAACTCATTTTTTTAAAGTTATAAACTAACTCAAGATAGCTTGTTGCTAATCTTAATTTTCAAAAAATTATTTTAATTGTTGGTTGATAACAAGAAGTTAATTTGAATCAAACTTCATGTGTAGAATAAAGAAAAAAGTTTTTTTTTTATGCTAGTGTCATACGATGTTACCTTATGTTGTATCTTAACCATGATTGTGACCATATGATGTTACCTTATGTTGTATGTTTACAGGTGTCATCTCTAGGCAGTGGTGGTGACCACGTGATGGACGCCATATCCCAGTGTGAACAGTACGCCAAAGAGCAAGGTGCCCAGGAGAGAAACGCCCCCTGGCGACTCTTCTTCCGCAAGGAAATATTTGCCCCCTGGCATGACCCCAGTGAGGACCCAGTGGCCACTCACCTCATTTATCAGCAGGTACATTCGTGGTACTCACACTTATTTTACACATTTAGGTTGGTGGGTCAGCTCATAGGTGGGTGGGTGAACTCACACGTGTTTGAAAAACTAACTGAAGAAAATTTCACATGTATAAAAAATGTTTGTTATTCTTTATTGTCAAACACTGTAACTTTCTTCCTTCTAGGTTGTCCGGGGTATCAAGTTTGGAGAATATCGTTGTGACAAGGTCAGTGTTGGTTGTCTCTTTAGTTATATTTATGGCTGTATGCTGAAATAGTTTCCCCATTGTTGCTGTTCATTCTGTTGGTGGAGAATAGTGCAATAAAATATTTGATGAATATCTCATCTCATTTTCCCCACTGGATCGTCACTAGTTGATGTAGTTGATCTGCTACCCTTTGTCCTTACTTATGTTGGGTACCCATTTAATCTGGATGTGCTTGGGAGTTTATAATAAAAATCAAGTACAAAATCTTTAACAGCAGATCAAATTCTGATTTTGTATTTTCATTTTAATTTTTTATATGATCAATGTAACATAATTTAAAATGTAATACTTTACATTGATGCTATTTTAAATTAAAGAGTTATTTTTCTTCATGTTGTGTTTAACTAATCTGACCAGGACGAAGATTTAGCAATGATAGCTGCCCAGCAGTATTTCATAGAGTACGGGCTGGAGATTGAGCCCCAGCGCCTCCAGACACTGCTGCCCTCGTACATCCCAGACTCCAACCTACAGAAGCAGAGTGACGGCCAGATGTGGATGAGCAACATCATCAGCAAGCTGAAGAGTCCTTACTTCCAGAACACCAGGATAGAACCCCTCAAGGTAACAAAAAGTCTTTTAACTTCAGAAATTGTGACAATTAGTAATAAAACAGATAGTGTTAGTTACCTCAAAAGTTAAAGACAGTTAACTATTTAGTTGACAGTTAATTAACGTCACTGCAGCTACCATTTGTATTTACAAATTGTAACAGTATTTTTCTGTTTTTAATGAAAACGTAAAAATTATTCATTATGTAGGTAATCAAAAAATAAATGCAGTCTGTATTCTTTCTCGTATATTTTATGTGAAGCATGAAACAATTGACTTCTACTTTTAAATTTGGCACAGGCTAGTGCTTAATTACTAACCGCAAGGCTACTAAGTCTCTGTTTCAATTCTGGGCTTGAAACTGTATCAATGTACAGTCCACCCAGCTCAAGGGACATAACTATGATATATATATAATACAAGGGATGCAACAATAACAAGACATACTGTAACATCTACCATTACTGTACTTCATAAACTTATTGGCTGGCATATAGGTAAAAAAAAAGGACACTGTGAGCTACATCAAATACAAGTGACCATCTCCTGTTCTCAAAGTTCTGTTCTACAAGGCCTCCAAATTCTCAAATTTATTATCTGCCTATTTATTATCCTCAAACTTATCTTCCCCCTAAATTACCATCTTCCAATTTATCAACTTCTAATTCTATCATCTCTCCCCCAGGTGAAGGAAGACATAGTCAGCTATGCCAAGTACAAGTGGCCCCTCCTGTTCTCCAGGTTCTACGAGGCCTACAAGTTCTCAGGTCCCAGCCTGCCCAAGAATGATGTCATCATTGCTGTCAACTGGACAGGTGTCTATGTGGTGGACGACCAGGAGCAGGTACTGCTGGAGTTGTCCTTCCCTGAAATCACAGCTGTTTCTAGTAGCAGGTCAGTCGTCTCCCTTTGTTAGAAACTGGTCAGTAATGTCTCTTTATTTGCTAGGAAATCTGTGGTCTTCCTTTATTTGCTAGGAAGTCTGTGGTCTTCCTTTATTTGCTAGGAAGTCTGTGGTCTTCCTTTATTTGCTAGGAAGTCTGTGGTCTTCCTTTATTTGCTAGGAAGTCTGTGGTCTTCCTTTATTTGCTAGGAAGTCTGTGGTCTTCCTTTATTTGCTAGGAAGTCTGTGGTCTTCCTTTATTTGCTAGGAAGTCTGTGGTCTCGCTTTGTTTCCTAGGTCTATGGTCTCCCTTTGTTAGTAGTGATGGATTCTTGAAATAATGTTTCTTAATAAATGTAGAGAAAGATGATAAGAAGGAATTGGTTGAAGAAGGTTGTTGCCTCCTCCACAGGTCAGGTAAAATGCATGGTCAGAGCTTTACACTGGCCACAGTGAAGGGGGATGAGTACACCTTCACCTCACCCAACGCGGAGGACATTCGGGACCTGGTGGTCACATTCCTGGATGGGCTCAAGAAAAGGTCAAAGTACGTCATCGCTATACAGGACTACAGTACCCCAGGTAAATATTTCACTGTAAACACACTATGTACGTCATCGCTATACAGGACTACAGTACCCCAGGTAAATATTACAACATGAACAGCACATTGGGTAGATATTTCACTGTAAACACACCATGTGAATTTCAGTGTATAGCACCCTTGAAGATGCTACATAATGTACAAAATACCAAGTGTACCTAACACCTTTTACTACAGCATATAAATATCATTGTGCCAACTTTTGCACTACATCACATAAACATTAAATCTTTCACAATTAAACTTATCACTTGCCTTACACTAGCAAAGCATGCCCCTTTAGGAATACAGCATTTAAAGCATGCCATCTATAGCAACATCATAAATCTAATTAAACAAGATTTTAAAATTTTTCTACTTCCAATATGAAAATTCTAAGACATTTTCAATTTAACATCAGTTTTTTACTTTTTAAATGTATATTTTAATTTAACATATTCAAAATTAATCATGTGATATTGGATTCTTCATGGGGTTTTATAGTTTGTTTAGCTGTAGGTATTTAAAATTCAGAAAAAATAATGTTAAAAACAGATATAGGAACCACAAAAAATGTTCTCAATAAATAATGTTTCTATGTACAGCCTTCACCAGTTTATTTTGTTTTTATCTTACAGAAGATTCATCTTTCTTACCTCTGAAGAAAGGAGATCTGATTGTTTTAGATCAGTCCCATAATGGAGATAGTGTCATGAACTCTGGTTGGTGCTTTGGCCAGAATGTCTCCAACAACAAGAAAGGGGATTTCCCTGCAGAGTGTGTCTATGTGTTACCCACCATCACCAAACCTCCCATAGAAATTCTGGTACGTAACTGTGTGTCTGTATGTTACCCACCATCACCAAACCTCCCATAGAAATTCTGGTACGTAACTGTGTGTCTGTATGTTACCCACCATCACCAAACCTCCCATAGAAATTCTGGTACGTAACTGTGTGTCTGTATGTTACCCACCATCACCAAACCTCCCATAGAAATTCTGGTACGTAACTGTGTGTCTGTATGTTACCCACCATCACCAAACCTCCCATAGAAATTCTGGTACGTAACTGTGTGTCTGTATGTTACCCACCATCACCAAACCTCCCATAGAAATTCTGGTACGTAACTGTGTGTCTATGTGTTACCCACCATCACCAAACCTCCCATAGAAATTCTGGTACGTAACTGTGTGTCTGTATGTTACCCACCATCACCAAACCTCCCATAGAAATTTTGGTACGTAACTGTGTGTCTGTATGTTACCCACCATCACCAAACCTCCCATAGAAATTCTGGTACGTAACTGTGTGTCTGTATGTTACCCACCATCACCAAACCTCCCATAGAAATTCTGGTACGTAACTGTGTGTCTGTATGTTACCCACCATCACCAAACCTCCCATAGAAATTCTGGTACGTAACTGTGTGTCTGTATGTTACCCACCATCACCAAACCTCCCATAGAAATTCTGGTACGTAACTGTGTCTGTATGTTACCCACCATCACCAAACCTCCCATAGAAATTCTGGTACGTAACTGTGTCTGTATGTTACCCACCATCATCAAACCTCCCATAGAAATTCTGGTACGTAACTGTGTGTCTGTATGTTACCCACCATCACCAAACCTCCCATAGAAATTTTGGTACGTAACTGTGTGTCTGTATGTTACCCACCCTCACCAAACCTCCCATAGAAATTTTGGTACGTAACTGTGTGTCTGTATGTTACCCACCATCACCAAACCTCCCATAGAAATTTTGGTATGAATAGTATGAGTATTTAAAAATCATTGTTGATTTTGTTCTTATGGCCTTGTGTTATTGAAATATACCACCCACTTGTGAGCAAATTGTCCTACAAGAACTCTTGTTTAAACTCTACAGAACCTGTTTGTGCAGTCTGGATCTCTAAGTGAGCAGTACCAGCCTGAGGAAGAAATTTCTAAAGAGAAATCAGCATCCCTTCACACACTGGAGCAGTACTCATATGATCACTTCAGGTACAGTGACATTTTGACCTAATTTTTTTCATAGTTTTTCAATAGATTTTTATTTTTTAAATTCTGGTTTATTTTAATTTTATCTGTTTTGTTTTGTTTCTTTTTAAAAAAATATTTTTGTCTTATCACTTTTTAAAATTATTGTTCGCTTTAATATATTATGTCTTGTTTCCTCATTTTTAGTGATTGAGTGACTTTTTAATCTATTTAAAAAGTATATTTGAATTTGTATCCTTAACTTCTTGAATTTGTCTTCAAAAAAAAAAACTATATTAAATTAGAATAAACCTTACAAGAAAAACTGACTTTTTTAAAACTATCAGTAATTTCGTTCTTACCTCAGAGCGCCACCAAAGCGCACACTATCAGGAACACTTAACAGACCCCGTCAGCGCAGCAGCAAAGAGCTGTGGAAACATTCCAAAGACCCCTTGAAGCAGCCATTGTTGAAGAAACTCATCGGCAAGGAGCAACAGAGTGCTGATGCTTGCATGTGCTTTATGGATATCCTTTGTTTTAAAATGAATTACAAAAATGGTTATGTTTAAAACTAAATTTTTAATTATTTGAAATTTTTATTAGGAACAACATAATTTTTATGTCATGGATATTGGTTCTTTAAAAATTAAAACTTACAATTATTTTTCTTCAATATTTAATACCTTATCAATAATTTAATACTTCTCGAATAAGTCTTGTTGAAACTGCAATATAAAAGTTAAAATATAAAAACGTTAAACTTTCAATAACAGCATTTTAAGTTTTTATGGGTATCATTAAAAAAATGTAATGTTTTAATTTAATGTCTTGATACATATATTAGCTTGCTGGTTATTATGCTAATATTAAAAAAATTCAACTTATATGAAAATGTATGTAAAATTGCTTGTTGGTGTACACAATTTTATTTTCAGATTTCTTCCCCTTTATTCTTTCCCTTAACTAATTTACCTATATTAAAATACATGGGAGACCACCCAAGCAAGAGAAGCAGAATAGCCAATGAGTTTACTGACCAGATTTTTACAAGTCCAATCACAAATGTAAGTAGTTTTGCAAATATTTTGGTTATTGTTTTCTATTTAAATTAAATTGATGTTGGCTTGCTTGTCCCTAGACAATGACCCTTGTCCTGAGACATTGACCCTTGTCCCTAAGACAATGACCCTTGTCCCTGAGACAATGACCCTTGTCCCTTACACAATGACCCTTATCCCTAGACAATGACCCTTGTCCCTGAGACAATGACCCTTGTCCCTGAGACAATGACCCTTGTCCCTGAGACAATGACCCTTGTCCCTAGACAATGACCCTTGTTCCTGAGACAATGACCCTTGTCCCTGAGACAATGACCCTTGTCCCTGAGACAATGACCCTTGTCCCTGAGACAATGACCCTTGTCCCTAGACAATGACCTTTGTCCCTGAGACAATGACCCTTGTCCCTGAGACAATGACCCTTGTCCCTAGACAATGACCTTTGTCCCTGAGACAATGACCCTTGTCCCTGAGACAATGACCTTTGTCCCTGAGACAATGACCTTTGTCCCTGAGACAATGACCCTTGTCCCTGAGACAATGACCCTTGTCCCTAGACAATGACCTTTGTCCCTGAGACAATGACCCTTGTCCCTGAGACAATGACCTTTGTCCCTGAGACAATGACCTTTGTCCCTGAGACAATGACCCTTGTCCCTGAGACAATGACCCTTGTCCTTGAGACAATGACCCTTGTCCCTGAGACAATGACCCTTGTCCCTGTGACAATGACCCTTGTCCCTGAGACAGTGACCCTTGTCCCTAGACAATGACCCTTGTCCCTGAGACAATGACCCTTGTCCCTAGACAATGACCCTTATTCCTGAGACAATGACCCTTGTCCCTGAGACAATGACCCTTGTCCCTGAGACAATGACCCTTGTCCCTGAGACAATGACCCTTGTCCCTGAGACAATGACCCTTGTCCCTGAGACAATGACCCTTGTCCCTGTGACAATGACCCTTGTCCCTGAGACAGTGACCCTTGTCCCTAGACAATGACCCTTGTCCCTGAGACAATGACCCTTGTCCCTGAGACAATGACCCTTGTCCCTAGACAATGACCTTTGTCCCTGAGACAATGACCTTCGTCCCTGAGACAATGACCCTTGTCCCTGAGACAATGACCCTTGTCCCTGAGACAATGACCCTTGTCCTTGAGACAATGACCCTTGTCCCTGTGACAATGACCCTTGTCCCTGAGACAGTGACCCTTGTCCCTAGACAATGACCCTTGTCTCTGAGGAGACAATGACCCTTGTCCCACAGACTGAGATTAAAACACCTTGCCCTACAACCAAAATAACCTTTTATTCCCAGGAGATTCTGAGAGACGAGATTTACTGCCAGATCATGAAACAACTCACAGATAACAAGAACAGGTAACTAATACATTTTTAAAAAATATTTTATTAAAGATCATTTTGTAGCCTTTTTTAAATAGTTTAATAATGTAGAGTTATAAATATATTTATTGTTATATAAAAACCTGAACCAATTGTAAGCACTTTCAGTTCAGTGTTTCTTTTAGAAAACATATACCAATACATTTAAACTAGTGTTAGATGTACTAGTTGACCTCTTCCAGTGTTAATTTTACTTGAAGACCTGTTTGCAACAACAGTGTTACAGTTACACAAGAACTCACGTACTAATGTTAGTTATACTGGAACTCATGTACTAGTGTTAGTTATAGTAAAACTCATGTACTAGTGTTGGTTATACTAGAACTCATGTACTAATGTTGGCTATACTAGAACTCATGTACTAGTGTTAGTTATAGTAGAACTCATGTACTAGTGTTAGTTATACTAGAACTCATGTACTAATGTTGGCTATACTAGAACTCATGTACTAGTGTTAGTTATACTAGAACTCATGTACTAGTGTTAGTTATACTAGAACACATGTACTAATGTTGGCTATACTAGAACTCATGTACTAATGTTAGTTATTCTAGAACTCCTGTACTAGTGTTAGTTATACTAAAACTCATGTAGTAATGTTGGTTGTACTAGAGCTCACATACTAATGTTAGCTATACTAGAACTCCTGTACTAATGTTCTCTCCCTGCCCCCAGTGTGAGTGAGGAGAGAGGCTGGGACCTGATGTGGCTGGCCACTGGCTGCTTCACCCCCAGCACCAACCTCCTGAAGGAGCTGCAGCAGTTCCTGAGGACCCGTACCCACATCACCATAGTGCCAGACATCCTCAACAGGCTACAGAAGTGTTTGAGGTTTGTCAACCAATTTCTTGAGTTCTTTCCCTTGTTTTTTTTTTCACAGTTATAAATATTTATTTTTTATAAAGTTAGACTCATTTATTGAATTATCTTTCAATTGTTTCTTTTTTTTTACTGTTCATTATATTTTTGACGGAAGTATGCTAATTTATTGATTTATCTGTCCTGTATTGTTTTTTAAATGATAGATTTTCCATTCGATCTAATTATCTTTCCATTGTTTTTTTTTTGCTTTTTAATTTGAATCAATTATGTATTGTGCTAAAAACATCCATCAAATAAATTAACAATCTATGTTAAAGACTTCAAATTTATCTTTTAAAAACCTGCCAAAAAATTTTTAATACAAATATTTTTAAGTATTTTTTAAAAAGTTGGTTGAAATTGTGTGTTCCAGGAATGGAGTGCGCAAGTACCCCCCACACCAGGTGGAGGTGGAGGCCATACAACACAAGACCACACAAATCCTGCACAAGGTTTACTTCCCTGATGATACTGATGAGGCAAGGCTTTACATTTTTTTTTCAAAAATATCTATATATATAAATTGAGTAGGCTTCATGATTTATAAACTGCAAATTTTGTGGCAATCCTATAACTTCCACCATTGTAATAATTTTAAAAATTTTTGTTTTAAAACTAGAATGGTTTCTTGAAAAAATGATCTCAATAAAAAAATGCCTCAATTATAATAATTTTAAAAGTTTTTGTTTTATAAGTAGATTGGTTTCTTGAAAAAAATTATATCAATACAAAATTTTATTTAGGGTTTTGAAGTGGAATCCAGCACACGAGCAAAAGATTTTTGTCAGAATATTGCCACCAAGTTAGGTCTCAAATCAGCAGATGGCTTTAGCTTGTTTGTCAAGATTGTTGATAAAGGTAAATTGTTCATCTCTACATTGTTGATAAAGTTAATATAGCTGCTGATCAATACATTCTCGATATATACAATAAATGGTTACAGCCCCATATATCAGAGAAATATTTCCTCTCCAGTGATAAGTGTTCCTGAAGGAGATTTCTTCTTTGACTTCGTCCGACATCTGACAGACTGGATTCGTAAGGCCAGGCCAGCCAGAGAAGGTAGGTACTCATGTGGGGAAAATTCTACATTTACATCATCTTAATTAAAATTACTTGAAATTATTCTTGGGGTTGAAATTCTTCTTGAAATTATTCTTGGGGTTGAAATGCTTCTTGAAATTATTCTTGGGGTTGAAATGCTTCTTGAAATTATTCTTGGGGTTGAAATGCTTCTTGAAATTATTCTTGGGGTTGAAATGCTTCTTGAAATTATTCTTGGGGTTGAAATGCTTCTTGAAATTATTCTTGGGGTTGAAATGCTTCTTGAAATTATTGTATATCAACTGAAAGACTTTCTTGAAAATGTAATGAAGTTCTCAGGACTTCTGTTGACTGTGTTTAATAATTTCACTAGGTGCCCCACCATCTTTTACCTACCAAGTGTTCTTCATGAAAAAGCTGTGGATAAAAACTGTTCCAGGTAGAGATGTACAGGCAGACATTATCTTCCATTATCACCAGGTAATTTCTTGAGTTGCAGCCACAAAATCTTGTCTGTACAATTTTTTAGCATCTCACTGGCATTAAATAAAGTTACCAATATAATTTTAGATAAATATTTCTATTATTTATATTGCCAGTTATATTTTTTTAAACATATAAAATGTGGGTGCTAAAAAAAAAGATTAACTATTACATATTTTAATCTGAGTGATTTATAAAAAATATTTGCTACATGGATTCTAGTATCATCAGATAAATCAGTACCTCTGACTGAAAGTCATTTAAATATTTATACTCCTATTTAGTAGAAGAAACTGTCAAAATATCTAAGGGTTTTTTCTAAAAACATTAAACCAAAAACATGTTCACCTTTTTGTATGTAGGAATTGCCAAAATACTGTACACATTTTTAAAAATGTAAACCAAAAATGTGTTTACTATTTCTTATGCAGGAATTGCCAAAATATCTGAGGGGATATCACAGGTGCACCAGAGAGGAGGCAGCACAGCTTGGTGCACTCATCTACAGGGTTATACACGGAGAAGATAAGGCTAATCTCGCCAAAGTCCCGTAAGTACAACAAGAGTTATCCTGAAGACAAGCTGTCACACATCCCTTGGGTTATAGCTCTCTCTTGTTATTTCTAGTGAAATTCTGCTTTATGTTTATATTTATGAGTTCTAGTTTTATGTCATATTTTCCCTACAACTACAAGATTTTTTTTAGTAAATCTATCTTTTATCCTTATTCATTGTGACAGTCATTTTTTACTATATGTTGGCTTTTTATTAAACCATAGATAAGCAAGTTAATTCTCTATCAAAAGTTGTATATGGTGCTATTGTTCACCCAAAGTCTTAGAGCTCAGTTTTCAGGCTGTGGCCCATAGGATGATCCTAGTCCACATGTCCTGTCCTGAATGATTGGTACATCAGCCCCTTGTCCTGTATGATTGGGTACATCAGCCCCCTGTGATGTATGATTGAGTACATCAGCCCCCCTGTCCTGAATGATTGGGTACATCATTCCCCCTGTCCTGAATGATTGGGTACATCAGCCCCCTGTGATGTATGATTAGGTACATCAGTCCCCCTGTAATGTATGATTGGGTACATCAGTCCCCCTGTGATGTATGATTGGGTACATCAGTCCCCCTGTGATGTATGATTGGGTACATCATTCCCCCTGTCCTGTATGATTGCTTACATTTCTTGTCATGATAAGTCAGAGGGGATTGTTTTATATAAAAATAAATGTTTGATCCACAGAGAGCTCTTGAACCGACTTATACCAGGTGACTTGGTCAAAGCTCAGTCAGCTGATGACTGGAAGAGGGTAAGCTTTACACAAAATACTACTGTTGACTTAAGTCATCATCTAATGGGTTTTTTAAATTCTGTGTTCTAGGCGTGAATGTGGAAATGTTGGTTCTCAAAATGTGTGGGTTTAGTTCATAATTCTGATTACCAGTGTATAACCTCAACAGCTCTTCAATTTTTACAATTGTTTCCCTATTTAGAATATAATATCTGCCTACAACAAAGATGCAGGCAAATCATCCAACGATGCAAAAATTGAATTCTTAAAACTTATCTACCAGTGGCCTACATTTGGCTCAGCATTCTTTGACGTCAAGGTTAGTTGTGGTATTTTATTTAAAACATTATTTCATTCATGTACTTGTCTTTAAAAAAAAATGTTAAATTCATATGCCCACAGTAACAATTGTATCATTCATGTACTGATTACAATTTCATCCTGTGCACTTTTTTCTGTTTTAATTCAAATAATTAACTGAATAAATTATTTCCTCTGAACACAGAACCAAACTACCCTGAGAATCTACTTTGTTTTAGTTGTAATTAAGATAATTAATTGAATACAATATTTTCTCTGAACACAGCAAACAACAGAACCAAACTACCCTCAGAATCTACTTTGTTTTGTTGTAATTAAGATAATTAATTGAATCCAATATTTTCTCTCAACACAGCAAACAACAGAACCAAACTACCCTGAGAATCTACTTTGTTTTGTTGTAATTAAGATAATTAATTGAATCCAATATTTTCTCTCAACACAGCAAACAACAGAACCAAACTACCCTGAGAATCTACTTATTGCCATAAATAAAAATGGAGTCAACTTGATCCACCCCCAGACCAAGGTAAGGCTGATATTTTAACATTGTGTTACCTACGTAGATCATAAAACTTGGTAACCTGTTTTTGAAATGGATTAAAATCAAGTTGTGTCCCTCTATTTGCTTTATCAGCTAGATTTATTACAGAATTTACTAACTAAAGTTTTCTTCTGAAAATCTTTGTTACCTTATAACCTACCCCAGCAACTAAGCATGCATGAATTCTCTAAATTCTCTTATAGACTTGTATGAGCTCTAACTTTAGAAATATTTCTTGGAGATCCATATATCAACTTCACACATTTTTTTTTCTCATTTTTTACTAATCATCCATGTCATTTTTCTTATTTTTCTAACATTTCTCAGGTATCCATGCATAAGTTTTATAATTTCTGTTTAAAAATTTCCCAGGTATCCATGTATTAGTTATATAATTTTTGTAATAAAATTTCCCATCAAATCTCACATTCTTGTACAAATATTTTCCAGGAGCTTCTGGCCACGCACCCATTCTCTAAGATCTCCAACTGGAGCAGTGGCAACACTTACTTCCACATGACCATTGGCAACTTGGTCAGGGGAAGTAAGCTACTGTGTGAGACATCTATGGTGAGTCCTTGCTTGTTGCATGCAGGAAGGAACAATAACTCTGATTATTATTATTATAATAAATAAAATAGATCTTAAACAATGAGATTCTATATCAGTGTACTATAGAGCAAATATTATTTTCACTTAAAAATCGTTGCTATATTATATTATTACTGTCACTTGCGTCCATCATTCATGTGGGGTGGGAGGGGGGGGGGGGGGGGGGGTTGATACATTGGCAACATCTGACTGTTCTCAGCTTAATGCGTAGTTTTGGATTTCCAAGGTGCAATTATCTAATGGTTTATAAGACTGTGAAGCCATATTGTATTATTTTCTCACACATTTTTAAAAATAGAAATGTAGCCTATATTTTAGTATTTCTGTGGCATTAGACTCTAAAACATTAAAATCCCATAAACTTGTGTGCTTAGAAGCAAACTAATGTATAGATTCATGCTTTTTTTATGCTGTAAAATTCAATTTTATTATTTTTTTTTTACTATTCAGGGTTACAAAATGGATGACCTCTTGACCTCCTACATCAGTCTGATGTTGAATAACCTAAACCGACAGCGGAAAACTTAACAACAACAAACTTAGACAATAGTTAGTGTGATAGATCTCACCAATTCCTAAAGGCAAGAACTTAACTGCTATAAAACTTGCCATTACAAGAAGGATGATGAAAAGTTTCTCAAATTTAAATACTGATGGTAAAATTTTATAGCAGTTAATGTGCACAGTATAGGAGTTTTGAAAAAATGAATCATTAAGTTCATCAAAAAATGTATTGTCGTTAGAAAATGTTCAGCTTAGAAGGCATTTCTCACTTGAACACTGTACATATTATTCATCATATTATGGTTTGGCTTTTGTTCATCATAACATATATATACAATAAATTATTTAATGAAATGTTTTTTTTTTCTTTTCACATTTATACGATACGTTACTGGTGAGATATGTTTTTTCTTGTAAGAATTCTTGTATTGAATCTAACAGTGTATCTTTTGAAATCAGGTGTAACTATATAAATGTATGATACAAAAGTTTGTATGTATGCCAGAATTTTTTTCTCGGACAAATGTATAAAAAAAATACATAAACGATTTCATCATGTGCTGTGAATTTGTATTTTGATTTTTTTTTAATTTGTTAAAATTAAACAAGTAATAAAATGACTCTCCTCTGTTGAAAATATAAAAATTGACTTTAATAAATTCATATTATAATGTGCATTTAATTAATGATTCATGTAGGGCAAACCTTAATGCTACACACTACTCCCAGATTGTGACAGTAATGTTTACTTAACATATTGTTTCAAGTTGTTGTACTTACTAGCATTTGTATTCCTTTAATAAATATCTAAGCAGCATCTTGCTATTTTAATTTTGTTCAGTAATACACATTCACATCTGGGTTTGTTTTATTTTATTCTAATGTTAAACCTAGCTTTACAAAATTACTTCCTGTTAAAAATATCATTTTAGAGTTGTCACCCTTTAATTAAACCATTTGGGAACAAAAAAAACATTATAATCCCAAGTTGTCATACGTGTATCAGCTCACATAAACATTCCTTTGGCCAATTAATTATATTTTTGAAGTTTACATTAAAACCAATAGAAAATGTAGTCGTTTAATTATTGTATTTACAAGTTTATATTCGAAAACCCAACAACTATATACAAATATAATTTATACACATAAAATGTAACACACTGGTGTGTTATACCATAGATTAGTTCAATATCTACCTGCCTGGGCTATATATTATATTAAATGAGAAACATTGAATGAGTGAGGAAAATGGTTGTTTATACATTTTTTTTTAAATTGTATACATTCCAATAACAACTATTTTATTACTCAATATATTTATTTTGTTTTATGTATCATAATTACAATGGAATATTCATTTGCTTAGCTTAAAAAAAATCTATTTATAGTACCTGGGTCATATATTTTCAGCATGGCTGACTGATCTCTATTATGTTGTGACAACATGTAGAACATTTATTTTGTTATACTTTACACAATTTTCCTTTACAAGTTTTTCATTTGCCTCTCAGAAAAAAAACTTATGTAATATATTGCCTAGTATTTTTTTTACCTTACATAAAAATCTTTGATAGATTTTGGTTAAAGGCTTAGGTTAGTGAAAATGAAATTATGATTCTAAATTGTTTCTTTTTGTTTCTGATGTGTGTGTGTTGTTTTAAACTTGCCTTTTTTGTATTGTAAAATGTACTCATCAGAGACAACTCTTCATGAAATTTTACCGTAAAATATTACAGTTTGATACCCATTCATACACTTATGAATTTTTTTTCCTCAAAAGCTTTAGCTAAAATTAATAAATCTTTTTTAAAATATTATTTCTGAAATACATAGTTACTAAAGAGAAGCAGATTTTATAATTATCCGAACATATAAGTTCACTAAAGTTCAATTATTGCTTTACATAATTTTAAATAATATTGTTACACATGTATAAAACTGAAATTAAACAACCAATATAAATTGTAACGTGTTGGTTGTTGTATTAGCAACTCTTGGTTATTTAGTGTCTCACCTAACTCACAGTAAACCTCTCTTCCATGAATGTAGTCAATACTCTCAACTTAAAGGTTTATCTGACTTTTAAACATTGATGTAAAAAAAAATTATTCATTTCTAAAATGTTGCTGTGCCTTTTTTTTCTGCAAGCATCTTTTGAATATTAAATGAAAAATATTTTCTTGGAGTTTTTCTAGATATGTTTCATTTTAAAATATGTTGATGGGGTTTTATTTGGACTCATTTTTATCAGCAGCTCAATTTGGAGAAAAGACTTTTATGCAAAAATGTATATTTGGTTTCTTGTAAACAACAGATGTAAACAAGGTTCAGCTGTGTATATCTTTGGCCTGAGTTAATTCTTTAAAATTATGTCATGTCAGTAGACTGTCATGCTGGCAGGATGTCATGTCAGCAGACTGTCATGCTGGCAGGATGTCATGTCAGTGGACTGTCATGCTAACAGGATGTCATGTCAGCAGACTGTCATGCTGGCAGGATGTCATGTCAGCAGACTGTCATGCTGGCAGGATGTCATGTCAGCAGACTGTCATGCTGGCAGGATGTCATGTCAGTGGACTGTCATGCTAACAGGATGTCATGTCAACAGACTGTCATGCTGGCAGGATGTCATGTCAGTAGACTGTCATGCTGGCAGGATGTCATGTCAGTAGACTGTCATGCTGGCAGGATGTCATGTCAGTAGAGTGTCATGCTGGCAGGATGTCAGTAGACTGTCATGCTGGCAGGATGTCATGTCAGTAGACTGTCATGCTGGCAGGATGTCATGTCAGTAGAGTGTCATGCTGGCAGGATGTCATGTCAGCAGACTGTCATGCTGGCAGGATGTCATGTCAGAAGAATGTCATAATTATGTACTTGACTATAATTCATTTTTTCTATGTACAAGTTGTACATTTAAAACCATAACTGAGGTAGTGGTCTTCCAACTAGTACCACAAGTTTACTGTACATAAAGAAATCACAACAGCTTCATTTGTGAGATCCAGTACTACAGCTGCAAGGATAAGAAGTTTTGAAGAAATGTGGATTAGCTTCTTTACAAAGAAAGGGACAACTTTATTAAATTATCCATGTCACCTTTATTTAATTAGCTACATCTTGATAACACAATGGGCTAAATTTTTGCCATTTGAGTATTGTGAAATCTTTCTGATATGGCCAAATATGGCTGGTGAAATAGAGATTATCCACATAAGATAGCAACCCTCGACCTACTTATTTATTTAGTGTTTTTTATGCCACAATACAAGACATTCAATTTTTTCCCCACAGTGGGCTGTATACCAACGTCCTGCCTTATCAAATCTCTGAAGATTAGATTTGTGTGCCTGAACTCTATCTACCCATCTGCTCACACTAGTTTCGTGTTTTTTAACCTGCTCATGGGAATTATTTGATTAAATTAATAATTTATAAAAAAAATAAATGGGGTCAAAATAATTTAATTTGATACAATTTTAGGATTTGTGATAATTTATTAATTTGAAACAAGAAAATTAATTCATTATTTAAGAAAGGTATATTCTAATAATGTGTGTTTTTCTACTGTATTTTTTCTGAAAAACAACATACATTGAATAATTGATACAGGTCTACATATGATGTTAACTTAAAGAAGAAGTTAAAACAGGGCTATTACTATTAGATTTTTAAAGAGATAGAATCAATGTCTTTGAAATATTAAAACATACTTATTCTAAAATTGCCGATACTTAGGTGATAAATGTCACTGGGAAGGCTGTATTTTCATATTTTTTAAAATATATATTCTCTGCTTAAGTAGATTTGTAAGGTAAAGATAATATGCTTACAGGGTCTATCCTGGGGAATTAAGATACTGCTTTAGACTACTGTATACAATTTTATTTTATTTAGAGAAGTTGATGTTTTGATCGATCAGGTTTTGTTAAATTTTAAAAAAATGTATTCTTCATGTCATGTGTAAAAAAAACAAAAAGTTAAAATCTGAAGAGTGATGTCCCTGCATGTATGTTTAGTTTTGTAGTCATCACTGGAAATGTACCATAGGTGTCTGGGAACTGTCTGCATCTTCGTTGGTTTCTTTCTGTGTTTTTTGCAATAAAAATACATGCCTAAATATTATAATTAATTACTATGGATACCACAATATAATTTTTTTTTAACTAAATGTCTCTTGGTTTTTTTTGTTTGATGGATAATATGTGTTGTTTGTGTGAATCTATAGGATGACTGGGGTAGTTTAAAATTTACAACTCTCTGTATTTATCTCATTTTATGTTAAATTTTGCCTATTTGGTTAGGAGGAATAGTACAATATATTTGATACGTTTTAGGGTTACTTCAAGTTACTTGTCTATAGCAAAGTTTACCCAGCTTTACCAATGAACATTATATCATAATATCGAGCTAAACGTAATCTTATTGTCATTATAATCCTTTTTTGAGGTGAAGTATGTAGGACAAACTGCTACTGATTTATAAATGTTATCTACTAGCAATAATAAAAAAAGCTTGTGGGACGGGAGGGAGGGATAGTTAAGTTGCTTAGTCGGATCCTCTCTTTACACATTATGTTTAGTCAGAGAAGTAGAATTTGTTTCTAAATGTTCGTTAATTTAATTCGTTAAACAAAGCTTGATCCATATTTTGTAAAAACACGGGTGACCTGGTTACTGTTGTTTCATGAGTCAGTCGCTAATGACCTTGATAGTTCGCAGGTGATTAACACAACACACTGATAAAGTTTATACTGAAAACAAAATCTAGCGAACATAGCGCTTCCTTGGTCTAAAGGTCGAAATGGCCACAGCATACTTATGTGAAGAAGTTCACTAAAAACATCTTTGTCGACTGGTATGAGCAGATGCGGAAGGGGGGGGGGGGGATGCGGACCGCACCGGGTGATACCATTAAGAGAGGGTGACACCAAGGCAAAAATTTGCAAAATGTACAGAAAAAAGTGCTTTTTTCCTGTTCCATAAATGATTAAATAAAGTTAAATATTTTTAAAAATTTAAGTACATGAGTCCAACCAGCTCTGATGGGTACCTAGCTCACTTTAAGGAAAGTAAAGGCGGCAGGGCATAGTGCTGACCGCACTATCCCTTCACATGCCAAGGTCACTGAAACGTGAATTCTACTTCACCTCCCCCATGGGCCATGATGTTCGAAAGGATAACTTTACTCAAACAGATTGTATACATGTGATACATATGATCACACATTCACATATAAAAATCACACACATACACACACCCATCAACGCTCATCATGTAATTAGCAGATGATCGAATGGCAACTGAAAAAATATGTGGACAGAAGAACTTTTCTTCTCTGACGCCAGGTACCGATTTAAGCTGAATGAACTCGTGTTTTACAGACTACATCCAACTATCAAAACATCTTCACAAATATACACCCCTACCCAGGGGCGTAGCGAGGGGGGGGGCGGGGGGCGGACCGCACCGGGTGACACCATTTAGGGGGGTGAAACCAAGGCAAAAAATATCAAAATATATAGAGAAAAACTTGAGGGGGGGGGTGCAAATCGAAAGTTTGAGGGGGGGGTGCAAATCGAAAATTTGTCCCCGGGAAGGGTCGCTACGCCTCTGGGGGATGACACCATTAAGTGCCGCACCGGGTGACACCCGACCTCGCTACGCCACTGCCCCTACCCCACCTTTTTGAAACGTTATATCAAGTATGAAAGAATCCTTAAAAAAATAATTCATTAACAAGCCGAACAGAGATTCTAAATTTAGATGAAGCTAGATCCTCACCCCAAGTGTCTGACGTCAGATAATAATATCATAGGTAAGGTCAACCATTGTAGCTTCCCCTGACCTAAGACAGTTTTGGTGTTGAGCAAGAACTTCATATCATATCGCTTTTTTTTCCTACAGTCACTCTGTCTCGATCTTCAAGAGAAATAACATTACACTTGTAATGTAATCGCTGTCTGTCTTTACTGGGAAAACATGACAATACCATTTCCGCAACCTTAGGACTTATCAAGCATACCGAATCTGACCTAAATCAATCGAAGCTTAATCTAATGTTATCGATAACACATTCGTCTTCTCATCTATATGTTATAGCCAACTCAAGAACAGATAATACATTTATACTGAGTCCTGTGTTTGGATAATCAAACGCCCACTTTCAATGATGTTCTCATAACCCGTCAAATACATCGGCTTAGCACACAATCTGGATAATCCACATACAACACGACGTTAAAATGTCTCAGGTTCACGATTACAAGGTGATTATTAATTAGTCTTGACACCTATATATATATTTCTTACAAGTTTGTCCGTAAGAGTGAGTGGTATAGGTTTCGCAATTTTCTGATTTTAAAATAGATAATAGGAGCCTTCATCTCATGATGCAGTGTAGTCGATTGCTAACACATAACTCAGACATAAACATTATTGTGTAAGTTACATAGATAGATCTAGCTCTGTTCATATGCATTTGTTGATATCTTAAGGCCGAAGCAACATGTAAACTTTACATCTAACTCTGATCTTCATTATGTGAAAATTCAAATTAATTTTTTGAAGCTTGTTCTACAATTAGTAAACATTAAACAAAAAGGTATCAAACCCTCGCACAAACTTCATATAAAGTATGGGTTGTTATAATAAATACGAAACAACATGATTTAAACTAGGAATAAAAAAACTATTAATAGATCTACATGCTTTATATTCTACGGAGGCTCTATTAATTAGGTTGGTCTCTGTAATGACCCCCCAACCCTCACACATCCACATGTGTAAGATCCAAAACACATGAGACAACTTACTTTTTCATGTGAACATTTGTTTTGGTTGGATCAACTAAATTACCAAGTGTTTATGAGTTTACATCTGTTGCACAACTTTCTAAACTAGGATCAGCCAAATCTGTATTTTTCACCGTCCTTCTCTTCCCCCCCCCCCCCCCCCCCCACTCATGAAGTAGCGGTCCACACCACCTTAGCGACACCACGACAAGTCTGTGTGCTGTCACAACTAAAAGTTCACTAGAGACAATGTATTCAGGATCATTATTTCGCCAGACAGGAAAAAATAAACAAAAACGCGCACTAGATTATAGATCTAGATCTAATTCGTTTCACAATCTGAATTTTCTAGGCGCCAAATAACTTGGGAAAAGGCTAGGTCTATTTAAAAAAAAAAACGAGATTCTTAAAATATGTTTTGGCTATACAGTGGGGTATTGATTTTTATTAAAACAGTGTCGCTGAATCAGTATCGGTGAATGAATGGTGCGGTACTGAGTAAAGCTGGGGTTAGGTTATCAAAACTAACACACACAAATATATAAATTTTTTCTTTAAAATAAAATGGACTTGTAGCCCTTCGAATAGTCGTTAGTAACATGTAAATACCCATTTTTCCCCAGGACGAATACGTGTGGATCGATCCGGAAAAGCCAGGAGAATTTTGTGTGTCGATAGGGGCCAAAATAATAACATCGGATGCTGGCGAAATTTTGTTGCAAGACGATGATGGACGGGAGAAATGGATAGAAGAAGGCGCGCTGCTCCTTCGTCACATGCATGTTACATCGGTCGAAGGAGTGGAGGATATGATTGGTCTTGGGGACTTGAACGAATCCAGTATCGTCAGAAATCTGTTTACTCGATACATGAAACATCAAATTTATGTGAGGTTTTTTTTTTGTTTACATTATTTTACAATAAAACAAAACATGGGATGGTATGCTACTTTAGTACTTTAACTTCCATATCCGACTTATTCAATTTTAAATCTAAAAAGACTAGGATATGTTTTGATATCTAGATCAATGACGAATTTAGGTATGCATTTATTCTTCACAAATATTAGACACAGTTCAGCTGTTCTTTTGGTTCGCCTACCGACCTGGCCAGAATAAATTCTAGAAAATGGTTCTAAATGTTATACTAAAATAGCTCATTCAGGTTTCTTTCAAACATTTTTCTCCAGTGTGGGAAGGTGAGGGTGGCATTTGCAACTTCAAGTAAAGGGGGGGGGGGGTCCACAGTAATCTTGTAACACTTGTGTTTGCATTCGGAAAAATCTACAAGCAAGCCCTGATTTAAAAATTGTCTTTTTTTAAAGCAAAGTTTAAATTGTTTAAAACCATTCCCTCTAGACCTACACAGGATCAATCCTTGTGTCAGTGAACCCCTACCAAGTTCTCCCCATCTACACAGAGGATCAGGTGCATTTGTACCAGGAGAAAAAGATAGGAGAGTTACCTCCCCATGTGTTTGCTATAGCAGCCAATGCATACAGTAGCCTGAAAAGATATCAGAAAGATCAGTGCATCATTATTAGGTTTGTAGTTTTTCTTTATTAAGAGTAAAGTGTCAATTTGAATCTGATGATACATAGGGATAGTGATGATGATTTCACCTGTTTCTGCAACCTTGGTATAGGAAGGAATAATTTGGTCAGAACAATGCCCAGCCGACTACTTTTACTGATGCAAGGTAGTACTACTAGTCAAGGTAGGTACCCATCAGAGCTGGGTGGACTCAAGGACATTCTACACTTAAACCATGATTTGAACTTAGACTTTCGGTTTCTTCATTAAGACCCATCTGAAATCACATTACAAGCAGAAGTCTGTTTTGTAATTGATCTCACAATGTAGTAATGAAAGTCTTATAAGTTATAATGTTGTGGTATGAATGCTGAATGATTGTCCAAATATGCTATATAAGTTTCTGTAACAGATAGCGGAGAACAGAGATGTATTTATTTCTGCAATAGGAATTGATTATTAAAACCAATGGTAAAGTAATGAACATATTCTGACACAAACAAAATAAAATTAAAATTTTGCTTCTACTAAATTAGTGAATTGTGTCAAATCAATTGTTTAAATTTGTTTTATTTTAAAAATGAAAAAAATCTCTTTAACATATCTGATAAAGCTAGTAAGATTTTTAAAATGTACAGCTGTTTTAACTTTTTGTATAGCGGAGAATCTGGCTCTGGCAAGACAGAATGTACCAAACTAATTTTAGAATATTTGGCCTCTGTTTCTGGACAAAATTCTGGCATAGAAAAACAGATTTTACAAGCTAACCCTATCATTGAAGGTAAAAAGTAAAAAATAATTCCCCCTGTGCTTGCAGTAATTATAAATCTTGCCAAAAGACTACTCTAGAAAGTAGATTAAAACACACTTTTTACAATAAAAAGACAAAATAATTCAAATATTCATTTTTTTTCTCCCCTTCAGCTTTTGGTAATGCCAAGACAATCAGGAATGACAACTCAAGTCGTTTTGGTAAATACATCGACATCCATTTCAACGAGAAAGGTGTGATTGAAGGGGCCAGGATAGAGCAGTACCTGCTTGAGAAGTCTCGTATTGTCAGCCAAAGAAATGGAGAAAGAAACTATCACATATTTTACTGTATGCTGGCAGGGATGACTCTGGAAGAAAAATCTATTTTTGAGCTCAGGGAAGCTGAATACTATGATTATCTTGTACAGGTACTGAACTCTTCATTTTCAAAGTTTTGTTTTTTTAACACTGTTGAATTGACAGTTTTGAATAGAACTTCATGAAGTTAATGGCTACATAAACTTTATAATAATTAGCTTTTTGCATGTAGAATAGGGGAATAAAATAAACTGTAAAAATTCATTTTTTTAAACAGCAATAGCTGATTAAAAACTTATGTTGAGTTAAGATTTAAGCCATCATTTTATAAAAAGTGCAATGTTCCTTGCTCTAATTTTAGTCATCAAAATTTTGAAGGAGATTAAAAAATTATTATTAATTATTTAAAAACAATTTTAATTTGATTTCTTTAGGGTAAAAGTATTGAATGTGATGGAAGAACTGACAACAAAGACTTCTCTGGCATTTTGTCAGCAATGAAGGTTCTCATGTTTGAAGAAGATGACATCATGAATATCCTTAAGGTTCTCTCATCTCTACTACAGTTAGGGAACATTAAATTTATAGGTAAGTATAGGGGAAAATGAAACCAGCATAACATTCTGGAATTAAAAAAGGGAGTTTTGTTGATCTTGAACTTTCCCTAACTTTCGTCACTCTTTCTAAAGTTTCAGCACCTGAAATAATGACATCTGAATAGATTCAAGATTTCTGGAGATAATTTATATTTAAAAATGTATTTTTGGAATTTAAAAAATTATTTTTCACTGAATAAACATTACAATTATGTTTTATTTAAATCCTAAAATTATCTTGATGTTTCAGAAACTGAATTGGATAATATTGCTGCTTCAGAAATAGAAGATATAATTTTCATCAACAAAGCATCAAAATTGATGGAGGTTGAGACCCTTAAATTAAATATAAACATACCTTTATTTGTCTTCTAAATTACAATGTTAAAAAAGTAGGAATATTTTAAATGTTTTACTATTTTTCCGTTAAAGGTTGATGCTCAAGCATTAATTGATGCCCTGACCACTAAAACAATTTCTGCCAAAGACGACATGGTCACATACACAATGAGCAAGTCTCAAGCTGTTGATGTGAGGGATGCATTCGTCAAAGGGATTTATGGTCGTATGTTCATCTGGATTGTGGAGAAAATTAACAACACCATATTTAAACCCCAGGAACACTGGAACAGAAAATCTATCAGAGTCCTGGATATCTTCAGTTTTGAAAACTTTGATCAAAACAGGTACAAATACATTGGATTGTAAAATTGATGCAGTTTTTTATTTTTTGAACTATTAAAAAATCTGCTTTTCTTTTTAAAGAAAATGTTTGCACAGTTAAAAAGTAATTATTGTTTTGTTGTAAATACTTACTATACTTATGTAAAAATAATTTTCAGTGTAAAATTTGTAGTATAAATTTGTAAGAGTGGTTCTACATTCCTGACCAATCTAAGTTTTGTTTCCAGTTTTGAACAGTTCTGTATCAACTATGCAGTTGAAAGCCTTCAACAGTTTTTTGTGAAACATATCTTCAAATTTGAGCAAACAGAGTACAACACTGAGGGCATCAACTGGAAACACATTGAGTTTGTTGACAATCAGGATGTGCTGGATCTGATAGCAGATAAGCCCATGAACATCTTAGCATTGCTGGATGAAGAGAGTAAATTTCCAAAGGTAATTCTTTAGGCTGGACAGAGTTAACATAACATTTTAGAAATGTGGAGATTCTCAATACATATTAGTTGTAGCTCCATCAGATTCAAACAATTTATAGGACATTTTGATTTTGTGTTGACCTCTTTTTACTATCTTATTTGAATATTTTAAAATGCATGTTGACTGTCATATTGATATTATTAAAAACATGCCTATTATTTTGCTTTAACACTCTTCTGCAATAAAAATATAACTTTGTCATTTATTGTACTGTAGGTATGTTTTTTTATTGATAAACTTGCAGGGCACAGATGAAAGCATGTTAAAATATATTGATAAACTTGCAGGGCACAGATGAGAGCATGTTAAAATTTATTGATAAACTTGTAGGGTACAGATGAAAGCATGTTAAACAAGCTACACAGATATCACGCTAACCATCCCAAGTACCAGAAACCCAAGTCAACTGCCAGTCAAACATTTAGCATTCAGCACTTTGCAGGGCTAGTGGTTTATGATTCTAAAGGTAACTATTGAAATATACTATTTGACAATTAGTGATGAAATATAAAAATTGTTTTCCTAAAAAAGTTTTGAAATTTCACAAAAAAATGTTTTTAAAAAATTCTAAGCCTAGCTTTGTGTTAATTTTTAACTCAACTGTCTAACAAAAGTACATTTATTGAGTTCTGTTTTATCATTATCTTTCCACACAGGACTTTAAACTAGATGATCAGATAAACTCAATTTTACTGCTGAAATATTTTTTTTTAACGTCAAATTATTAAAAAATTCAATTCGTTTTATTTTAATATCCATGTTTACTAATCTCTATTTCTTTTAATATAGGTTCTGTTTTATTTTACTTGCTGTGTTTCCTAGAAATAAACATGCAGAAAAAAAAAATATTTTGAAAATATTTAATCTGATTGTCTAGGTTTTCTGGATAAAAATAGGGACACATTCAGCTCAGATCTGGTTCAGTTGATTCAGGCGTCTAAAAATAACTTTATCAAATCTCTGTTTAACTCCATCTTTTCAATGGTAAGTATAACTTTATGAAGTCTCTATGTGATTTGGATGTCTTTAAGTCTTTGACAGTATGGAATTCATTGCTTATTAAACCTGCTATAAAATTGGCTACCACAAAACTGCCATATTGTAGGATTTGGCTGGTTAATGCCAACAATGGCAGTTCTATTCACTGTCTTGTTGTGATGCTGAGTTTTTTTACACTGCTGAAATATATATTGTTACATTGTTTTTTTAAATTTAAATATTTAGAAGTTTAAAAAATTTTTAAATCATGATTGGCCTAAACTTTGAATATAAATAATATTCCTATTTTTTAGTTTATTCTTTCTGTTGCATGTAAAATCTCGAATTTATTAGCATTTTTATGCATTTATCTCCAGTCTGTTTAGACAACTTGTGTTTTTCTTGTCTAATTGTACAATTATTTTTAATGCTATCTCATCCACTTCCATGGAAACAAAGGACAATGAGAGAAAGAAAACCCAGACACTGGCTTCACAATTCAAAAAGTCCCTGGAACTTCTTATGGCCACACTAAATGCTTGCCAGCCATACTTCATCAGATGCATCAAACCCAATGAGTTTAAAAAACCTTTGGTACGTTTCAATAACTTGCTTATTTTTCAGTCTGTTGTTTTTTTTTTAAATTTTAATATCACTCTATACGCATCGTTAAAACAAACTTTAATCCAATTTTTTTAAATATTTAAAACTAATTTTACTTTTCAAAATGTTGTATGAAGTTAACTCTCAAAGCTTTTACCCAAGTTACATTTACAAAGAGCACATAATAAAGAGCACACTTGATAATCTCTTATTGTTTGCACTTCTTTAAAATCCCACTTGATTTACGTTATGCATGCAGTAGGCCTACACATCTTGTGCATAAGGTATTCTAGAATTATGGATATTTAATACTCACACCTTTATACCTCCACCAGGTATTTGACAGAGAGCTATGCTGCAAACAGCTCAGGTATCTCGGCATGATGGAAACCATCCGCATACGTCAAGGGGGGTACCCCATCAGGCACAGGTTTGCAGAGTTTGTTGACCGCTACAGGTGTTTGGTCAGTGGTGTTGGACCCTCTGTGAAAGGGAACTGTAAGGCCTCGTGCACTAAGATATGCTCCAACTTTTTGAAAAGTTCTGACTTCCAGCTTGGAAAGAGTAAAGTATTTTTGAAGGTTTGTCATAAAAAACTTGCTATAAATTACACAAAGCTTCTGAAAATTTATTAAGTTGTGTTAATATATTTCAGACTAGTCTAGTTTATAAAATTAATACAGTTCTAATGCCCAAAAAATATTGCAATTCATGTAGGCCTACATACTTGATAGATCGATCAAGACACATCTCATTCTCAATGTTGTGATTGATTATGATTTACTAGTGAATTAATGTGTGATAACTACCACATTTGTGTATCATGTGCTTATGGCAGTATTTTAAAGTATGGATGACAATAATATTCAGGGAACTGCTGATCTGTGCCTAGAGCATGAAAGGGAAGTAATTCTGACAAAGAATATTTTGATATTGCAAAAATCAGTTCAGTGCTGGTTATGCAGGAAGAGATACTTTAAGGTAGGAAAATTTGTTTAGGTGGGAAATAATATTTTTATATTAGGTGGATATTATTTTTTAAGGTGGGAAATGTTTTCTTTAGGTGGGATATCATTAAGGTAGAAACTGTTTTTATTTTAAGATAGGAAAAGCTTTTTTAAGTGGGATGTCATTTATGTATATTATACTAAATTCAATTTGAGGTAGAAAATTAAATAAAAAATTCTTTAGGTGGGATATTATTCTATTAAGGTGGAAAATGTTTTTTATTTTAAGGTAAGAAATAGGTTTTTGTATTACAGCAGGTAATAATGTTTTCTTCTAAGGTAGAAAGCAAGATTTATTCTATGTAGGGAAACAAGTTTTTGTTTTACATTAGGAAGTACGTTTTTATTTTATGGTGAAAACATTTTTATTACATTAAAAAATAAAAAGAAATGACATTAATAGATTTACTTCTTTCTAGATGAAAAAAGGATTTACCCTTCTGCAAGCAACCTTCAGATCGAAAAGATTGAATAAAAGCTGGAGAACTATTCAGAAATGGGTTGTTGATCTACAGGTGTGTTGATCTAAAACTAAATTCATTACATTATTTTACTTTTATATTTAACAATTAATGCAGATTCACAATGTAAGTAGCTTGTTCTATAAATGGGTTTATTTTTACCTTAATTTAGATGAAATTCTTAATAGTTAGATTTTTCTTGTTAGTTTAACAATACCTAAAAGGAGGAGTTGAATTTAGCATTACAGTTGCATTGTAGAAAAATAATTGTAGTTGTGACCAAAGGAGATAACTTTGCAAACAAGAAACCCAACTGCTTTTAACTATGATGAGAATATTACCATTTTAGTGTAAAAATATAGGTAGATTTACAGTATAGGCCTACTTAATTGAAAAAAATCTTTGCTTTCATTTTAGAGTGTATGTAGAGGCTACATGGTAAGGCGTAATTTACAAAACCAACAGATTTCCAAACCAGTTAGGATTAAACAGCAGCTTAGCTCCTCAGTGGGGAGTGATACAATGCATGAGGTAAATTAATAGACTAATTAACTTAATTATCAAACATTATGTTTATTGAAGAAAATAAACCTGTAAAGAAGAATTCCATTTAGATAAGTTTTGAAATTACCATCTTTAAAGTTATAGAAAAAAGCGGATGTTAAAAATGTAGAGCATTGTCAATTTTTTTTTTTTAAAGTGTTGTGTTTTACATGGTGCTTTTAGCAGCTTATTTCAAAAACTTATGTTGTTAGATTGTTTATGTGTTTATACTTATGAGATTGACAATTTTATGTTTGTTTTTTTTTCCAGACTAAAAACGTTGAGAAGATTTCTGATAGGTTGACTATAAATCCTTCAGTCAAAGAAAAAGATTCACTCAAAGAAGAGGAGAAAGAATCAGTGAAAGATGAAGAAAATGATTCAGTGCAGGAAGCAAAAAATGGTTCACTGAGTGCACCAGATGTAAATGATACTGAAGACAAACATCAAGTGACACAGACTCAAGAGGTGCCCTCAGTGACAGCCATGAAAAATGTGCACCCTATGATAGACACTACAGATGAAAATACATTTTCTAACTTTGCTGCCAAGAACTTTCAATGGGAGGTCACTCCGAGTCACAGTATAGAACTCCTGACACAGCCATTGCTTGCCTTGTCTAGTGAGGCTGATCAGCTAGTAAGAACTGATTGGTTAAAACAGTGTTAATACATATAGACAAAGTATTTTTCATAGTTAAAAACGGTGTAATACACATTTATCATAACTTAATCACATGTCTTCATTTAAAGAAACATTACAAAGTTGTTGTTTCAACTTATTTTTCAAAAATATTTATTTAGTTTATTTAAACTAATTTATGTTGTATTTATTCAGAATATATTCAAAATATAAATATTTTATCATGTAGCTAATTAATTATATTTGCAAATGCTTTTTTATTCTGTCTATAATAGCGGTAAATAAAAATAGCTTTGAGTTACATAAAAAATTGAATAAGCAAATGAAAAACAAATCTTTCTAACGCAATTTTGCTTTTCCCTAGGCAGCCTTGGCAATATGGATAGTTATTCTCAGATTCATGACCGACCTCCCAGAACCAAAGAACACTCTGACCAGAACAAGCAGCAATGTAAATACAATGGCTTCTTTGTTCTTAGTTAATCAAACCAAAAGTATGTAGCATTGTAATCCTTAGTGGCTGGGGCCTTTGGAAAAATCTGGCTTTAATTTCTTACAATTTCTTTCCACTTTTTTTCTTTACATAGCTAGCTCCAATTAAAGTTTATTTGCTTTACTTTTAAAAGTACTTATGAAAAACAAATCACTGGTAAAAATCTAGATAAAGTTTTATAAAATGCATCTACCAATGTCTATTGACTGTAATGCAAGTTTGAAACATAACTACGACCAAAATGTTAGTTTAAAATATAAAGTAAACAAGATATAAGAGATAAAAATTTCATTTTTTCTTTTTAATTTATCAAAAAAGAAAATCTGTTTAGTTACTGGGTAAATAGTTATTTTTAAAGACCTGTTTTTGCTTACAGAATGAGACACCAACAATGACCAAAATAGCTTCAAATCTTTCACAAAAGTTTAGCAAAAAGGATGTGCAAAAAGCAGTCAGGTTGACTAAAGCTAAGGCAATTATACTTTTGATTAAATTATTTGAAAAATTATTTATATGTTGCTTTGGATTTGATTTTCAATGATAGAATTATTTTCTAAAAATGATATTTAGCATTTATTTTTTATTTTGTTAAATGCTTGCAATACTTATAGATAGATAAAAAAAAATTTTTAAACTTAGCCAAAGCAAACGTAAACTTTAATTTTAGATAGCAGGGGAGGCAAATTTACCAGAGACATCCAATTTTTTCAAACCATCCAACATGGATGAGTCGCCAGACTCAACAGATGAGTCAGATACTGATACATCAGATGATGAAAATGATTCAGCTTTTCGAAAACTCTCCTACGCTGGTTACGACTCAAGAAAACATTCTGTCATCACTTTACCCAAAACTTCTGGCAAGAGATCAGAAAAAGATTTGGACACAATATCAGATATTATTGGTGGTGATATTAACACCACACAACACAGTAATGGGACTGTTACTAGTCTTGAAATCCACAACCCACTTTTGGAAGACCGGCGGATGTCCAGCTTTGAAAAATTGCAATATATTATTGGTCATTGCATACTCAGATCAGATTTAAGGTTTGTAACATGCTACTCATAACCATTAAATGAATAATAATGCTTGATGATAGAAATATATATTAATATCAATGTAGGTTTTAATAGGTAAATTTATTAGTCTACTTAAATTTATCCCTCATTAGTACTGATGTTAAATATAGTAATATATATATATATATGTATTAAACAATTTTAAAATGTGATAGAATATTGAAAACACAATAAGATTCATCGTAAATTTTATTACACTACTTTCTGTACTTTTGTTGTGTGTATAGAGAAAATATAATTTTATTTTGAAATTTTTTTGAAAATTTTATGTTAATTAAAAGAATTCACTTTGTGTCCACCAGAGATGAGATCTACTGCCAGATCTGCAAACAGCTGACCAACAATAACTCCAACATATCTGCTGCCAGAGGCTGGATATTGCTCAGTCTGTGTGCCTGTTCTTTCCTACCATCAGATAAGGTAACTTCTTCTGAGCAATTGGGTTTATAATTATTTGGTCAGATCAATTGAAATTGCTGAAACTGTAATTTTTCAATCAAGAACTAGAACTAAGATGACAACCTAACATTTAAGAATCTGCTTTTTCTATTGATCATATATATCATTATATGTAATTTATTATGTATTTTGATGATTTTAAAATCACAAATATTCATACTTGGTCTATCTAAAGTTAATACCTTTGTAAATTTAAAAGTTTTGAAAAAATAATTTAATTTTAATTTCTAAACCGATAATATTTTTTTAATAAATAATAAACCGTGTTTATAAACTTATTTTATATATATATATATTCACGTTTTCTGCATTTTTATGAAAACAACTTTTAAAAATTGCAGTTACTTCCCTGTTTGCTCAACTTCCTTCAAACATCAAATATACAGCAGGGATCCTTCTGTGAGAAGCTGTTGAGGAGAACATTAGTTAATGGTGTCAGGACTAGCCCACCTGGGTGGACTGAGATCAAGGTAAGATATGTATTAAATACTCACATCTTAGTAGATAAAACAAACAAGTTGTTCTTCCCAGAGTAAGCCAACAATCTTTAAGTGATATCTTAAAAAACTGATGTGAAGTCAAATACATTTTATTAAAATTTGTGGGGTTTTTCTATGCACTTAAATATAGTAAAATATTTTACAGGGTTAGTACACTGACTAGTACTAATGAAAAATAAGGCAAAGCTTATACCAAAACACATGGATGCAAATTTTATTATTTAAATGTGTAACAAATGCATACTTTGTTTCACATTTTTTCTTCATATTTATCTCACACAGGCTGTGTCGGCCAGAAAACCTATTTCACTAGAGGTGATATTAATGGATGCGAACCCATGCGCAGTTGAAATAGATTCTGCCACGACAGCTACAGAGCTGTGTCTGCAACTCTCTGATCACATCGGACTCAAAGACAAGTTTGGCTTCTCACTTTTCATCGCCCTTTTGAACAGAGTAAGTCACTTCAGCATTTGCTTCCCTCTGTTGCTTGCTTATTTTTATTATATTTTGTTTGTAAACTTGAAATTTAAAAAAAAACATAATAATAATCAAATAGTATTTAACTTACAGGATATGATTTTTTAAACAATCATAGGTTAGGTAAAAATTGAAGTACCTTGTAAGAATTTTGATATCAGTGTATAAAGGGATAGTAGTGTCACATTTAACATTAGATTTAAAAGTTTTCTTTACTACAGTTATTGGAAGGCATGATCTAGCAGTAGATCACTCAATTACTAACCTGAAAGTCTCGGCTTAGTTCACTGGCTCAGTAGGACATTCCTTAGTTCACCCACATACGTGAATACATGAGTCCATTCACAAAAAGTAAAGATAGCTGGGCATTGTACTGACCACACATTATTCATTATGTCTAGCTTTGACTGGTTTAAGCTGCTACTTTACTTTATTTACTACATTAAAATTATTGACAATAGTTAAATTTTTGTACTTCACATCTTTATTTTTTAAGATATCAAAAATCGATTCTGATGATGATCATGTGATGGATGTTGTAGCCCAGTCTGAGCAGTATGCTGCACAGTTGGGATGTGAGGAGAAGGATGCACCATGGAGGTTGTACTTCAGAAAGGAAATTTTCACACCTTGGCATAATCCGTCTGCTGACCCTATAGCCACTGACCTCATATACCATCAGGTATTTATTTGTCTTGTCTTGGCAAAGATATCTATAGTGGTCAACTATGGTGGTCAGCCAATAGAGAATTGGCCAAGATCTCGCTAACCCAAGTAGCAGCTTGTCCTTAATTTAACCTTTGTGTTTAAAACTGTGTAAGTGAATATAAAATAGTTTAAAATTATTATCCTCCAAGTTGTTTTTCTTTCTTTTGGCAGATTATTATAGGTATAAAGTCAGGAGAATACAGTCTAGAAAAGGTAAATACACATAGTTTAAACCGATATCCACTAAACTGACCATCACATAAAAAAATAGTTAAAAACTTTAAGAACTCTTATTGAAATATACATTTTTGTAATAAACTACAATGATGAGTTTCCAAATTCCTTATAATCATGAAAAAACTGAAAATAAATTAGAAATAAATTTAAACACAGCACATGTAAATAAAATAATTTTAATATAAGACCCATGATAACTAAAAACATATTTGTAAAATATACATTTTTTATTGCATGTAAGAAGGTGGGGATGAATTCTACTTATCTGCCATATGTGTCTTGGGCATGTATAGCAAGAGATAATGAAATTAAAGACATTAGTTATTCAAACAATGTAAACTAAAAATGAGAAATTGAGGGTTTTATAAATTGAGTTTAATTTACTAGCAATACAGTGTAAATGTCACACAGAAATTTGGATATTTTAACCCCTAGGATCAGGACCTGGCTATGTTTGCAGCCCAGCATTACTTCATACAGCATGGGGTTAAAGTTGTCATTAAAAAACTGGAAGAGCTGGTACCACTAATCATTCCAGACTCCATGTTGGATGAAGAAGGTTCTGTGAAAGTCTGGATCAACACCATTGTAAATAAGCTCAGGGACCAGTACTTTCAGAACCCTAAAGTTGAATCTCTCAAGGTTTGGTTTCTTTTATTACTTAGAGCAAAGAAAATAGGCTTTTCCTTTAGCAAACATTAAAATCAATCATATATTTTTAAACTTTTAGATAAAAGAAGACAAACCTATACATTTACTACTACTAAATTTATATTTTATTTTTTAACTTCTAGATAAAAGAGGACATTGTTAGCTATGCCATGTTTAAATGGCCACTGTTGTTTTCAAGATTTTATCAAGTTTACACAATATCTGGCCCCAACATGCCTGATGAGGAAGTCATTATAGCTGTAAACTGGACAGGGGTCTATGTTGTTAATGAGGCAGAGGATGTTCTGTTAGAGTTGTCTTACCCTGAAATTATCAGTATCACAAGTGTAAGGTTAGAAAATTATTTCAGTAGATTTTTTAATAAAATTTAAGCTTATTAATAAATAATAATTAATATGTCAGGCTTAATTCTTGGTTTCCTTCAAAAGATTATATTACATACTGTGTTTTTAATTAGTTTTAGTTTTGTTCTATTGTTTTGAGGAATTTTCCGTACTTTTCTTTCTTTGGTGCTATATCTCACCATATAGGCATGTTTTTTAATGCATGCTTATTTCTATTTTTTTATAGCTATTTAGGGTGATTTTAATTTTATATCTTGTTTAGAATTCCTCTGTCAAGTTAAAAAAAATGCTTAAACAGCAGCAAATATCATGCGAGTAAATCTTAAAACTTGAAAGATGCAAACAGCCTCTTTGTCGCTTGACTATGTCATCTCAGTTTATGTCTTACTTTCAAATATTTGTCTGAAATGTTTTATTAACTCTTATAAATATGAATTTTTTTCTCCCCTGTCTCCCAATATACTCAAAAAAATAATACCAACCCATTATCATTAGATCCTTATTTTAAAATGTTATAATTCTTTTCAAAATGTCTTTATAGAACTAAAGTTCAAAAACAAGAGCAAGGAAGACAACCTGGACAGAGTATATCAATATTAACAATCAATGATGAGGAGTACATTGTTTACCTCCCTTATGCTGATGATCTCAAGAAACTTGTTCAGTTGTTTTTAAAAGGCTTGAAGGAGAGGTCCAAATATGCAGTGGCCATTCGAGACTCTAAAAACACTGGTATGTTCATTCATTATTTCTTGTCTAAACTACTTTGGCATTGGCAATGATAAAAATACCTGGATATAGTTGTAACTTTAAAGCAAACAGTATATTTTCTGGCACACATGGTTTTAAATTAAAAAATAGATTATAATGTACATGTAGTATACTGTTATTTGCCGACCACTCCCACTTCAAATAATAAAACCAGTACCATACAAATGTGTATTAAGTCTTGGTAAGAAAGAACAAATAATATCTCAAACCATCAAGTGCTGTACTTTGGCTATTTATTCTTAAGCTAATTTTATCTGAAATTGTACAGACTTAATTAGGAAAGAGAAAATTAAAAAAAAGAAGAAAGAAAGATGCATATAGGCCTACATCAATATAGACAATGGGAAAAAACACTTTAGGAGAATGTCAGGGGAATACAATTCATTAGTGAAGGCAAACTGTTAATCTTTGTGTAGTTTAGGTGGTGTAAGTTGACTTCTAATCCAATATTTATTATTTCTATTGTGGTGTCATGGAGTAAGTGGAATTAGTTCTTTAGTTTCAGTTTTACAATCTTAATTAAAGTCCTACCCAGTCAGCACACATATATTGGCCCAATATTGGCTAAACATTGGTTACCAATATTGGCTACATCTTGGTGCAACATTGGCTTAACCTTGGCGAAACATTGGTAGTGAAACTCGGCATGATGTTGGCGCAATGTTGGCACAATATTGGCTATATCCCGGCTACATATTGGCCCAACATTGGCTAGATCTTGGCCAAATATTGGCTATATCCCGGCTACATATTGGCCCAACATTGGCTATATCCCGGCTACATATTGGCCCAATATTGGCTACATCTTGGCTCAATATTGGCTATATCTTGGCCCAATATTGTCTATATCATGGTTACATCTTGGCCCAATATTGGCTACATCTTGGCTCAATAATGGCTATATCTTGGCCCAATATTGGCTATACCTTGGCTCATCCTGTATTATATCCTGGCTACATCTTGGCCCAATAATGGCTATATCTCGGCTATACCTTGGCTCAGCCTGTATTATATCCTGGCTACATCTTGGCTCAAATTTTTATTTTTAGCATACAAAAAGATCCATTCTCATATCAGTCATAATATTTACAAAGGTAATTTCAAAATGTGAAAGAAATTTTAATCAAAATGTAGTAAAGCAGCAATACATACACAAGAACTGCTCATCTATTAAAATCTGTATTATACCATCCATTCAATTGTAAGAAAATTATAACTATACTATAAAGTATTGATTGAAAAAGAATAAGTAAATTATAGTGTAGTAACTTTCATTTTGACTTTTATACAAACAAATTAAAACAAATATACAAAACATTTTCATATAATGTAACAGATGTTAAGCAGGCCTACAGTTTAAATTAAACTAATGTAAAAACTTAGTTTACTGTACAAGAATACAGAAGCTGTCTTGTACTATGATACGTAAACATAACATTAAAAATAAAAGTATAAAATATTTGTCTAACAACATTTAATTGCATAGCTCGTTTAAGTATTCTAATTAAGGTTTACATTTTAATGCTGGACCAGTCTGCCTTGTCCATAAATAACAGAACGAAAATATGTTCAGGATCTCTAGATTATAATTGTGGTTAAATAGTGTTGAAATGAATGCCATTGTGTATACAAAATGTACAATCTTTCAAAAGACAGATGGTTCGAGGGTTTATACGCATTGTGTAGAACAGGAATATCACTGCGATATTTAATAAATGTTTTTTTGTCTCGAGTATGAGGTATTTAATTATAGTAAACTGAATATATATTAATTTACTTCATTAATTAGAAATAAATATCACCAGCAGAAGTATTGTCAATACAAATGTTGCAAGCTTTTTTCAGATTGTACAGTGAAACTAAATAATGAAAGAAATTTGCAACTAATTCTTTAAAGAAAAAAATGTCAATTGTATATTTCATTTAGGGCATTAAATCTACACTAAACATACATACAATGCCAACTTAAATTATTATATTATTACAAAAGGAAACAATTTATTAATTTAAAATCAGCATTTTTCTTAGACTATTTTGGTAAGAGCATCTTTTCTTTTCGTTAAGCACTTAAATGCAATATGTATTAAACTGTTAACCTGATCCATCTGATCAAATTTTTTTTTTTAAATCTGATCTAAAATTATTACGAAAATCACCGTTGTCCTCATTCTTGTGGACCCTTGTGGAGCTGAGAGACACAACCACACCTCTCTATTTTTATACTTGGTTTTAGGAGATTCCCCAAAGTTGTGTCCATAAGACTCTGCCTGCTTGTGTTTTGTTCGTTTCTGATATTTTCCATGTTTGTTTTGGATAACAAACTTTCTCTTTCCTTTGGGATTCAAATCCAATAAAAGCCTGGTTGTTGATTTGTGCAAGGTATGTCATAATCCATCCACATTCTAAAAAAGAAAAGTTACACACTAAAAGTCATTTATGAAATAATTACAACCATACACTGCTCATTTTGCACTAAATTTATTATGTTTATTTTATTTTGCACTGCACTGAACATACAACAAGAAGCCCCTAACATCATGTTTGCTACCTTGTAACGATATATTATATAGGTATAAAGACTGGTGGTCTGGGGTGTTCATGCTACCCAGGTAACACTTATACTGCATATATATATATATATATATATATATATATATATATATATATATATATATATATATATATATATATATATATATATATATATAAACAAAAGTGAAAAAAAAGACCTGGTAATAAAAAAAATAATAGTATGTATATAAATATTATAAACCCCTTACCCTATGTCTCTGAGCTAAGAAGGTGCCAGAAAATTTTTGAGCAATTTCATCAACTTTATCAATTCAGTAATTGAACGATTAGACCCTTCAGAGTGACCCAGAAGTAATGCTTGTGGTCTGAAATTATTTTACTAATATCAGTAAAGGCATTAACTACACATGCTGATCAATACATGCAAGCAAAAATTACTAAATGAAAATTATTATTCACTTTGAAACAATGTAAACTTACAGTTGTTAAGTGTTAAGAACATTTAGTCATTTTCTGGTGTAGCCAGTATTTGGTGAAGTATCAAGCAGTGGGACCTTATAATTTATTAAAGATTGATATATCTCCAGTGGGCTGATTGATATACACAACACCTGGAGGCCTGAAAATAAATGGCATTCTTAGTTATTAAATATAATAATAAAATGAGTGAGTGATACAATAAATGATAGCCAGATTAGATACTAATTTTTAAGTATCTCTGTTTATTTGATCTCTGTATATAAAGGATTGTGTAGTCAACACTATATCTAGCCACCTTTTTTATTTCATAGTCTTAAATTGGGTATATATCAGACTTAGGTGAACTGATGAATGTACTACTAACTTGGCTTTATGTTTAGCAATAGTGTCCTCAACCATTTGCCTACTCTGTCCTCTATATGATAATATGAGTAGTGTTGATCATTAAGTATGGCTTACTAATAGTACCATCTTATCGCTGTTGGTCATGAAATTAAGTGTTGCTCTGAGGTCTCCACACTACTATTTACACAACTTACATCTTATTCATCAAAACATGCATTAGACTGGAATCCCCAGGGAAAAAGGAGGGTGGGCCGGCCAAGGAAAACATGGAAGAGAACGGTTGAGGAGGAGGCGAAAACAGCTGGGCTCTCATGGGCACAGATTAGAGGAGCAGCCCAAAACCAAGTCCGCTGGAGATGTGTGGTTGCAGCCCTTTGCTCCCCAGGGGCCACAAAGGAGTGATGATGATGACATCTTATTCTCCCATAGGGACCTGTAACAGTAATAGAAATTTGAATGACAATCTTGAATCAATTTAGAATTCTAGTTGACTATTTTTTTTTTCAAAATTAATACCTATCAAAATACACTGTTTAACATGTAGAAATTTGTTCTATAATTGTGTCTACTGTTCCTCTCTCTCTCTCTCTCTGAATTAATTAATAAAGACAGTTTCAAATCCTTACACAAATAGGCCTAGAACAATAAAATTAAGTTTTTAAAAAAGTTAAAGTGAATGATTATTTATTAATTTATAAACATTTAAGCCCCCCCCCCCCCCTTTCCCTGTGCGTGATAATTATACCTAAAGTTGAAAACCAATAAATACATCGATCTATCAATAATCAATATAACCCCAAACGTACTTGCATACTTTTCAATACAAAAAAAAAGTGCTGTCAAAATTAACCGCCCTCTGATTACGATTTTTAGTTATTTAGTATTATTAGAATCTAGATCTATCTAGATCTATCATAAAGGAGATTATTGTAAAATGTAATTTTAGCCTAATGCCAAAATAAACAGAATATAGACTCTAGTATTATTAATATTATATAGATCTAGACTAGATCTAGATCTAGGCTCATTTTATTACCTCAAATAAACTACCTTTTATAACTTTTATTTGATGACTTAGGCCCATAAAGTTAAAGTTTCCAACAAAAAAATACGAGTTTTCCAGATTCTGCATAAATACAGTTATACTACTTCTCACTGTTGAACTAAAATGGCTACAGTGGGCCTACCTGTTTTACTGTGACTGGATACAAAGTCTTTTGTTAAGAAAAATGGCGCAGGACCGGGATGCTGGCTTGCGAACAATAGGAAGGAATGTGAACAAAGGGACAATGGGCGACAGGGGGCCGGTGGCAGTAGCGCACACAATTTTAAAAAGATTAACAAAATGTTTAACACATGCAACGTAGTCTGTTAATCATGCTATGTTTACATTAGAGCATGATATTAAAAGATAAATTAATTTTAGTTAACATATATTAAGTTTAACAAGCATATTTAACTAAAATTTCTGCAGTGAATCCATAAATCAGTGTAATCTTGGCAGCCAAGGTAAAAACGGTTAAATATCAAGGTATCAAGGGATGCAAGCATGTACAAATCTTGGCTGTACCCTGGCGTAAGCTTGTCCAATGTTTGGCCATGATTACAACATTGGGCCAAGGTTGGGCCGACCCTGGTATTACATACTGTGTTAGCTGGGTACTTATTTTTATGCAATAAATTAAATTTTAACACTTGTTTGACTTGTATGGGGTGTTAATCTTTTATGTTTTACATTAGTTATCTTCGCATAATGAACCTAATAAATCAACACTAATAAATCAAGACTATTAAATCAACATTAATGTATCAAGCTGAAAACTGTGATTTAGATTGGTCTGCAGTGTAAGAAAATGATTGTCTTTAATATTTTTTACTATAGTTATATTTATTCTAAATAATAATATTTAGTGCCTTCAGTTAAGCTAAATAAAAATTCGGATTATACTCATACATTTTTATGGTTGATTTTTAAACTGTGTTCAATTAGGCCTATACTAAAAACTTCTGAAATTACATTGAGCTTTTACTGTTGGTATCAGTACAAAAGGAAATCTGATTTGTTTTGTCTCCTTTTATTCATTTAGTTTTACTTACATCCTATTTTGTTTCAGATCCCACAAAGCTGTTTTTAAAAAAAGGAGATTTTGTCCTGCTGGACAGACCAACAGGGGAGTCTCCACTTCCTAGCTCTGCTTTATGTAGTGGTCACAATGTCAACACTGGGAAAAAGGGGAGCTTCACACTTGATAGTATCAGCATAGTCCCAGCTCTAACCAAACCTCCTGTTGAAATTATGGTAAGAGTTAAATAATGTTTAGAAAAGAAATATAAAAATGTCTTAAGAACTGTTCATGGAACACTGGTGTAATGTTTAAATTGACATTGAGGCATACAAAAATGTTTTTTGGTAAAGCAAATTAAATGACATGTGTCGGTTAAAACAGGAGTGTAAACTAAAAATCTTCTGGCTTATCAAAACCTGATTGTCAATAAAAATATGACCTTTAAATTATATCATTGTTTAAATTTAGACCCAGTAAGTCAACTTTGGTGAGGGTTACAAAAACAAGTTATTTATTAAACAGAATATGGTCACAAAATGGGCAAAGCTTTACAAGGAGAAAGAAATTACAAGAGAAGTTTTTGCTGACTTTCACACACTAGAAGAGTTTGCCACCGGGAATTTTAGGTCAGTCCTATAACTTTGGCGGGACGGAGTGGTCTAGCGGTAGAGAGCTGGACTGCTAACCCGTAAGTCTCAAGTTCGAATCTGGGTTCTAGTCAGTAGACCGTCCCTGAGTCCACCCAACTCTGATGGGTACCTAACTCACGTTAGGGAAAGTAAAGGCGGCTGGGCATAGTGCTGACCACACTATCTCTTCATGTGCCGAGGTCACAGAAACAAGTGAACTCTACTTCACTTGTCCCATAGACCGTCAGGTCTGAAAGGGAAACTTTACTTTTTTTTACATATAACTTTGAGGGAATTTTAAGGCGGACCTGTATTATACAGGATTTTAATGTCAGTCCTGTATTTAACTGGGAATTTTAAAAGGTGTAAGTAAAGTTCCCTTTCTTACCTGGTGCCCTACGGTGCAGGTGAAACAGAGTTCACCTGTTCCTGTGACCTCAGCATATGAAGGGATTGTGTGGTCAGCAGTATGCTCAGCTGTCTTTTTTTTCCTAACTTAAGTCAAATACCCATCAGAGTTGGGTGGATTCATGTTGTGCTACGACTTTTGCCCAGGACCTGAACTTAAGAGTTTTGGGATGGCAGACAACTGTTCTACCATTCTACCATGCCGCCACAAGTATAGTGTATTTTATTCATAGAATGCAAATCTGTTCAAACTTTAAAAAATGTTATAACCTACATTATGTTAGACCATCCTCCAAGCGGAATGTAGCACATGGACAAGAGAAATGGAGGCATTCCAAGAAACCTTTGAAACATCCACTCTTGAAGAGATTAGTTGGGCAAGAACAGTTGTCTCTACAGGCTTGCAAGAGTTATGTTGATATCCTTGTTCACATACCTAGTGTGTGTCATTATTGATGTCATATGTGTTTCTGTTTGCAAGAGTTATGTTGATATTCTTGTTCATGTACCTAGTGTGTGTCATTATTGATGTCATATGTGTTTCTGTTTGCAAGAGTTATGATGATATCCTTGTTCACATACCTAGTGTGTGTTGTCTATTGATGTCATATGTGTTTCTGTTTGCAAGAGTTATGTTGATATTCTTGTTCATGTAACTAGTGTGTGTTGGCTATTGATGTCATATGTGTTTCTATTTGCAAGAGTTATGTTGATATCCTTGTTCATGTACCTAGTGGGTGTCGTCTATTGATGTCATATGTGTATCTGTTGGACCTTTCCTACAACAAAAGTTGTACATCATCATATATATTTTTACTTGCTAGTTGGCTGTATATGAATCCAACGTGGTAGAAATAAATTTTAATTGGATTAGTGAAGGCAGGATCATGACATGGGGAGGGTGGTTTTAAGAAGGTTAAATTTTGAGTTTGTGCATAAACAATATTAGTATTAAGAATAGCACAAACTAGCCTTCATGTTAGTACTGTTAAGGTAACTACATAAATGAAGAAATAGTTCCTGCTTTATTCTATGATAGACATATACTAATTTAAAAAAAACTAATAGATTTTCTGTGACTCATTATTCTTTTAGTAATAATTACCACATTTTTGTTGAGCCAAAATTTGATTTAACAAAACATAAGTATTATGAAATATATGGGAGACTACCCAAGTAAAAAGGCCAGAACTGCCAGTGTCTTTTTTACAGATCAAATTTTTACAGGACCAGTGAATGATGTGAGTACATTTTGCTACAACAGTTTTCATGTTAGAATATAATTTTAAAACAATATTTGGGCATTTTTACCTTGTAAGATTCATGTTACCTAGATATTTTTACCTGTGTGATTCATGTCACTTAAGCATTTTTACCTTTTGTGTGATTCATGTTACCTAAGCATTTTTACCTTGTGTGATTCATGTTACCTAAGTATTTTTACCTTGTGTGATTCATGTCACTTGACAGGAGCTGTTGAGAGATGAGTTCTACTGCCAGATGATGAAGCAACTCACTGACAATAAAAATAGGTGAGCAATCCAAACACATAACATATATCGTTTTAGATTTATAGTGCTATACAATGTGATGTTCTTTTCTTTCATTTTTTTTCTCTTTTTTTCGATCACTTTTTAAGTAGATAGCAATTTTTACTTCAGAAAATATACAAGTTAAAAGTTACCTTCTTCCCTTTTTTGAGAAAAGAATTGCTTAAACACATTGTATAAATATATCTAGATATGAGCAAAGTGACAAATATGATGCTATAGATCATCTATACATATTTTATAAATACCAAAATGCTTTTTTGGTAACATTTAATGCATATTTTATAAATCCAAAAATTTTATTTTAGCAATGAATGCTTTTTTTTTTTAACAAAGCTGCAATTTGTTGGGTGTATAGATTCATGTTTTATAACACTTAAAATATTTGTTGTTAGCATCTGATCCATGTTTTATTAAGTTTTAAAAGTTTGTTTTGTTATCATCTGAGTTATGTTTTTATTTTGTTGAAAAAGTTTGTTTTGTTAGTATCTGATCCATGTTTTATTAAGTTGAAAATGTTTGCTTTGTGTGCATCTTATCCATGTTTTTATTAAGCTTAAAATGTTTGCTTTGATAGTGTCAGTGAGGAGAGAGGTTGGGAACTGATGTGGATGGCCACAGGTTGCATCTCACCCAGCCCAGACCTGCTGAAGGAATTGATCACATTCTTGATGACCAGGTGCCACATCAGTCTTGCTGCTGAGTGTCTGGGCAGGCTCCAGCTGTGTCTGAGGTAAACTCTGGTACCATATAGGTGTGTCTAAGGTAAACTCTGGTACCATGCAGGTGTGTCAAAACTCTGGTACCATACAGGTGTGTCTAAACTCTGGTACCATACAGGTGTGTCTAAGGTAAACTCTGGTACCATGCAGGTGTGTCTAAACTCTGGTACCATACAGGTGTGTCTGAACTCTGGTACCATACAGGTGTGTCTAAACTCTGGTACCATGCAGGTGTGTCTAAACTCTGGTACCATACAGGTGTGTTGAACTCTGGTACCATACAGGTGTGTTGAACTCTGGTATCATACAGGTGTGTCTAAAGTAAACTCTGGTACCATACAGGTGTGTCTAAAGTAAACTCTGGTACCATACAGGTGTGTCTAAACTCTGGTACCATACAGGTGTGTCTAAACTCTGGTACCATGCAGGTGTGTCTAAACTCTGGTACCATACAGGTGTGTCAAAACTCTGGTACCATGCAGGTGTGTCTAAACTCTGGTACCATGCAGGTGTGTCTAAACTCTGGTATCATACAGGTGTGTTGAACTCTGGTACCATACAGGTGTGTTGAACTCTGGTATCATACAGGTGTGTCTAAAGTCTGGTACCATACAGGTGTGTCTAAGGTAAACTCTGGTACCATGCAGGTGTGTCTAAACTCTGTTACCATACAGGTGTGTCTAAACTCTGGTACCATACAGGTGTGTCTAAACTCTGGTACCATACAGGTGTGTCTAAACTCTGGTACCATGCAGGTGTGTCTAAACTCTGGTACCATACAGGTGTGTCTAAACTCTGATACCATACAGGTGTGTCTAAACTCTGGTACCATACAGGTGTGTCTAAAGTAAACTTTGGTACCATGCAGGTGTGTCTAAACTCTGGTACCATGCAGGTGTGTCTAAACTCTGGTACCATGCAGGTGTGTCTAAACTCTGGTACCATGCAGGTGTGTCTGAACTCTGGTACCATGCAGGTGTGTCTAAACTCTGGTACCATGCAGGTGTGTTAGGGTAAACTCTGGTACCATGCATGTGTTTCCAAGTTAATCTCTTGTACTATGCACCTGTCTTAATCAAACTCTAGAACCAGCTAATTTTACAACCATGAATCTCCCAACATTAATTTTAAGTCCTTTAAATATTGTCACAACTCACTGTCTTTGTATACACTGAAGCCAGTTTTTTTATTCATTTGACAGATGACAACCTAAAACCCAATTGTATTTTATCTAAAACGTTTCAATTCTGTATGAATTAAGTAATAATTAGTGGTTAAAAATGCTCTATTGGAAGATTTTAATTATAAGAGCAAAAAAACATTCCATGAGTGTCTATATAAAATTTTTTAGTTTAAGCATAATGACATAGTGATTTGCTATTTTTTTTATCCTAGAGGTTAATGCTATTCAACACGAGAATGTTTATATAATATTTTGTAGGTTTAACCATAATGACATAGTGGTTTACAATTTTGTTTATTTTAGCAAGGGTGTTCGCAAGAGCCCCCCTCACATTCTTGAGGTAAATGCCATTCAACAGAAGACACTGAAGATCTCACAAAGGGTGAATTTCCCAAACAACAGAAATGAGGTATGGACCAGCCACACTTGTATTATTTTGAAATAATTGAGTCTATTCTATTTAAATCCCTTGACACCTTATCCATTATTTAATTTGAATAATGTGTCTTTTAGGTTATCTTATTATTGGATTTTTGTTTATATGATTAACTTTGATTTAATATACAAATTTTATTTTTTACATTTTTACAAAAAAATAGAAGGCCTACTTATTTTTTTTAGATCCATGGCTTATGTTTTTAAAGATTTACTTCATAATCTTTAGATATATGACATACATTCAAGCTCAACAGCTGGTGACCTTTGCCAGGAAATCTGCAAAAAGTTAAACATAAAGTCATTTGAAGGTTTCAGTGTATTTCTACAAGCTAATGATAAAAGTAGGTTCCTGTTTGAATTCTTATTACGGTAAATGCTTAAAGTTCTTAATTTTACAAACTAGTGCTAAAAACATGTGACAATTTGGATAATTGAACACTATTAGTATTATCTGCTGATAAAAGCCTTCCTCATTCATGCTACATATTTGAGTATGGTGCAGTTAGGATAATTAAAATTAGAATTCATTGGTTCTTTTTTTTTTTTTTTTTTGCAGTGTTGAGCATACCAGAGGAAGAATTTTTTTTTGATTGGCTGCACATGAGCTCATTAGAATCAGCCTCCAAAGGGAAAAAACAACCAAAAAAAGGTTTGACAGAAAAAAAAATCATTTCTTCCAAATTATTTTTAAAAAACACAAGCATTTAAATTGTTAGTAAATAACATTTGGTTTTAATGAGTGTATATTTGTGTTTTTGTCCCACCATATTATAAAATTACATAAAAATATTTTTATAAGCTGACATAGCCCTATACTTAAAGAATTGTATTTTTCAAATCCATGTTATTTCAGCTTTTCATGAGCCCATTACTATTTTTTAAATACTACAACAGCTGCTATTATTTGTATATTATAATTTCTACCTTCAAAACATGCCAAGCAGTTAGTTTAGTTTATTTAATTAAATGTGGTTTACTCTCCACTGGATCACAGGATCAACACCCAGTACAGGGTGTGAGGTATTTTTCATGAAGAACATTTGGATTGAGATAGAGCCAGGAGAAGACACACAAGCAGATTTGTTGTTCCATTATTATCAGGTAAAAAATGTTTTCATCTTCTGTGGTCTCATTTTATGGTAATATTCAAATTATAAAATGCTATGATATATAAATTTTTGTAGAGTTAAATTACCTTTTTTATATTCCTTAGTCACACATCAAAAGTCCTATATGTACAATAGTTTATTCTTTATCTTTGCAGATTTATTGTGTGAATTGTAACTCAAGTATAATGAACCACTCACTCCATTCACTTTTCTAGCATTTAATAATCATTTCAACATTTTTATTTCTCAGCTTTTTTTTTACATTGTTTTTTTTCCTTCTCAACCACTACCTATTTTTTTTCTAATACAATAAAACTACTTGAGCAGAAAATAATCCCAAAAAATAAATTTTAAAAACCCATTTGTTAACTTAGTCATCACAGTGTTTTTCATTCATCTTAATCTGTTCCACTATATATCGTTACTTAGTAAATATAATTGTTCTTGTTCTACCTTTAGAATGTTGTTTTATTTATACTTCTTATAAAAATGTACTGGTTACAGTCAATGTGAAAAAATGCTACTGTGCCTACTATAGTCAGCCTAAAAATATAAAGTTAATTATTATTTATTTTTATAATCTTTTGTCTCCTTACTTAATATATTTGTTACACTTTTTTTTGTATTTTGTTGTATTTGTTATCCCCCCAGACACTGCCATACTATTTAAAGAGTTTTTACAAATGTACATTGGAAGAAGCTACACAGCTAGGTGCTCTGGTCTACAGAATACAGTATGGGGAAGATGAAGCAAACTTCAACAACATTTCGTATGCCTCATCAATAATACCTACTATTTAGCACCTAATCATTGTAATACATTTAATTAAAATAACTTTAAATTACATACTTACTATTTACTTCGTAAAAAGTTAATTCAACAGTATTTTGTATGCCTCATCCATAATATCTACTATTTAGCCCCTGTTTGTAATACATTTAATTAAAATAATTTTAAATTACATTATTACTGTTTACTTTGTAAAAAAATTAATTTGAAATCTAATCAAATCACTTTGACAGAAAGATCTTAAAGCAATTGATTCCAAGTGATTTGATAGAAGTCCAAAAAGCTAAAGTTTGGAAACAGGTAGTTAGAGTTATTCTTGCTTAGCGCTAATTTTCTTATCTAAAAGACAGAGGTTGATTGATAATAGAGAATGTATGTTTGCTGTTGCAAGTTCAAAACACTGTACATAGATGGAGACTTGATGTGAATTGTTGCCACTCAATCGTTTCTCTTAGCTGTTGCAGCTAATAAAACATGCCTATCTTCCTTCATAACTTGTATACCACATATAATATATGTGTTACATTACTTCCATTTAGTGATTTATATGTTAAGAGTTAAAATTGCCATAGAAGAACTTACATTATTTTTTTTTTTAATATGGACTTATATTCTATGTAGCCTACATAATATAAATAATTACTTAACTGTGAAAATTGTATTTATTAAATGTGTGCAAGGTAATTCTTCATTACTAAATTATTTAAATGATCTTTATTAGGATATACTAGCAGAATACCATAAAAATGAAGGCAAGAGTGACAGTTTATGTAAAGTTGATTTTCTTAAGATCATATCCAAGAATACAACCTATGGCTCAGATTTCTTTGAAGTTAAGGTACAGATATTTTTTTTTATATTTCTTTTAAAGAAAATAATATTTTTTTGTTTTCAAAATATCTTTAAATATTGTTTTATGAGTGAATATTTTAAAATTGTTTTATGAGTGAATATTTTAAATTGTTTTATGAGTGAATATTTTAAAATTGTTTTATGAGTGAATATTTTAAAATTGTTTTATGAGTGAATATTTTAAATTGTTTTATGAGTGAATATTTTAAAATTGTTTTATGAGTGAATATTTTAAAATTGTTTTATGAGTGAATATTTTAAAATTGTTTTATGAGTGAATATTTTAAAATTGTTTTATGAGTGAATATTTTAAAATTGTTTTATGAGGGAATATTTTAAAATTGTTTTATGATTGAATATTTTAAAATTGTTTTATGAGTGAATATTTTAAAATTGTTTTATGAGTGAATATATTTAAATTGTTTCATGAGTGAATATTTTAAATTTACTTTTACAGCAAACATCAGACTCAAGTCTCCCAAGTGATCTTATTATAGCAATCAATGAAAATGGATTTCACCTGTTACACAATGAGACAAAGGTAATTTAGGTTCAGGTTTTTACTTTTTAAAAAATAAAATTAGTTCTGATTTCAGTGTCACAAGATGGATTCTTCCAAAACTAGGTGCACTATGTAATATAATGTAAAGTCAAGAATTAGGGTTAGGACTTGATCAGGGATAGGGTTAAGCCTATTACATTAGCCAGTTATATTAGTTAACAGTTAGTTCTAGTAACTTTTTCTTGATTGTTTGTTACAAAAATATTTTCATGAAAAACCCCTCACACACTCTGTTTAAAGATCACTCAGTGAAACAGTTTATGCTATCAAACAATTTAAACTTTCTATACTGTACCAGAAATGTTAAGTAGTTGAGGGTCAACAGGGTTCATACTGAATAAATAATAAATGTTTCTATAACTGTAACATGTATGCAATTAGAACTTTTTTTTGATAAAGTTAGAAAAGGATAATAATAATTAAAAATTGCTTATAGAAAAACTACATTAAGTAGATTATTATTTTTATACTGATATTTTTACTATTGTTGAATAGAACCTATTGGCCAGATACCCATTCTCTAAGATCACACACTGGAAGAGTGATGACACGTTTTTTCATATGAGTTTAGGTGGGGATCTCAGTGATGAGTTCAAATGCAAAACAGCAATGGTAAGTGTACAGGTCAGGTGGTACATAGGTGTACACATAGTTTGTACTTAAGTGTACAGTATAGGTGGTTATGGGACTGCGTGGCCCAGTGGTAGAGCGCTAGACTGCTAACCTGAAATTCTGAAGTTCGAATCAGGGTTCAAGTCACTTGGGAAGTTTAAATAGAATCTCATGCTTGGGCTTTTATCTGGGGAAGTTCAAATATAATAACTAATTAACATATTATTATATAGTCAGTATGGCCTATCTACTGAAAAATTGTTTTTATATCAACTATCAAACATTATAATGAATCACCAAGTGTATGGACTGAATATATTTTTGTTTATATTTCAGGGTTACAGGGTTGCTGATCTGCTCAAGTCATACATTAAGTTGATAAGTTAATTTTAGAATACACTGCTATAAATATTTATGTTTTGTCTATGAATGATATTGTAACTATTTATATCTTTAACTCAAAGTAGGCCTAAACAAAATTTGTTTGTATATTAATGATGACTGTGGACATTTAAACATTCAATTATCATCACAATATTGAAATATATTTATCGAGTTTTATTTCTATAACAAATTTTTTTCACAGACATTGTTTCACCTAATTTATTATCATGATAACATTTAATGTAAAATAGTTATTGTTGTCAGTTATTATCAGGTAACAATCATTTTTCTTGGACCACTAAGAACATTTTGGTATGGTGGGGCAGGTGAAATAGAGTCTATCTGGATTTACAGCTACAGAAAATGACATAACTGTATGACCAAATTTACTTTCTCAGGTATCCAATAGGTATCCAATAGATCTAATTGGAAAAAAAAATTGATTTCCAAATTTGAGTATTTAGTGACTATTGACAGTTTACTGGCAAAACAGGATAGTTTTTGGTGTGCTATATTTGCAGTTGAACTCTACTTCATCTGCCCCCTATATCTTGGGCACAAATGGGAAATGATGATATTAACAGTAGATACAGAATTATTAAAGTGAACAGAGTGTGAGAAATGTTTCAAATATGGAAGAATAATTTTAAATAATTAAAAAACGAACTGGCCACTTTGTCCATATTTTTGGAACTTGCTAATTTTTATACTACTGTGACTTATAAATTTGTATTTTTTTCTGTGATTTGTCAATTTGTATATTACTATGACTTGCAACTTTGATTGTTTTTTCACATTACAAATTTAAAAATACAAACACTGCAGATGAAATAGGCCTTACTTCAGTATCAGGTTTATAAACAAAAGATTATTTAATTTATGCAACATTAGGTCTATACAAAAGTGTACTAATATGTACACTAAGCTGTATTTAACTTTATGTAAACGTAATTAAAATATACTGTGTTACAAATTTGTTACATTTTTATGGCATACGATACTAATAATAATAAAAAAAAAATTGTTCTGGCCTGTAATGACTTTTTATTGTTTTGTATGAAGTATTATATATTCCAATAATATAACTGAGCATGCTCTTGACATAATTTCTCACAGCACTTGTGTAAAACAATGTTGTATCTTCATTTTAAATAAAAACATTTTAATATGTTTTTGACTGCACTATATATATAGTTAGAGCATTGGTTGGGTTCTAAGAGTGCCATATAGTGTAGTGTTGTTTGTGTATGGTGTATGTTTGTAATGTGTATGTATTGTGTGTATTCAGTGTGTGAGTGTGCTTTTAGTGTGGGTAGTGAGTGTGTGTGTGGCATGTGTAGGCCTTATGTATGTAGTGGGTTTCTGTGCTGTGTGATTTTCGTGTGGGTAGTATGTGTGTTTTTGTGTAGTGTGTGTATTTGTATGCTGTGGTGTGTGTAGTGTGTGAATGTACTCTGTATGTGTCATGTGAATAGTATGGTACAATGTATGTGTTTACGCCTATATATGTATACATAGTGCTCGTAAGCACTGTGTGAATTGAGTGTGTGTGTGGTTGTCTACCGTCGCCCCCCCCCCCCCCCCCCTGAAAAAAGTCAGAAAGAAACACTGCATTTGGTGGTTGTCTTGAGCCAGCTAAACTTTGTGCCAGGCAAATCAACATACATGAATTTTAACAAGAACATATGCATGTGACAAGCAATATTACTGGCATGGACTCATTTTGTATTAGGTATGGGGGCGGGTGCGTTTTATTAGTTTTAAAATTGTTTATGATTAGGCTTACGCTGTCCATTAGGGATATTTATTAGTCGTCATTAGTGTTATAAGCCTAGAATTGGCTAGAATCGATGTGGATAATAATTTTTTTTTAATGTTAAAAAACGGTCTTAAAATAGACAAATTATTCTACGTGTCTATTTTTTCTTTTAAAAATTTCGTAATGTAGCTACAGAAAGGGGAAAGGGGGGGGGGGGGGAGAAGGTGAGACACGGTACCAGGGAGTTATCCTTGACCCGGAAGGTTAACTTTGTAGGAGTTCTCAAAATGGCGTCTAACAATTACATTGAACTTATTATTTTGATGTTGTTTATCTCTGTAAATTTCTGTGCTATGGCTCAAAATTATGGAGATTTCGACCCTTCTTATCAACAGAAGGCTGTAGCCCAACACAGGACAGACGCCTTGACAATTCTTATGCTTTTAGGACTTCTTTTATTAACAATTTTAACTGTGTGGCTATTCAAACACAGACGTTTCCGATTTGTTCACGAAACAGGCTTGTCGATGATCTATGGTAAACAAAATTCAAAGTAGTTATGCCCAACTAGATTAAGATTAGATCTAGATTCTATAAGATAACACTTTGTTAAGATGAGAAAAGTAAAAGGGTATTTACACTAGGGTGAATAAAATAAAGGTAATAATGTAACATAAATAAAAATATGAGTCATTCCCAGTTCATTGACACAGCAGACTCATCAGTTGACAGTTGTTGTGTCTGGTGGGAATAGACACGTTTTAGGCCTAATTTAAGTTTGTTTTACTAATTTAAACTTTCAACTAATTTTAAATACATTTTTAAAGATTTAGGCCTAATAATGTCATGAAACTATGTAGCTGAGTGAACCAATGCATGGCTGTCATGCTGTAGCTAGTAGTAGATCTAGAATAGATCTAGACTAGAAATCTAGTAGAGCTAGTGAATAAGTGATGCTGGATGTTGTGCCTTCAATTCTAAAGTTCATCCAATCGGCATTCAGTAAATTTTTAAATTCTCAACTTTACTCTTTTGCCGTTACTCATTTCATTAAGTAGGCCTAAACAATTTATATTTTATAATTCCAATATTTTCTAGCTTATTTAGTAATATATAGGCCTACATATTTGCCGAAAGAAAAAAGTAACACTTTTAACACCCCCTATGCCACCTAAGGCCTATATTTTTGCTAAAAGAGAAAAAAAACTTGGGAAAATTGTGATGAAAACATGAATAATAACCTATTTAAACTTAATGCTACTTCACCTGATATTTGTTCTATGTTAATTTTAAAATGGTAGGCCTAATTAGAATGAACTGCTAAACCAAAAAGTGTTGGTGATGCATAATAATTAAATTAAATATTACTATTTCTATTAGGCCTATTAACTTATTAAGACCTAGTGTAATAATCAGGTCTACTCTAGTTTTAAAGTGTATTAGTATAATTAATCATGTACTTAGCAAATATACTTAAACCATAATACCTTTTCTTATAAAAATATATAATTACATTAAAAAATAGCTTGTTATTGTAAGTCACCTACAGCAACTGGGAATAGCCATATTAGGGCTATTCCCAGCTGACAATTGACATATAAACTTAAGTTTAGTAAGGGATGACATTCCTGATACCTTTCCATGGTAGAATAATTTGCTTTTTAATTATGAAGTTGTAAATAATAAATATGTAAAAAGTTCTGCATTTAAAGTCAATTTAACTAAAATTCAGACTAAACATTAGCTCAGTTGCAAGACCAACTTCGAGTCTAAATGATTGTGAGTGATAAGCAAGCACTCTCTAAGATTATCCTTAAAAAACTCTACTATAAGTCAAGTCAATATGATTTTGAAAATATCTTTAGCCGTTTTTGTGAAAAGTCAATATTTTTGGGTACTTGTCTAGAACTCTTGGTGTCATTGTTACAAACATGATTGGAAAGTGCAATTCATATTCATTCTAAAAATAGGTCTAAATAAATAAAAACTAAATTTGAAGACCTGACTCTTTCAAGAGCTGAAATATATTATTTTATTCATTAGGAAATTTAATTTATGTTACATTATTTGGTGTCAGATCATTCCTTCTTGGTGGTATAAAGGGTCCAGAACGCCAATTTGTAAAAATAATTTGTAATTATTCTTAAACAACTGTTTGTTAATGAAATGCAAATTTATAAACTTATTTCTCCTATTGTTTAGGTCTTATAGTAGGAGCCATAATCCGTTACACCAGTGATGCAAAACACATACCTACCATACCGGCAGAACTGCGTTCAAATGAATCATACACATCTTTAAACCCGCCAGATTATATTTCCATTTATCTCAACCATTCAAACACCTCTCATGGACCACCAGACCAGATTATCTACGCCTTTAAGGGAGCAGTGAAAGCTAATGAAGAATCACCTTTAGAGAGAGCTGTAAGCTACTTATTCTTTTTTTTTGTATATAACCTGCTAAATGTTTGTAAAATTATTAGAGTTAGAGTACTAAAATTTCGTATAATATATTTTTGCTTATATAATTGTAATTCAGAAAGCATATTTTAACATTTATATTTAGTTTAGGTTTAATAAAGTCTAAAGTTATAACAGACAAACTTTAAAATTATTTTGTAAAAATGTTAAATGTTTGTTATATTGGAATGTTGCAATAAAATATTTATATTTAGTGTTATGTTGCATAAAGTTTTGAAAAAATAAATGTTTTTTTTTCTTGGCAGGTAACGTTTTCACCCGAAATGTTTTTTAATGTAATGCTTCCGGTCATCATATTCAATGCTGGCTACAGTATGAAAAGGGTACAGAGAATTTCATACTTTTTATACCGTTTAAACTTTTACCCATTTCAATTGAAATTCTTTCAATATTTACAGTAATCAAATGGTAGCTTTAATGTTAAAAAATGTATTATTTTTTTTAGAAACATTTCTTTAAAAACCTTGGAGCCATTCTTATGTACGCACTAATTGGCACAACAATATCAGCACTGGTTGTGGGGTGAGTACTTCCGCTTTGTGGGTATAGTGTGGTTGATTTTATTTTAGTTCATGATGTTCATGTTCATATTACTTTACTTCTGCCTCCAGCTTATAAAGTTTTGTTTAGTTCATGGTTTTCATATTAGAGTTTTACCTTGTGGGTATAGTGTGGTTAATTTTATAAGTGAGTTTTTATTTGAGTTCATTTTGTTCATATTATTTAACTGCTGCCTTGAGCTTATAGTGAGGTTGAGCTCATGAGGTTTTGTTTAATTCATTGTGTTCATATTAAACCAGGGGCGGAACTACAGTGCCGCCAGACCCCGCAATGCGGGGGGGGGGGGGGGGGGCACGCCATTTAGGGGCCCAGAGCCGACCATAATCCATTTTTTATAGTTTAAAAAAAAGGAAATTTTCTTTCATTTTTGACTTGATGGTTGTTTTGTAAAAAATTACCGTAGCTGCGGTTGGATTATATTTATTCTATAGACACCACCCCACGCTCTTGTATATTCTTTTTCCCTTTGTTTTTAAACCAATGTGAAAGCCGAGTCTTTCTCCTACAATTAAACTTATCAAAGATAAGCAACTGTTTAAACCACTTCCATGACTTATTTCCCTTTTTTTTAAAATAGTCAAATAGGGGTGATCATAAGCTCGTTTTAATAGATTTGTACTAAACAAATTTAAAAGCAATTACTTCTCTTAACTATTCTTTTTTTATAAAGTACTTGCTAAAGAATGACATAGTATAAAAAGGAAATGTATTAAGTCAATAATATTTAAAAAATTAATAATATAAATACAAAGAAAAACATAAAAATAAACATAACACGAGGCACCATTACTTATACAAAGCTTTTATGTTTTATATTATTTTGACCCAATGGAAATATTAAGAGGGCTTCTAATTAAAATAAATTAAAACTGATTTTCACAAAACATACTAATGCACTTACACACATGACATGATGTTGAAATTTCTTTAATTGATGTTTTTCAAAACCCGAACAGGCCAGCAACGAGTATCCTATGTTCGCATTTTGTGATTGTATATATATTATTATGTGTGTATATATATATATATATATATATATATATATATATATATATATATATATATATATGGGGGGGGGGGGGGGGGGCTAAAAAATTTTTTTGCGGGGTGGGCCTTTTTTCCTAGTTCCGCCACTGTATTAAACTTTTGCCTTGTGGGTATAGCTTGATATATTTCATTAGCTCTTGTCTTAGTTCAAGATGTTATTTCTTAATCAACAAATGTGTGTGATTACTTTAACCATTGTATGGGTCTGTAAATAATCAAGGAAGTGTATTCTTTGCTTCATAGGGCTATTATGTATGGATTAACCAGGCTTATGGCTGACATCAAAATTACTCTTAATGAGTGCTTTATTTTTGGGGCTTACCTTTCAGCGACAGACCCAGGTAAGGAGACATTTTCCTCTCACGTGTTGATTGTAGAAATTCTATTTATACATTTTAATAACTTATCTTTTAAAAATAAAAAGTGTAAAGAATTGCCAATGTTATGATTTGTTTTAGCTTTATTGTGAGCAGCAATGAAGTTTAAATTTTTCCTTCTAGTGACAGTCTTGGCGTTGTTCAATGACCTTCATGTGGACGTTGACCTGTACGCCCTAGTATTTGGAGAGAGTGTCTTGAACGATGCAGTTGCTATTGTTTTGTCAGAGTACGTCTTTATTTTCACATATTTTTTAGTTATGTCTGTTTCATTTGGTTTGCCAGAAGGGGAATTAAATATCAAAGCTTTTTTGCTTATATTAGTATTACCAAGGTTTGGATAAGGCATAGTTATGGCCATACTAGAGATTATAGAACTATTTTTAAGTTTTAAGACAAAGTATTTTTTATATCTATTTTATTTCTACTTTAACATGGTTATGAAAGCAGTAAAAAAAAAAACTAAACTTGTGTTTAACCCTGCTTATTTCAGGTCAGTAGAGACATATGGTGAGTACTCTACAGATGCCTTCAGCCTTGAAGCATTCTTCAGTGCGTTGGGAAAGTTTGTGGGTGTGTTTGCTGGAGCTTTTGCTATTGGTACAACCATGGGGGTGATAACAGCTTTTGTATCCTTTTCAATGGTGAATGGTTTGATAGCCACATGATCAATGTTTTTGGTGTATTTTGTGTTGTTGATTTGTATAGCCATCACTGACTCTACAGTTGTTATGGAAGGTCCAAACCTACCATATTCCCATTCTAGTCTGTAAAAATGGGTCTATTCAAATAGTTTAAGTTTGCTGTGGTAACTGTTCAACATTTAGACTATCTGATCTTTGGTTGACAATAAAAACATATTCTTTGATATGATAGTGTTTCACATTTAAGAATAATATATGAAGTAAATTTCTACTTAAAACAGGATCAGTAGTACAAAGTTCAATACAATTTTTATTTACAAATCGTTTTTGCTGTGTTTTAAAATCCTTAATGAGATAACTAGCTGACAAAGTTTACCAAACTGAGAGATTTTCCTCTATTGGAGACGGCGCTCTTCTTTCTCATGTCCTACAGTACGTTTCAAGCTGCAGAAGCAGCAGATCTGACTGGTAAGTCTGCAGTATTAGCAGTAGATCTGACTAGTAAGTCTACAGTATTAGTAGCAGATCTGACTGGTAAGTCTACAGTATTAGTTGCAGATCTGATTGGTAAGTCTACAGTATTAGTAGTAGATCTGACTGGTAAGTCTACAGTATTAGCAGCAGATCTGACTGGTAAGTCTATTAGCAGCAGATCTGACTGGTAAGTCTACAGTATTAGTAGCAGATCTAACTGGTAAGTCTACAGTATTAGTAGCAGATCTGATTGGTAAGTGTACAGTATTAGTAGCAGATCTGACTGGTAAGTCTACAATATTAGTAGCAGATCTGAATGGTAAGTCTACAGTATTAGTAGCAGATCTGACTGGTAAGTCTACAGTATTAGTAGCAGATCTGACTGGTAAGTCTACAGTATTAGTAGCAGATCTGACTGGTAAGTCTACAGTATTAGCAGCAGATCTGACTGGTAAGTCTACAGTATTAGTAGCAGATCTGACTAGTAAGTCTACAGTATTAGCAGTAGATCTGACTAGTTAAAATACTTTAAATACAGTGTTTATCATTCGTAGATTGGGTTCAATCTTTTGTAAAGAAACTTCTAGGGTAAAAGTTCAGATAAATATCTTGTTAATTAACCAAACACAATTAAAAGTGATTGCCAGATAAATTAAGTATTGATGTAAGTAGGTTGTTGCTGGAACTACTTTTTTAAGCTGTTACCTTAGTAATGATGGCTGCGGAAAAGACCAATCCACATTTTCATTTATTTACAAATTTGAGCGGTCATTTCAAACTACATGCCTTTAGTTTCATTCAATCAAATTCTGCAACAATAATGATTAGATTATCACAATGTATGCTTAGTACATTGCACTTTCCCTAGACTAAAGCAGGGGAGATGGTTAGGTGGTAAAGCACATGACTGCTAATCTGAAAGTCTTAAGCCAGGATCATGGGCTAGAGTCCCTGAGTACACCCAGCACTGATGTGTACCTGATTTACATTAGGGGAAGTAAAGGCCACTGGACATAGTGCTGACCACAGTATCCTTTTGTATACAGAGGTCACTGTTATTTAGTGTATTTATTCTCTTAAAATAGCCTACTTATCTTTAAAATCAAAATTTTCCAATGAATTAATTTGTATTCTATTTCTTTAGGCATTGTGGCTGTGTTATTTTGTGGGATCACCCAAGCTCATTATACATACAATAACCTCTCTATTGAGTCTAAGTACAGATCTAAACAGGTCAGACATTTTATAGATTATTGTTATTATTTTCTTTTTGTTTTTACACCTATCTTGGGACATCACTCAAGTTTAGAAACCAGACCTTAACAGTTTGTTTATCTCATTATTTGTTTTTGGTGTCTTTTATTATATACTGGCTATGTGTTCAGTTTACTTATTAGGTCTGGTATAGAAGATCAGCTGTTAGATAATTTTATGATTAGGGTAATTAAATGTGGACCATGCAGTGAATAAATAATTTATCATTTGTTTACTTTCAGCTATTTGAGGTTATGAACTTCTTGTGCGAAAACTTTGTGTTTTTGTACATTGGTGTGTCCATCTTCACATTTGAGGCACTCAAGTGGCATGCTGGATTTATTTTTGCGTCTTTTGTATCCTTTTTATGAAGTCTCTGGCGTAGTTTAACTGCTGCAGTGTTGACATCAAGTGACATTTTCTAATAAGAAGGGAAAAGCCATTAATACTATTCTTACCAGTAGTTTTAATATTCTTATTTAATTTTTTTTTAGCAAATCCTTACCTTTTACACAGTTTTTAAGCTATTTTAATTTTAGTATATGACATTTATTACAAAAAATTAAAATATTTTGCTTAACAAATTATTAGATGGCTGTGATAGTGGCCAGATTTTTTAATGTGTACCCACTGTCTTTCTTGCTAAATCTGGGCCGTAGTAATAAAATCAGACCTAATTTTCAGCACATGATGATGTTTTCTGGTAAGTCTACTTTTGTGTTATCATGAATGAGTAGTGTAAATTAATACCTAGCAATGTAAGGAAAATATACTTTTGATAAAAAAAATTTTATATGACATGCAAAGAGTTAATTTGTTTCTTACTTAAGATAGTTCTTGATAATTCTTTTTTTTTTTTAAACTTTTGTACTTGTTTTTTTTTTTACAAATATTTAAGAACATTTGTCGGCGTGGTCGAGTCGGTTAAGCTCATGGTTGCTTAACCGAAAAGTCTCGAGTTCGAACCCTCGGGCAGATGAGGCTCGTTAGCTGGGGACAGCCACTCTTCTAGGAGAGACAACTCCAAAATTAAACAACTGCTGCCTTGTAGATTGTTTTTGGTTGGACAAAGGCTATGGAAGCAAATCCAAAAAAAAGAAAAGCAGGCTGAAATCGGAGTCAATGGCCTCAATGGCGCATAACCAGTTGACACGTAACGCTTAATTGTGTTGGAGGCGTGGTCGCGTCGGCAAAAAGCTCATGGTTGATAAATTCGAACAAAGTCTCGAGTTCGAACCCACTGGCAGATAAATCTCGATCCCCTTCAACACTAATAATTAAGAACGAAGAAGAAGAAGAAGATAAGAACATTTTTTAATACCTTTTCAGGCTTACGAGGTGCTATGGCCTTTGCCTTGGCTATACGGGAGACTGACTCTGAAGGGAAGCAGCTCATGGCCTCAGCAACCATAATCATTGTTTTAGCCACTGTTATACTTTGTGGGGGTTTCACAACACCTATGTTACAGTGGCTTCAGATAAGGTAAATACTGGGTGGACTTTAGAACACATACACACAATCATTAAATCTTGATTATTCTGTGCATTAATTAATTTAAATATTTAAAAATTTGTAAGTCTGTATCATGAAGTTTGTAAAATAAATTAATTATAACATACATATTTTATTCAGTGAAAATCAAGATTGTGGTTTTAAAGAATGAAAAATGTTTTGAAATTTTTTACACAAAATTAGTTCTCAAAAAAGTTGACCAAAATTTTTGGCTTTTCTCTAAATGCTTAATTAAGAACATCAAATTATCTTTTCTCCTATACCAGTCATTATAAATGTTAAATAAAACTTATAGAAAAGTTTGATCTTAGCCTTTATTTATGTCTTTACATCTTCAAAAATCTTCTATGCAACAGGGTGGGCGTGGATGAAAATGAAACAGAAATGCAAAACATGGCTGGGGATTCTGTTCGAAGTGTAAGTGATTTTTGTATTTCATTTTGTTTATTGGAATTAATGTATAATGGTACCATAATACTGCATTCATTTTTTTTTTAAATATTTATCCCCATATATTTTATTTTTGTTTGAAATGTATCATTAGACATTAAATACATTATATTATTTTCACTATAATTAGAAATTTTAGGTCATGGCATGATTTGGAAGTAAAATACGATCTTAAGGATGTTAAAATAATTATTGTTTTAAAAATGTGCTAACAATCAAATTTATTAAAACACAAAACTTCTTTTATTGATTAGTTCAACTTATGAATTAAAGAAAATCTTCTATGTCCATTTGTTTGAGAATCTGGTAATTTTTCTCAAAGAAGTTTGATGGATCAGCATTTTGTTGGTAGCTTTCAAAAACTTCAGTGCTGAAAGAGCTCATGACTTTGGTTTTTTATTTCCTAATCTACTTTTTATTTTTATTTTGGAACAGCTGACCCCCGATATGGTGGTATGTTGACCATTGTCCCCATATTCAAGACAATTTTACAATTTTATAGTTCACTTCCAATCACAAAAAAGTTTTCATGTTTTTATTAGTAACCCAGTTGCCTTTACATGTTGTGTTTTTTTTCTCAATTTCTAAGGATACTGTTTCAACATTAATTCAGGGGTCATCCATAAGCAATGTTATGCAAGTTTATCTGATTCTTATCCCTCACCCCCACTTTCATTACAGTTAAAGGAAAACTAGACCAGTCACTCTTTAAATGTCACACTATTTCCCCCCTCTCGTTAAAATCAACACATTTTTTTATATTAATCTTATTTTTAGGTAAAATCCGTACTAGATTTTTTGATACCCGTACCTCCACAGCACACCTTCAAACAATGTATAAGTCCCTCTACGCAGTACTTGGCATTATTGTATGGATGGCCCTAATTTTAAAAAAAATATATATAATACTCTCTAAAAGCATTTCTGAATTCATCTCCAGATTTTTTTAGCCTATGCTTTCATTATTGTTGGCATATTCTAACTGTGGGGTTGGGGTTCAATTTACATGGAGTAATGGTACCAAAACAGGAGTAAAAAAAGATTAGTATAAAATACTGGTATAATATAATGCAAGATGCATTTAATGCAATTACCAACAGATAATAAAAAGCAGTATAAAATGTTGATACAGAATATTGCAGTCTTTTTTTAATGAAGTTCCAGGATGTGATAATGGTTATATTGGCTTGTAGGCTATGTACCAGTATCATTAAATGTTTTATAATGTTAATTTATAATTAGAAGATTTAAACTTATCCTTGTTTTAAACTGTGTGCACAGCCTACATGTTCTTATTTTCTTCAGCTTTTGTATTCATTTTCTGTCATATGCTATCATGGTTACAAGTGTCATGGTTTCAGCTATGATGGTTTCAGCTATCATGGTTTTAACTATCATGGTTTTTTAATTTTGTTTGGGAAACAGTGGGGGGAGGGTTAGGGGTTTAGGGCTATTGATATACGTATAATAAAGATAAGCTTCCAAGTCTTAATTATATTATGTTTGACTAGATTAATTAGTTTATCTTTGAGTTCAAAAGTTTTTGTTTGACTGAGTTAATTAGTATACAGTCAATTAGTTATTTTTCTTTAAATTAGTTAATTAGCTTTCAGTTTTTTTAAATTATAAAAATCTTTTGCCTTGTTTCTTCAGACCTTTGATTAAACTTTGCACCTGTCTCATGCCCTTCTCCCTTAGGCCATATCCTCCCAGCGCCTGTATAGCACCATCAGCAGCCACCAGAGTGGCGCCACTGGTCAGTCCTCAGTTCCTCACTGCCGCAGGGTTCATCTCCCCACCTCTGTAGGTGACAGTGTCAAGCTCATTTTGCATGAGATTTTTTTCTTCTCAACAGCTTGTGTTGACTTGGATTCAACTGTTTCATTTTGTGTTCTTCGTGTTTCTTTTTCATTGGATTCTTGTTCAATATTTTGACCACTGGCACAATTTACTGCTACAGCGAGAAAAACAAATTTTTTATAAGATTTAAATTATTTAGTTGTGAATGCCAAGCAACAGGTTTTAAGTTCATTATATTTTATAATGCTCTGAAATTAAATTCGGAACACAAGTGATACATTCTAGGAAAAAAACAACTTCTTTCTGTTTCATAGAAATATATAATACTGTTATGAAGTACTTATTTCCTTCTACTAATTAATTTTGACGGTGCTACCATTGAGGGATATTAAAAAGTATTCTTTTACTCAAAATTGTAAAATCTCAAGAATGAACAAGCCAGACAAGTTGAAATATTTGATGTTGTGTTATCATTTCAAATTGTTTTTTTTTAGTGTGTGTTACAAGTTCAAGAAGTTTTTGTTGTATTCTGTCATGTTTTTGTTGAATTCCAACTTCAAGTTAAAAAAAACTGATTGAAAGTGTCGCAGCATAGTCTACACATGTTGATCTTAAAGTTATTGGTGTCACCTAAGGGTGTCATGTGTTGGTGTCTTTATTGGTGTCACCAAAGGGTGTCATGTTTTGGCTTCTTTTGTTCATGTCACCAGAGGGTGTCTTAAGTTGGTGTCACCAGAGGGTGTCTTAAGTTGGTGTCACCTTAGGGTGTCTTAAGTTGGTGTCACCAGAGGGTGTCTGAAGTTGGTGTCACCTTAGGGTGTCTTAAGTTGGTGTCACCAGAGGGTGTCTTATTTTGGTGTCACCTGAGGGTGTCTTAAGTTGGTGTCACCAGAGGGTGTCTTAAGTTGGTGTCACCTAATGGTGTCTAGGACCCCGTAGTCTCTGCCCCACATCTGTAAATTGTGCTATCTTTAGCAGACACACATAACTACATCAGGGATCTACTGTGGTACATCTTGTTTTCTAGAACATGCTTTGTTTCATTAATTTTCTTACTACAACAGTTCAATTTTTGCAAATTACAACATAGTAAAAAGTTGACCTAATTGATCTGTGTTTTTAAAAAAAAGGTGCAGAAGTGTAGGATTTCTGTTTTATGATCAGTAAATTATTTTAGTGGTTTACATTCTCAAACAAGCAGTTTTCAGTGTCAACGATTCCATTTTTTTACTTGGAACTTGGAACAAGAATATTGATTTAGTGTCTGCATACAACAAAACAGTTTTATCTTGTTTCATTTTTTGTTTTGGATGATTAAAAAGGTAGTAGCTTGGGATTTATCATCTTTCAATTCTTCATCAGTAAAATGGTTTGTTTAGTATGTAGTAAACAAAGCTAAATCTGTACAGAGAGCTTTAATCATTTTTTCCTTTTCTCCTTCCATTGATGAAAGCTTTTGTTCTGATTGGATGAGACTGTTGAAGCTGGTTTTGTCAGAACATTAAATGAAAAAAAAAACTCACTTAAAATTGTCCAGTATTGATGCTATCATTGACTTTCATCTGACAGTAGGGTTGGCAGTAAAGAGCTTGTCCTGAGTTATATTTATCTGGCAATGCTGTATCTGAGCACATGTGTAGCTGCTACACAGGTGTGCCACCAACTGTATCACTTATGGACAGAGCCAGGCCATATTAAAGCCTTTGTTTGAAATATTGAATAATTTATTTCAGAGCCCTTACTGTACACTGGACTTAAATTGCCAGTCATCTCCCTTGTTGGACCAGGTACCTCAGATTGCAACAAACCCCTTTTGATTTCATTATTGAAAAGAGCTCATTTGATTCTTTTTCTTTCAAATACAATTTTTTTTAACTTCTTTTTTTTTTTTTTAATTTGCTGACTATTTTGAAAAACAAATGCTTTGTTTTATTTATTTTTTAAATTTTTTAATGAAGAGTTGAGCTGAAATTATTATGGGGGTTAAACGAATCGCTATACGTCTCATTTATTTTTTATCAAAATTCACATTTGAGTGTTAACACAACACACAAATGCTTATGTGCCTTGTTACCAATTTGTCATTCACTTTGTGTATACAGCACCTGGTAGAAATATCTGACTCAGTTGTGCTGCTTCTAAACCCAGCATTGTTGTTGTGTCTAAGGTTTTGTTCAGTCTTCACATAACCAGAGCTATAGACTCTCATCTTCTCCTTACATGAATGTGAATGTTTTCTTCTCTGTTATGTACACTTGCAAATATTTGTTTTTTACTAAATTATGTTTTTTTCTTCTTCAAAGAATGTATTCAGTCTTTGTATAGCATGCAAGAAGCTGCTTTTGAATTGTCATTTCTAATTTGCTGAATGCTAAGCTGCTTACATTTTGATTTGAACCAATTGACTTTCAGAGTGTAACAATGGTTTTAGTGCATGGCCTGTAATAAAAAATGTTTACTAAATTATTTCTTTGTTAAACTATTAGAATATGTCATACATATTTTGCACTTAACAGCTTATCATCTGAATTTGAGATTAAACTGTGGAATGAGATGATTTTTTACTGAAGCAAATCCCATGTGAAAAAAATCATTTTTGACCCTTTACATTATAAAAACATTCTTAACTTAAAAAAAAAACAGCTTTAAGAATTAAATTAATAACTCAATATCAAAATATTTAAAAATAAATATTAAAAAAGCTACAGTTCAGATGATTATTTCAAAAGATTTTGTCTTAAGAAAGTTAAGCCACTAGCTTGCCTAAGTTATTTAAATGCTTAGCAATGTTGCCAATATTTTAAGACCATCTTTCTAAATTTCTATTTATAGACTTATTTCTCAGTACCAAACATTTTTTTTTGTAACATTTTGCTTTAGAATTAAATAAATTAACCAAAATTAGTAAGATATTTTTGTATACATCTTTTATTACATTAATTATTTAAGCTTCATTAGATAAAAATTTAATGTACGAATGTGTTGTTTGTTTCAGCGCCCATCTGAGTCAGTTACCTCCATTGGTCTGCCAGCTCCCAACTCACTAAGGGTGACAGAGAAAGCTTGGCTTGTTGCCAGGTGGTACAACTTTGATATGAGGCAAGTCTTAATCTATTCATGCACTGCTTCTATTGTAGCCAAGTTATTGGGCTTTTGTTCCTTAAAAAGATTATTTAAAAAAAAAAGCTGAATTAAGTTGGATTCATATACTATTTTAGCTCAATAATATTTAAGGGGTAACTGCCTTGTGTTATTAATTCTAAGTTAAAATAGATATAAGATGAGTCATTCTGTGAATATTTTATGTTAACGATACTTTTTACTGTATTTAAAATGCAGGTTTATGAAACCCCTGCTGACAAACTGTAGACCAACACTAATGGAAACATTGCCAAAATGTTGTCTCCCTTTTGCCAGAGTTTTCACCACAGATGAGCAGATCTCTCAGGTAGAGCTCTATATTTTTTGCAGATTACTCTACTTTTTGCATTTAAATTTAGACTGGGTTATTCCCCTTTTTTTTAAATTTCTACTTTTTTAAAATTAGATTATTTTACTTTCTACATTTAAAATGTTTTTTATATAGATTATCCCCCCCCCCCCCCCCCCCCCCCTTTTTTTTTTAGGTTTACCTCTACTTATTAAGTGTACATTATTCTGCTTTCTACCATCCATTGTAGATTATCCTAAATTTTGAGGTTAATCTTTTAATTTAAAATGTTGATTATTGTCCCTTTTTAAAGCTGCAGATCTTAAGTGTAGATTATTGTACTTTCTTCATGTAAAGTATAGATTATTCTCCCTTTTTAAAGGTAATCACTACATTTGAAGTGTAGATTACTTCCCCTTGTATTAGTTCCCTCTACATTTCAAGTATGCCTTTTTCTTCATATGTGTATGGTAACTTCACCAGGGAGAAATCCACATAGACGACGACTCAGACACGGATATGATCCTAGACCAGGGGAGCCTGTCTCAGAGTGGTGACTTCATGGAACCCAATGAATCAGGTGGCCATGGTGACAGCCACAACCCACCCCACCACGTCACCCCACCTGCCTGGAACAATAAGGAACCAATGCAGGTAACTCTCGTTAGTAACTTAATTGTCTGTGTTAATTTGATGATTAACTTGAGAAATATAGTATGGGTATCTATGGTATTGTTGACCAGATACATGTCTTGAGCCATGGATAGTCTTTAGAATACAAAGATGGGACAAAGGTCTTCTTGGTTTAGAAGAGAACCAGTGTTAGTAATTGTCTTGTGTTGTGATGAAGAATCTATCTGAGAGATGTACTGTAGATTTGCCCTACTCCCAATAATATTCCGTGTGAAGAAATAGAATGCTTTTGAAATATTGGCCCACCCCAAAAGAAATAAATAAAGGCGTCATCACCTTTTTCTGAATTAAATTCTAATAAAATAAATAAATGCAGACTAATAAAAGTAAAGAAAAATATTTATAAAACACAAACTTAATTAGATGCTGACAAAACTAAGTATAATGAAAAAAATAACCATTTAAACTTGGTTAAGTTTTTTTGTATTGTACTGGAATGAATCAAAATTAGAAAGTTGGGTGCTGTATCAGTTTTCTAATTATTGTTAATTTAAATTTATTTTCCATAGAGTCATTGTTGTTTATTTTAGTTGAGAGCATGCTTTGTTTGTTGTGATTATTAAATGAGGTCAACCTGAATTTTTTCCCCTACCCCCCTATTGCGTAAAGAAAAGTATTTTAATGTTAAAAATGTTGTTTTGCCTGATTGAATGTGTTTTTTTTTTAACACAATTTTTTAATTTGTCGTATAAATATTTTATTTTCTTAGTACACATAACTAAGTTTAAGGGAACTAAGTTTATAAATCAAGGTTATAAACTGTAGTTTGTCACAGATATATATATATATATATATGTATATATATATATATATATATATATATATATATATATATATATATATATATATATATATATATATATATATATATATATATATATATATATATATATATATATATATATATATATATATATATATATATATATATATATATAATTGCATAGATAATACTATTGAGTTGTTTGTCATTACAAAATTAACCATTATATAACCAGAGTTGCCAGAAAAACAATTATTGTGCTGCATGAAGTTTCATAACAACTCCCTTGATACAAATTAAAATATAAATCATCTGCACAAAACGTTTTTTACTAAGTTTTGGCTTAATTAAAATTTCACATGCAGAATTTTTTTTAAAACTCCATATTCTGCACTATGTTAGAAGTTTTTATATGTGATGGGCTGCTGTATTGCTAGTTATTTAATCACTGATTGTTTTACGTTCACAATTTCAGCTGTTGGATGACCCATCTAAGAGCGAAAATATGATGTAAATGTATGTCAACCTGATTATACAACCCAATTCTTTTCGCCCTTTTAATTTACTTATGATTTTATGCCTTTTTTGTTTGATGATTTTTATAATTTCCTCATTATTTTCCTTTTTATTTCCCCTTTGTTTTTGTACCCACTCTCTTTGGTATGGTACTCTAGATGGAGGAAATCATTGTGGAGGATGATGATAGGCCCATCACTCCATGAGGGGAGGTCACCCTCACTGTGGGTTCTCCTTAGTTTGATGCCTGTAATGTAAGCAATTCCGTATAGTGTGTGCTTCTCTCCCTACTGCATACTTGGAAACCCTGTCTTCTATTTAATTTTACCCTCAGTAAATGATCATAAATCTGCTTGTTTTTAAAAGAATAATTTTTAATTTATAGTTGACAACCTACCTGCTTTAAAGCTAAAATTGTATATAACAAGAAAGAACTAGGAAATGCTTTGTGTTTTTTATTATTCCTTTGTGTCAAAAATATGCAAGTTAATTATGTATTATGTGCCTTATTTGTGAGCTTTTAATTAATTTTAAGCCTTAGCTCAATAGTTTTTGTTTTTATGGAGCTTAGTGTATGAGAAAATGGGTTTTCAGTTTGCATAAGGGTGGATCTTTTTTTTTTAAATGTATTCATACTCCATATCTAATCTTTGTTTTGCATGACTAATGAATTGTGCATGAAATTGTGTAATGGTTTGTATAATAAACCATATCAGGTATAAAACATTAACTAAAAAACTGATTAATTTAGCTGAAGTTGACAAGATGTTAAAAATCTGGCAAACTTGCTTGTAATATCTATGACAGTTGCCATTCAGTTTTTAAAATTTATTGCAAAACTGATCACAATTTCTGTAACAATTTTTCTTGTGTGATCTTTTAGCATTGTGCTCGTAGTTTACATTTTCTTTATTTTCTTTCTTAAATCTTGCTTTATAGGTTTAATACTTATAATTTGTCCTAAAATCCTAATTATCTTCTGTATTCTCTACTTTTGTATATTCCAGCATCTTCAAAATTCTATTAAACTAGAAGTTGAATCTGTCTAAAAGTTAAAAGGAGATTCAACAATACTTAAAGCAATATAATTAACGAGCCGACCCGCAGCGTATCATACGCCGCTATTTAGTTGTTTTATTTTCTCCTTTTCAGTAATTCATAATTTGTAAATTCGACAGTACCAATGCTGCCACTGAAAATATTTGCTTTAAAACACTACCCCCCCCCCCCCCCCCACTTTCCCGTAACCCCGGCCCTACACCTCCCCCCCCCCCCCCCCCCCCCCGTGAAAGCAGCCTCCTCTTAGTTATTTCTTAGTTACCTCCTGTAAGTTTAAAATCGAACTAAATTATCTGCCCCTAATAGAAACCCGGCTCTACGGCTCTACGATTTGTAAACATTTAGCTTTGTAAAAATTTAGAGTGGACACCGCTCACCAGACAATGTTGGGGTGGGGTGGGGGGTGGTAGTGATAGTGATAGAGAGAAAGAGAGGGGACTGCAAGGAGGCGCTTGCAGCTTGTTTTCTAACTGATCCCAGAAGAGAATTATATATATAGATTACCTATACTGAACTCATAGTTAACAATACAGAAGTGTTTTATAGATGAGATTAAATTCAGTTAATTTTAGAAGTACAGTTTAGTCTTTTTTATAGAAACTCACCTCTATAACTTTTTTTAATTAGCTGCATTTAATTGTTGTTGACCTCTGACCTAGAAGAGAATGTGAATCACTTAACCTCTGTGTAGGAAGTCTGTTCTTGCTTTCAGTTTAATGTTGCAGAATTTAACTTACTACAGTCAGAGAGTAGGCTTTCAATAAGTTGGTCTCTGAACTGGGAGTTGCAACTTCCTGCAACGGCATGGACAGATGTTTAGGGGGGGGGGGGGGAGAAGAATTATACTTGTTTATTAATAAGTACATTTTCTTTTATCATATCTTTGTACCTATGGTATACATTGAATTAGCAATTCAATCCTTGGTTGTTCTTATTTCTTTGCTGTAAAGTTCAGAAAGTTCTGGATCATGAGTGTTATTTTTATATGAATAGCTGCAAACATTTGTAAAACGTTATGTACAGTTAAGTTGCCAGGGGTGGGGGAGTGACCCACATTTCTTGGTATTTGAACGTAACATAAGTTACAAACGTTTGTAAACTGCTGGCAATATCTTCTATGATAATATTTTAGTTATTGTAAATATAGATTAACTAATAGATGATTTGAGCTAATACCTATGCTTTTATTTATAATGTCTTGCTTTGATTATTATATGATGGTGGTCTTAATGAATGAATAAACAGGAGGTGGAATAGCAGACTTTATTGCAAGGCACTGAGCCTGGAGATTTTGTTGAATGTGGTGCTGGGTTATTTATCATTGCACAGATGCACAGGGCCATGTGTTAACAGCTTTGTGTATTCTGGAACTATTGTTCTAACATCTTGTACATAATGGAACTAGGTTTATTACATGGGTAAAGGGTTTCAGAAAATAGTTCTTACATCTTGTATATAATGGAACTAGGTTTATAACATGGATTAAGGGTTACGGAACTAATGTTCTAATATCTTGTATAAAGGAACTAGGTTTATAACATGGGTTAAGGGTTACAACATGGAAGTAGGATAATAGCATGTTATACTGGGACTATTAGGCTACCTACATATTGTGGGCTGGAAGTTTTAATTAAACAACTCATCTGCTATAATTTATACAAAATATAGTAATTAGGTAGTCCATTTAATTAATTTGGCTAAAGTTTAATTTATAATTCTAGATACATTATTTAAAATTTCAATGCAATGTAAGAGTGCAATAATCTATACATATTTAATTACATGTACACATACATATGTAAATAGTCAGCTTTGTTACACAAATTAACCTTAAATTTTAAAACAAAATTTCTAACCATGAGTCAAGCACATTTAATGCCTCTGAAAAGCCAGCAATAATTCCATGATTTTGTAAGGGCAGGTTTTGCCCTCATTCTCTTTTATCTAGCTCATTAAACTCATCATTCTTTAGTAGACCAACAGCTTTATGATTGGTTGTAAGGATTGTGTAAGGGTTGGTGTCTGTGTGAGGCACAATTTTCTTGAAATCAAATTCTCATTTGATTAAAATTTTCTTATCAAAATAATGATTGCCCGTTAAACGTACTGCAGTAAATTAAAAATAAAACACTGAGTTTGTTAAATAATCTAATCTAATGATATGTGAATGGTTAAGAAATGCTTAATTTTTTGTTTGTTTGTTGATCTGCAGGTAGAGGATCCCCATCTTGGTGACCTTGGCCTTGGGTTAGGGAACCAGATGAGCACCATTCCAATGAGAGTCAACCTGCCCGGCCCTAAAGGCGACAAGGTCTGAAACTACTGAATCTCCTCCCGCAGTTATCTGAGGGCTACGCTTTCTTCTTCACCCAACTTTGACACCCGACTGATTGATATTGACCTCGTTAAGTAGGATTTGTTTTTAATTTAATTAACATTGGAAGATCACCTGACTTTTATTATTTGCTAAAGAAAATATTGTATTGATGGTTTTATTTATAAGATTTGGCTTATCTGTATTTTGTATATAGTAATTTTAAACATACAGATTGGCATAGGTGTTGTGTGTAGATTCAAAGAATCAGACGCTGAAGTAAATATAACTGACGTGTAGACATTCCAAATGTTGTCTTGAACAGATCTAAAGCTGTACAACCCCACAGCTAATTTTGTTAACATTAAAGTATATTGGATTGTTCTCTCCCTTGTCCATGTTCCATACCAGTGTCTGATCATGGAATCTTGGAATCTTCTTAAAACAGGGGTGTCAGGTTATTGGTTGTAAGCTGTCGACTGACATTACGTTATGATGTCAGCCCTAACCAAAACTCTAACCAAAGTTCAACCACAGCACAAACCATAATTTTTGCCCAATACTAAACCTGATGTTAAATACTACCAACAACCAAACCCACCTATTTTTGGAAGAGTCCTTTATCAGACATGGGTAAGGGAAACAAACCCTATCCCTGGTAGTGACAGGTTGATAGTGAGCACTTTAATTTCTGTGATCTGATGCCTTGGGTCCATCTTGAATCAGCTTGGTAGAGAACATTTTAATTTCTGTGATCTGACGCCTTGGGTCCATCTGTGATGTTGTAGAGATTTTTATTTTGTCAGGTCAAACCACATCAGGTAAACTAAATGCCTGAGTTTTGGTTTGTGTCAGAAGCTACTAATTTCATCTCAGTACACTTTTTAATTGATCAAAATAAATGTACAATTTTCTTAACAAAAGATTCAAAATTTTGATATAATATATATATAAAACCAATTTTTTAATGCTTTTAATACACTTAACATAGTGCAAACTTAAATATCTGGACAATTTTACATATAAAATTTAAATCACAAGTGAGCTTTGAATTTGAAAACTTGCCAACTCTCTGTTGCATCATTTTGTAATCAGTTAATATTTTAAAAGTTAATCAATTATTTATTATCCGTGGGACTTTTGCTCTTTAAGTGAAGAAAAAATACTCATGGTGTAGTCTTCGGGACAGTTTCATACTGGGAATCTGACTTGGATTTAAATGTGTTGATACCGTTTGATCTTCTGCTTCTGAAACCATTTGGATCAAGTTGCAGTTTGGTTTTAGACATAAAACTTGTTGCTTGTACAAATTTCAATGGTGAACCAAAAGGAACTTGTGATCAATAAAAAATGTGAAGCTAATTTTTTGTGGAACAAATATTTTAGTCTCAGTGTTTACATTTTTTTTTAAGTTCCACAGTTAGACTTGAAGCTTTAAAAAGAGATGTCCTTGCTAATTTTTAAAATGTCTTTTTAATCCTGTATTATAAAATCACCCCTGTTTTGTAGCTTTGCATCACCGAATATTCAAATGTACATCCACACAAAGATAGGTAGTAAAATGTTAGAGGTGTTAGAACCAATATAATGGGTGTCAGTAGTTAGATTTACTTTGTGGTTCAATAAAACATGGTCTGTTAAGGGAGGATAACTGCAATGTGCATTGTTTTAAATGCATATTCTCAACATTGTTATGTAAATTTTTTTTTGACAGTCAGTTGCTGCGTCAGTGACTTATTACAATTTCAAATATTAAAATATCATTTATAAATCTTTTGTTTCATGAAAAAGTCTATTTCATATTTTTACATTTTCAAATATTAAAATATCATTTATAAATCTTTTATTTCATGAAAAAGTCTATTTCATATTTTTACATTTTCTTATCCACTATGCATACTATCGTCCTTACGAAGATCATAATTATAACTTGAATGTTTCTGCTTCAAAATACTTTTTTTTTTCCATTTGTACATACTTTAAATAGTGTTGATTTATTGCTTTCTGATACTATTTGTTTGCTCAAATACACTGAACTATTTCCCAAAACTGGGATGCACATTTACGTAACAGTTCAGATTTTAACTAGAAATCCTTCACATAAAATCAGGATCTGTGGTGAATGTCAAAAATGTATCCAGCTGTTGAGGCTTGTTTGCAGATGTGATTGATAGAAACTATCAACAGAGATATTGTGTTACATGCTGTAAGACATGACAGTTGACCTTCCATAATGGTTGCAGTCTCGTAGCACCTATAGCAGATTTTTAATTTAACAACCAGTCTTGAGGTATATTTTAAGCTGATTTTAATGTTGAAAATATTTGAGAAATCATGGATTGTCCTCGAATAACAATAGTTTTATTGTTAACTCTATACAAAATGTGATTCTAAAAGTTCCAAATTTACTATCTTCGTATCAAGTATATTAAAAGCTACTTTTTAAAGACAAAAAACATTTTAGTAAGATTTTTCCCAAACTTACACTGCAAATTACTAATAAGAAAGAACTAAAACCTAAACTTGATATTCCAGACCCCCCCCCCCATTCAAACATTTGGCTCATTTAGTAGAGCATTTTCTTTGTCTTAAGTTATCAATTATTACAGTAATTGAAATCATTCAAAATTAATCATTTCTGCACCAAAAACGTGACAATATTCAGTTTTGTCAGTTTTCTTGTGAACCCTGTAATTTTCAATTTGTTGATAGATGATCTTGGTAACCAAACCAATCATTTTAGCATGAGTAATGGAACAATACCCAGTGTAGGAGGACTTTAAAATGGTGGTTATTTCGTCAAAATTTTTAACTGGCATGATTGGTTTATTTTAAAACGAACTAGCATGATTGGTTATGTTAAAAACTCAAACCAGTGTTTCATCTTGTTCATATATCCAATCTACTTTGTCCCCATTTTTTATTTTTTGTCACCACTATTTAATTTTAAATAAATTCTATATACATTTTGTTAATGCTGTACTCGAGTGCTTGAGCAATCTCAAGCTATAAGATAATTAAATAAAGCTAACTAGAAGTTCCCACTTAAGATTTTTTGTCAGAAATATTTAAGTGAACAGCTTTGCTAATTTTGCATTCAGGATTTCTTTTCATGTGTAGATTCCACTGTAATCTTTTACTCAACACACTCTGTTGCTTTCAAAGATGATCGCCAGTGATATATACCCAAGACTTGTCCAACAGTTGTGGACACCGGATAGATGCTTGTGCCTGGTGTTGTGTGTTGTGTTTCAATTTTTCATTTTGGATTGCCATGTTGCAGATCATCAAGACCTAGCTCTGTGGTAGTAAACCTTCGTACTTGTCATCAGTTGCTTTCAGACAATTATCTTGGGAAAGTGTGACTTTCTTTTGTATAGATGTTTTTCATGCAGAAATTTTCCACCATCAAACTTTTATCAGACACTGGACTTCTAGATATACAACTATTGATAATGCGAGATGCTAGTTCATTAACAGCAGTTTATACAGTGTTCATCTGCTTTTTTCTTCACCATTTTCAATAATTAACTTCACTTAACTGATAATCATTTAATCAGTAGTTTTCACTAGTTGTGTGTCAAACGTATAATTAACAGTACTTGTAATGCCACACTTAATTAAAGCACACAGCCAATGATGTATTTAAAATCTGTGCATCTTGTGTTAGATGTTGGCTTATATTTGCTTGTCTGTATGTCTAGGTATCAATCAAGAGGCTCCATACAAGGTTATTGCTTTTGGTATTTTCTGTACTTTAGCTTGCATGATGCCTTGGTATCAGTCAAGACCTTGCACCCATTCATCTTGCCTTGATTTTTGCTTTCATTTCTCTGTGTCAAGGTATCAAAAGGTCCCTGCTCATTCCTTAAATTATTTTATTGGATTGTTTTATAAGGGCCATCCAATCATGGCATAAAAATTTACTTTCTGCTATTGTGAGGGTAGTAATATACACGTACAATAATTTAAATGCATTTAGTTCAAAGAAATGTGATAACACATACGAGGTAGTCTAATAGTACTTTTTTTTTCTCCCCAAGTGTTTACTAGTGTAAACTGATTATGTATAATAATGAATTATTTAATGGATATTATAATTAGATTAAACCTATTATGACCAATTATAATTTGCTTCGATGTTTATATTAGACACCTCTGTCACCAATGTCTTATGGATAACCCTAAGGTGATAGCAAATGTTTACATTCATATGTCTGGGGTGGGAACATCCCCCAGCCACCCACTCATTTCATCCATATCCCTTGATGACTACTAACATCACCTAAAAAAGAAGACTGACAAAGTTGACATTTTTTTGATAATTTGAAAATATTTTTTCCGAGTGTTTGTAAAAAATTTACATTTTCTACAGGGTGTGTTGAATTTTAAAAATTGTGATGGAGACAGTTATATTTTTTTTCTCAGAAAAGGGAAATTTTTAATGTAATTTAGATTTTTAATTTTTGATTTGGTTAGGAAAAAAAATTGTCACATGAAATTTCATTTAGTTATAGATTCTAGTGCTGGTAATCTTTGCCAGTTATTTAAAGTAAAAATAGTTAATTTTCCCAGGGTATTTTTACACACTGATTACTGCAAGGCAATTAAAAATTATTTTGATGCTTAGTGCCTAAAGTATATTTAAGTTTAATAATGGTAATAAAAGTTAAAAATATAGACATGTTTTATGGTAATTGTGAATGTATAGAGAAATTTTATTTGGCATATTAGCCCCAATTGATATTGTCACTAATTGATATTTATCCTTCTTTAAAAATCAATCTCACTGCTACATTTTGAGTTTTGTCTTTGTCAATGATTTTATTAAATATTTCATCGGATATAAAATGTGGGGCCTAATGAGGCAATGATAACTTTAAAAGCTAATCTTTGATCAAACAGCATTTAGTCAGGTGGATATGACTTCTGGTGACTGGACCTGACTGTGTGCTGGTGACTGCATCTGACTGTTGCTGGTGACTGGACCTGTGTGCTGGTGACTGGACCTGTGTGCTGGTGACTTGACCTGACTGTGCTGGTGACTGGACCTGACTGTGTGCTGGTGACTGCACTTGACTGTGTGCTGGTGACTGGACCTGACTGTGTGCTGGTGACTGCACTTGACTGTGTGCTGGTGACTGGACCTGACTGTGTGCTGGTGACTGGACCTGACTGTGTGCTGGTGACTGGACCTGACTGTGTGCTGGTGACTGGACCTGACTGTGTGCTGGTGACTGGACCTGACTGTGTGCTGGTGACTGGACCTGACTGTGTGCTGGTGACTGGACCTGACTGTGTGCTGGTGACTGGACCTGACTGTGTGCTGATGACTGGACCTGACTGTGTGCTGGTGACTGGACCTGTGTGCTGGTGACTGGACCTGTGTGCTGGTGACTGGACCTGACTGTGTGCTGGTGACTGGACCTGACTGTGCTGGTGACTGGACCTGTGTGCTGGTGACTGGACCTGACTGTGTGCTGGTGACTGGACCTGACTGTGCTGATGACTGGACCTGACTGTGCTGGTGACTGGACCTGACTGTGTGCTGGTGACTGGACCTGTGTGCTGGTGACTGGACCTGACTGTGCTGGTGACTGGACCTGACTGTGTGCTGGTGACTGGACCTGACTGTGTGCTGGTGACTGGACCTGTGTGCTGGTGACTGGACCTGACTGTGCTGGTGACGGCACCTGATAACAGCTGCTTGCACCTGACTGGGTGCGGGTAACCACCTGACTGTCGACAGCACCTGAACCTAGACTAGACTGCCTGTCTGTCTGTCTCTCTCAGCTCCACCTCTCCTGTTTGCTGCCCAGTCAACTTTCTACATAATCCCAGTCTGTCAAGGATTTGATCCAGGAGCGGCAAGTCAAGCCACCTCCTTAGACTGTAACCATCTTTGTGTCCACTCTCTAACCAGTGACCTTTCTTCTCTCTATTTCTTATCAGCTAACCAAAGGCACACAGCTATTATTAGTATGATTTCAAAGATATCTTTAAACCAATCCCACATCCACAACTTATCACTTTAGAGTTTGACTGTTGTTGTCAGTATTGTGGTTCAACCTTACCAGCTGTGGATATGGCTAATGGATTAGAACCATGTTTTGTCTTCACACATTCCTGATCACTGGAGTCATGCACTACTAGGTCATGCACCACTTATTCCAAGGTCAATGTTGGTGCTCACTCAAGCATATTTTTCCATGGGTTGCCCCCTGCCCCCTCCTCCCAATCTAAAACAAGAAACAATGGTTTGCTTGTAACTACAAAAGTGCTTCCATTTTCTGCATTATTTTTTTCTCTTCTTTTAAATTATTTCCCTTTACACATGCACCTTAAATTCTGTATATCGTGTGACTATTTGGGTTAACATCGTGTGTCATGTGACCATATGGCTATTTATAATGTCTAACCACAGAATGCGTGTTTTGATGAAATGTCTTTAAATAGTGTATACTCATTAAACATCTCCACAACATACGCGTGTATTCATGTTTTGTTTTGTGAGTTTGTATTGAGTGCTGGTATTTTGGCTGATGTGTATTTGGTTGTATAGTTGTATGGTGAGCTCTTTGTTCATATTGTGTGTGGGTGTGTTGGTTCGTTTGGTTGTGTGGGTGTGCTGGTGTTTTGTAGTAGTATTGTTCTTACAGAGGGTTGGGGGCAGAGGCGTAGCGAGGGGGGGGGGGACATATGTCCCCGGGCGCCGACCTTAGGGGGCGCCAAAATGGGTTGGAAAATAAATTGAAAGTTCGAGGGGGTGCACATCGAAAGTTCAAGGGGGGGGGTGTGCAAATCGAAAGTTTTTCCCCGGGCGCCGGGAAGGTTCGCTAAGCCTCTGGTTGGGGGTGACATCATTTAAATTTTATGGAGTGTCAGGTCTGAAACTGAATAGCGCCCTCTTACTTTACCCTGAGTGGGACGGCGTGGTCTGATGGTAGATCATACGACTGATAACCCGAAAGTCTCGATGTCAAATCCACGGGTTCGTGTCCGTAGAACGTCCCTGAATCCCCTCAGCTCTCTCAGAGCTTGCGTCAGGGAATGTTAAGTCGACTGGACGTCGTGAAGACCATACTTTCTCTTTCTATGCCATGGTCACAGAAACAGGTGAACTCTACTTTACCTGCCCTACAGACCGTTTTACCCACCCTGCCCATACTTAAACCCTAAACTTGACCTAAGCAGTAGTACCGACCTCTAGCCTGTACGTGGTCATCCATCACCGATCTCACGCTTGTGTAGGAGACGATTGTGACCTTCACCCACTCCCATTGTCACATGTCACAAAAAGCCAGACCATCCCCATAAAATGTCACACTTCGGTCTACCACCCCTCTCAACACTGAAGTTTTTAATTTTTCTTTTAAACCACGATTTTTAAAATAATACTGGCTTAGTTAGCATTGATAGACTTGTTATAATTGTTGTACCGAAGAAAGATAATTCCTTGAAAAAAAAAACCCGTTAAATAAATGTCGTAGCACTTTCTAACACCCCCCCCCTTCTCTCTCTCCCATCCAACCCTCATGCAAACCTATGAATGCGATGCTATGCAGAGTTTCTTGGATTGGGGGGGGGGGAGAGAAATAGAATTTATAAATAAAATATATACCTCAACCAGAGGCGTAGCGGGGTGGGCGTGCGGACCATTTAAGGGGGGTTTCACTAAGAAAAAAAGCACATACACATTTACGCGTATGCGGCATCTATTTACATTATAGGCCCATGTAGGCCGACACAAACACACACACATACACACACACAGACATATATATATATATATATATATATATATATATATATATATATATATATATACACACACATATATATATATATATATATATATATATATATATATATATATATATATATATATATATATATATATATATATATATATATATATATATATACACACACACATATATATATATATATATATATATATATATATATATATATATATATATATATATATATATATATATATATATATACTTTGTTTCTTGTTGGGGGAGGGTGACACCAAGAAGTTTCAAGTGCCCTCCACCTTCAGAGATATGTAATCAAAATTTGGGAGCTTGACTTATGTAATCAAAATTTGGGAGCTTGACTTATGTAATCAAAATTTTAGCCTACATACATTTTTTTTTAAATTGTGAACTTTGGTCAGCTGCTAATTGACACATTGACCTAGATAGATTACATCTGCTCATGATTTGTTTATGGTTGTCACGTGATGATTGTTTTGTTATTAAATCGACAGACACAATGTGTAAGTGTTCTGTATTGATCAGACAAAAACCAAACAATTGGTGGGAGCGCTGGAAATTCCAAAACTAGAACTTAACATTAGTGTACAAGAGTCGCCAAGAGTACAGTAGTAACGAGGCTTCGCGGAAACCCATGTAAAACGAAGGAAATACGCGTTGAATATACCATTGCTTTTCTTAATGTAAAAAAAATAATTTAAAAATTTGCATCGAAGTAAAAAAACGATGTAGTGATTTGAGATTAAACATTATATTATATTGCAAGGGTATACATCGAGTAGAAATGTGAGCAGAATTTCTTCCAGGCATCTCTTCGGGGGGGGGGGGGTGTCACAGCCCCCCCCCCCCGAAGAAAGTCTACCCCCCCCCCCCCCCCCCCCCCCGCGAACGAGATTGAATTTATATAGTAAACATACACTTTCTCTAGTGTCCGCCCCCCCCCCCTTCCGAAAAATGTTAAAATGTTGACCGCCCTCCGGAGAAAAAAGTCTGAAAGAAACACTGTCAACCAATGGTAAAATCCTTAGCATTGACCCTCAAGAACGTCTTTACAAAATCTAAATGAAACAAGGGAGGTTATTCCGTAGATATAGGAACACAGAGTTTTATAATTCAGTATTTCTGTATTGGTTATGGAATAGATAACAAGAGTATATAAACTTTAAAAGTTTGAGGTAGTCCATAAATTACATTACACATTTTACCTGTAAGGGATGGATGCGAATTTTCGTGACAGTTTAGTATATTTTCAAAATAACCTAATAACTTACAATCAAAGCTTCTACTTGAAGATAGTTGTGACAGTCCTCAGTATTGTTTCTTGGCACATTATTAAAACATTCAGTATTTCATTTATGGAAGATTACACTATGTAGAAGTAAACCATCTTAATGAATGAAAGTAGGCTACAAGTGAGAAAGAAATATTACTATTGTAAATCTGTATCAGTCCTCAGAAGCCGATGATGAAAATTGAAATAAATTAATGATTTTACGACACTTTAACAACATCTATGATTAGTGATTGAAATAAAGTATTTTCTGATGCTAATAAATTATGTTTTTAAAATAGCTAATGTTTTCTATTATATCTAGAGCCAAAAAAAAACAATACTAAAATCTTTAAAATATTAAAAATGTTAAACAAACCGCACAGCAAACTAAATTTTCTTAATTAATTTTAAAATAAGCAATGATAAAATCTTTTATGTTAATACTACTGAATTTCTCTGTATTTCTAATACATTTTTTGAACATATTAATAGTTTTTTTCCCCTAGTTACATTTGTATTATGAAATGGGAAATAACTAGCTCATTTTAATCTGTAATGAAAAATAAAGTATTTCTATTCTTCAAAAAAAAAAAAAAATTCATTTATGGAAGACAGATTGTTAATATTTTCTATTAATTCCTCACGCTGTTTATATTGTGCAAAAATTCTCAACAAAACTGTAAAAACACCTAAGACTATTATGGTAAAAAAAAAACATGTTTGTATTTCTTTATTTCTGGTTATCGTCATTTGAATTGTTGATCGTTTTTTAGTAATGTTCACCATTTTGTTCATGTAATGATAATTTTTGTTAATGTTTGAACTATGTTAAATACACACTATGTTAAGCACACACACATTTGTATATGTTGATGTAATGATTTCTATTTGAAAATAAAGATATTAAAAAAAAATTATGGAAGAGTCTTTCGAAGCAATGAGACGCTTAAACATTCAAGTTCCAAATCAGACATAACGATCTTCAAAACCAGATGAAGTTGAATTGACCTTAGCATATGAAGGGATAGCGTGGTCAAAACTATGACCAGCCGCCTTTACTTTACCAAACGCGAGTCAGGTACCCATCATAGCTGGGTGGACTCATAGACGTCAAGCAGCCCCGAGATCCGAACCCGAGACTTTCGAATAGCACTCGACCACGCCGTCTCATTAGTTAGGATTAATTAAGGGGATAATAATCGGGTGATTTGAGTGAGTACAGATCTTGCTGTAGCTCAGCATTCCTTTAGCCCGTGTTTTCCCAGGTTTTCGGTAAGAGTGATGGAGCAGGTCCAGCAAACGGGTACCCAGCATTAGTTGGGTAGGGACTGAGATAACATTGTGCTCATCACTGTTATGTGTAGATTTGGACAACCTCAACTGAAAGTGAAAGGTCAAAATGTGATAATAAAAAAAAAAAAAAAAAAACCGACTAAGCGTTTTACTATGAGATTACAATCACATTAAACTTTTGATTGTCTTGATTACAGCTGGTATTTTGTTAGTCTTAACGTGACAACCCAGTGATACTTTGTTCGTCTAGATTTCACAACAAATTGAAATTTTTGTTGTTCTAATTTTGACAACAAATTGATACTTTGGTTTCGTTGTTTTGTAAAATAAATAAAAAAGCAAAATAAATAAATAAATAAACCCCACCTATTTATTTATATATTTTAATAATATATTCTTAAAAAAAGTCGCATCTCTCTCTGATCAAATTTCCCCTATTAAAAAACGTGATTCAACATTTACAAAAACTGAAAGCTCTAAGACTTAAGTAACGTTACAGTAACACGCCAGGGCTAAGACTGATAAGACCGTCTACGATAAAACATGGGACAAGTCTGGTTGTTGTTTTTTTTTTAAATGTACGATTTAAAAAATTACTTATTGAACAACATACTAAACAAAAAGACGTTTTTATTATAAAAAATGAAAAGTGCAGACAAGAAACATTTCAAACTGGATTTAACTGGATATATTAAAACAACCAACCATAGCCATCGTTTTAACAAATCAACCACTCTTATCTTTTTTTAGAAGAGAGAAAAGATTTTTAAAAATCGTCATGTGTAAAATGCTAATGTGCGTGTTTTAGTTCTGTCAGTGCATGCGGCACACGCTAATTGCCCAACCAGTCAGGAGTTCTAGTACCAAACTGTGCAGTAGATAAGGAGCTGAGTTGTAAGTACATCAAGTAGATTCAAGTAGAATAAGTAGACCACGGAGGGTAGATTTTTGTATACACGTATGTTAAGTAATGATTAAAAATGAAAAAAAATTGTAATAGGAGTTTGTGTTATTATAACTATAGCGTTTAAATCTGCTTACACACAAACCTACAAAAATACATATAGATACACATACAAAATTAGAAAAGCAACTGACAAAGGCAGGACAATCTTGCGGACTGCCAAGAAAACTACCAGAGACTTGCAAAAGTGGAAAGAGATTTCTATGGCGGCCGCATGTGCCTGGGGCACATAATGGAAAAGATGATGATGACACAATAATAAAAAAGTGCTCCCATAAATTTTGCGCGCACAGTAAAAATGTTAATTTGTAAAATTGTGATGCTAGCAGGGAAAGAGAGGTAAACTAAAAGAGTTTTAAAACTATTTTATTTTGTTTTTCAGTTGTGTCCCATCCATCAGACCCGGCAGAATGATCGCCCTTGTCGTACTCATGTCTGTCTCTGCATGTTTTGCAGCGCCATCTTCAGGTGAGAGAGTTCCAGAGATTTAAGGAAAAAAATCAATCAAGTTCTCTAAAATTCTGGATTCCAAGTATTCTTGCATAAAACAAAACGCACAATTTATTATTTCATTTTCAGAAATATTTTTTTTCCTCGGATTTGACATCAATTGCAAATTAAAGCAAAAATCCGCGAAAATTGAAAAGAATTTCGTTGATTATGTTTTTGTAAGTTGCCTGATTTGTTTAACACTACCTGTCCCATTTTGTTCTTAAAGGAAAAAAAAAAAATTCGTGTTGAGCGCGCTGAACAATTAGGTAAAAAAAATGCCCACAAAATTGTGCAGTAAAAAAAAAAAAAACATTTAAATAGCCTAAAATTAGGGTAAAAACTCGAAAATTGTTTAATAAAAGTAAAAAAAAAAACAAAAAAAAAAACGGTTCAAAGCTCTCTATCATCTAGGGAAAACTAGGAATATAATCCTGAACAAATCAGAAATAAATTAGGCTTGACCCAAACAGGTGGGGAAAGGCATCATTGGGGCACAGATGTCAAGGAATGGGGAAATGACCAAGCATTTTAATTTAAATTTTGGCGAAACAAATATAGAATAATTTGTAAACTATTAGGATCATACCAAGACGAGTATGAAGATTAAAAAAAAAAAAGACGAAACCAAAATGTTCCCACCCAGTGGCGTAGCGAGGTCGGGTGTCACCCGGTGCGGCACTTAATGGTGTCACCCCCCAAAAGCGTAGCGACCCTTCCCGGGGACAAACTTTCAATTTTCGTTTTGCACCCCCCCCTCTCAAACTTTCGATTTGCGCCCCCCTCAAACTTTCTATTTGCACCCCCCCCCCTCAAACTTGCGATTTGCACCTCTTAAAAGACTATTTAACACTCGAATTAATCACTTAATTAAGTGTGATTATCATTTTTCTCTATATATTTTGCTATTTTTTGCCTTGGTGTCACCCCCCTAAATGATGTCGCCCGGTGCGGTCGGTACCCCCCCCCCCCCACCCCTAGCTACGCCACTGTTCTCACCCTTAGCCAAGTTCTGCACTTGGAAACCTTAGCCTTGAAGCACAATTGAAGTCTGGAACACCTTCATAGAGACTCGTTTACTTTTCTTGTTTATAATAAAATAAAAAATTCCGTATGTACTGATATCATCCTACTTTTTAAAACTACCAATTTATATAAAAACCACCCGTTTCCAGCTTTTACAACAACTACAGTGTAACTACACCCCTCCAGTACAGATTTTTTTCCATTTTCTCGGGAAGGAGGGGGGGGGGAATAGAGAAACATGGAAAACACTCGTTAAAGAGTATATATTGTATATATAAATTATAATATTTTTCTTTTACTACCGCCCTCACCCCTGAAAGAGATGCCTCTCCCCCACCCCCACTCGGTTCTGTGATAACCTTAAAATCGGATTCCCCCCCCCCCCCCCCACCCCCCACTATTAATTTTGTGTTATTTTCTCGGTAAAGTTCCTTGTTGGTTTATAATTTCACGGTAAAGTTCGTTGTTGGTTTATAATTTCACGGCAAAGTTTGTTGTTGGTTTATAATTTCATGGTAAAGTTCGTTGTTGGTTTATAATTTCACGGTAAAGTTTGTTGGTTTATAATTTCACGTTAAAATTTGTTGTTGGTTTATAATTTCACGGTAAAGTTTTTTAAAAGTTTGTTTATAATTTCACACTGAAGTTTTTGTTGGTTTATATTTTCACGTTAAAATTTGTTGTTGGTTTATAATTTCACGTTAAAATTTCTTGTTGGTTTATATATTTTGCCAGTGCGCAGCAGAAAACAGGATTCCTCCGTTGATCCGGCGTTGTATGGGGAACCTCTGACACACGAGCAAATCATGCAGCTGATCAAAGATCACAGTGAGTCAGAGTTAGAGTTTAGGTTAGAGTTAGAGCTACATACATGTACACTTATCATTGCCATAACTTAATAGGTTTGAGTTACATACATGTACACATAATCATTACCATAACTTAATAGGTTAGGCTTACATACAGGTCCACGTAATAACGGTAATACCCTTATATTATTAAGCAGTGGCGTAGCGAGGTCGGGTTACCTGGTGCGGCACTTAATGGTGTAATATATGGTATATATATATATATATATATATATATATATATATATATATATATATATATATATATATATATATATATATATATATATATATATATATATATACATCTACTAGGCTTGAGTTTTCAAAAAACTTCTGAATTTAAACGATTAATTTATTGGTGGTTGACCTAAGCTTAACAAGTCTGTGTAATTGAAATCCTAATTAACATAAAATTGAGTATTTGCAAAGTTATTACTCACAATATTTTTAGAACTGCAAAGGCTTCCTTAAAAGTAGAAATCATATATTATATTAAATTTACTTTTAAAATTAATGTTTACAATTTCAGTACATTACATTACTTAATTTATAACGCAATATTTATTTAAACGAGTGCTATACTTTGTGACGTTTGTTTTTTCTTTAAAAAAGTAAAAACATTATTTAAAAATTATTACTTAAAACGTTACCTCCCCTTTATACATACCAAGTGACGTAGTCTGTTTACATTTTCACCATTAATTGTTTATAATAAGAAAATACGATATCTGGACAAATCTAACGATCCTAAGGGGTTTATCCGACGGGAATATTGGTTTTTTTTACCCTCCAGGGTCGGTCTACGACCTCACAAAATATCAAGGGGGGGGGGGGGGGTCAAAAAAGCTCATATAAGGCGCCGGTCAGTCGAGGTCAGTTTTGACCCTCTCTTCGTGGACTTTGCGGCCAACCGGTACCGGCCCCCGTGTTCTATTGCCTGCCAAATTTGAATTTATATAAGTAGGTATATACGCTTGTGTATGTATTCACATTTTTTTAATGTATTTAATTTTTTACCTCCCCTCTCCCCCATACATGGATTAACATAGAAGTTATTACCAAAAAGTTTACTTCAGGCATATTTTGCAACGTTGAGTTAATGTAACCCCCCCCCCCCCCCCCCCACGTCAATTGCTTTAAACTGTGCTCAGATATAATACTAACGATTTTTATCTATATAAATACAGCTTGATGTGGCATGTTTTCTCTATCATTAGCAGGTTTAAGTCATGGTGTCAACCCCCCCCCCCCCGCCCTTCCACCCTTATCGGGATTTATCAAATTTGCTCTTAAAAGACTATTTAGCACTCTAATTAGCAACTTTTTAAAGTGGAATTACCACTTTAAAAAGTTTATATATATATATATATATATATATATATATATATATATATATATATATATATATATATATATATATATATATATATTGCCTTGGTGTCACCCCCGTAAATGGTGTCACCCGGTGCGGTCCGCCCCCCCCCGCCCCCCCCCCCCCCCCCCTCGCTACGCCCCTGTTATTAAGTCAGGGTTAGAGATTTTTTTTAGGCTTACATACAGGTCCACGTAATAACGGTCATAACCTTATATAATTAAGTCAAGGTTAGAGTTTAAGTTATGGTTGCATTTCGCCCGTTGACCCCTATTTCTGCCTGCTTTTCTTTATAGATTTGTTTCCCTAGCTTTTGTCACACAAGAACAATCAGTTAGATTTTAGAGTTATCTCTCCTATGTGGGTTGCTGTTCTTATCTATGGAGCCACACCTGCAGGGGTCACCTCACTGACCCCCATCCCCTTTGACCCATAAAGCTGTCACACGTGACCTCAACTTTCTCGTAACCTTTGCTGTCCCCAGCTAGCACCAAGAGACAAGGTCTTAATCCAGATCTTTACGGCCAGCCTTTGACCACCGAACAGATCATGCAGCTCATTAAAGATCACAGTAAGATCTTTATATAACTCTCGCAACTATAGATTTTAATCTGTCTACCTAAATAGGCTATTCATTCGATGTTATTAACTTTAGACTATAAATTATCAAAACAAACTGAGCAGTGTTTCTTCCAGACTTTTTTTTCCGGGGGGGGGGGGGGCGACACACTGGTTAAAGTATAAAATTTTCTATATAAATTCCATATCGCCCGGGGGGGGGGGGGGGGGCGGTAGACTTTCTTCGAGGGGCTATGCCCCCCCCCCCCCCCCCCCCCGAAGAGTTGCTTGCCTGGAAGAAACTCTGTAACTGATTAAAAATACGACAAACTTAAATAACTTAAAAGCCTTTCAAATGCCAGTATTTTTGTTCAACGCCTCAATTAGACAACTAATATAGACAAATCCAGATTTTAAAATTGTTCCACTTCAATAATTAATCACGAGCTATTTTTTTTTTTTACAGCCGGCGCCAAAAGACAAACTCTGTCATTATTTGGTGACCCTTTGACCCACAATCAAATCATGGACCTCATCAGCAGTCACGGTAAGCGTAGACATTTTTAAAGTAGGTCACACGTGCCTTGTGATTGATTTTAAAATGGCGGGAAATTTAAAATTGTGTTTGTTTAAATTAGCAATAATAATGTTTAACGTATTAGTTTACTTAAATAATAAATTGGAAGTGGCGCTGTATAATTATTTTCTTCCAGAGGCGTAGCGAACCTTCCCGGCGCCCGGGAAACGTTCGAACGTTCAATTTGGCGCCCCCCCCCCATATATTTTTTATGTTTATAATTCAAATCTGCAGCTAAATTGAGCTTTTAATTTTTTTTCCAACCAATTTTGGCGCCCCTATGGTCAGCGCCAGGGGACATATGTACCCCCCCCCCTTTCGCTACGCCTCTGTTTTCTTCTTCACTACTGTTTAAATAGGTATAAATCAGTACTTGGCGATTTTGTTTTGTTCTCTGGTAAAATTAGCCCCCCCCTCACCCCTAGCCAATCGCACACTTCTGCGTTACGCCACTGACAACGACCTCAATCTATCACAACACTGGCCAATCAAAACTAAAGCATTGATTGCTATCGTTCTCATCGTTTTTAAATGTCAATAAATTTACCAAGGGATTTTCTCATGTAACGTAATTAACGATATGACACGCACCTTCCATGCATAATTAATTAGCTTGCATTAATGAGTAGCAGATCATTTCCGCTTTTCGATTATGTGCTGGAGATCTCTGGAGCCTCGATTAGTTGGTGGGAATATTAATCCACTAACTAATCTTAATCCACTGACTAATCCTAATCCATTGACAGATCTTAGTCCCAGTGGCGTAGCGTGGGAGGGAGGGTTGGACCGCACCGGGTGACACCATTTAGGGGGGTGACACCAAGGCAAAAATAGCAAAATATAGAGAAAAAAATGATAATTCCACTTAAGTGATTAATTCGAGCGTTAAAAAGTCTTTTAAGAGCAAATTTGACAAATCCCGACAAGGGTGGAAGGGAGGGGGGGGGGGGTGCAAATCGAAAGTTTGAGGCTTCTGGGAGGTGACACCATTAAGTGCCGCACCGGGTGACACCCGACCTCTCTACGCCACTGCTTAATCCACTGTCTAATCGTAATCCACTACCTAATATTAACCAACTGTCTTATGTTAATCAACTGTTTAATGTTACTCCACTGTCAAATCTTAATCGAATGTCTAATCTAAATTCACTGTCTAATCCAACTCCATTTTCTAATTTTAATCCACTAATCTCTAATTTTACACCATTTTATGATTGTAATCCTTTCTCCATTTTTGCTCCATTTTACATTCCCTATTTTTACAATGAGTTTTTCTAATACATGATATGAAGGGTGTACATTATATGAAGGGTGTACATGATATGAAGGGTGTCCATGATATGAAGTGTGTACATGATATGAAGGGTGTACATGATATAAAGGGTGTACATGATATGAAGGGTGTACATGATATGAAGGGTGTACATGATATGAGGGGTTTACATGATATGAAGGGTTTACATGATATGAAGGGTGTACATGATATGAAGGGTGTACATGATATGAAGGCTGTACATGATATGAAGGGTGTACATGATATGAAGGGTGTACGTGATGTAAAGGGTGTACATGATATGAAGGGTGTACATGATATGAAGGGTGTACATGATATGAAGGGTGTACATAATATGAAGGGTGTACATGATATGAAGGGTGTACATGATATGAGGGGTTTACATGATATGAAGGGTTTACATGATATGAAGGGTGTACATGATATGAAGGGTGTACATGATATGAAGGCTGTACATGATATGAAGGGTGTACATGATATGAAGGGTGTACGTGATGTAAAGGGTGTACATGATATGAAGGGTGTACATGATATGAAGGGTGTACATGATATGAAGGGTTTACATAATATGAAGGGTTTACATGATATGAAGGGTGTACATGATATGAAGGGTGTACATGATATGAAGGGTGTACATGATATGAAGGGTGTACATGATATGAAGGGTGTACATGATATGAAAGGTGTACATGATATGAAGGGTGTACGTGATATGAAGGGTGTACGTGATATGAAGGGTGTACATGATATGAAGGGTGTACATGATATGAAGGGTTTACATAATATGAAGGGTTTACATGATATGAAGGGTGTACATGATATGAAGGGTGTACATGATATGAAGGGTGTACATGATATGAAGGGTGTACATGATATGAAGGGTGTACATGATATGAAGGGTGTACATGATATGAAGGGTGTACATGATATGAAGGGTGTACGTGATATAAAGGGTGTACATGATATGAAGGGTGTACATGATATGAAGGGTGTACATGATATGAAGGGTTTACATGATGTGAAGGGTTTACATGATATGAAGGAGGTATATGATATGAAGGGTGTACATGATATGAAGGGTGTACATGATATGAAGGGTGTACATGATATGAAGGGTGTACATGATATGAAGGGTGTACGTGATATGAAGGGTGTACATGATATGAAGGGTTTACATGATATGAAGGGTGTACATGATATGAAGGGTGTACATGATATGAAGGGTGTACATGATATGAAGGGTGTACATGATATGAAGGGTGTACATGATATGAAGGGTGTACATGATATGAAGGGTGTACATGATATGAAGGGTGTACATGATATGAAGGGTGTACATGATATGAAGGGTGTACATGATATGAAGGGTGTACATGATATGAAGGGTGTACATGATATGAAGGGTGTACATGATATGAAGGGTGTACATGATATGAAGGGTGTCTGCTGAAATACAAAGATAAAACAAAGAAAAACATATCCTTTCACTCTGATCATCTAGCCCAGTCCATTTAAAAAAAATTAATATTTATTTTTTATTTTATTTTATTAATCAAATTAAAGCCTATCAGTCAAAGAAAAGTATATATCTAAGGTCAATAACGTAGGCAAATAGTTCAAACACATATGATCACATCTTTTAAAAGACTTGCGTTTGGTATTGAAGAGGTGCCCTTCACTAAACCAAACTCATATTGTTTAAATAAATGCATTTTACTTTTTCTTTAAAAATAGTTTAATAGATTTCCTTCCACACAGTTCACTCCATTCGAGCCAGGAGCTTGCTGTGTGGATAGGTGGCATGTTAATACATTAAAATACATTGAATAAATAGTATTGCATACAGCTTACATTAAAAAAGAAAACAGTTTTCATTTCTTGACTTTTCTCTTGTAGTTTTTCTTACAATTCCTGTAAAGTTCTTGGGCCGATTCTTGTGTTTGAACAATCTTCAGTGGATAGTGGTTGATCTTCGTCGGTAGTTGTAATTGGGACGTTCTGAAGTCTTAGAGTGGTGTTGCTTGAGTTTGGGATGTCGAGTTGAAGTTGGGACGTTTTAGAGTGATCGAGATTTAATTTCTTTGCTGCTTAGTAGATGGGGGTTGCGTTATCGTTGGTTGGAAGTCGCAAGTTGAAAATATCAAGTTAGCCACTCGTACATAGAAACCATCTAAGTACTTTTGTGGCTCTTCTGGAGAGCTTAAAGCGTACGAGGGATATGTGGGCGTAGTCTTGGTTTACTTGTTCAGTTGAGTAGATTTGACCGCCTCCCGACCTGCACTGATGTTGGCCATTTTGATTAGTCGGCCTTCTTTAGGGGAATTGCATTTTTTTTAAATCATTTTTTTTTTCTTTTTTTTAAATAATAGATTTTAAAATAAATTTTACAAGAGAAACTAAGCAAAAGTGTAACGATTGAAGATAACGATCAGCCATTTAAAATTTTTATAACTATATAAATAAATCTATAATACGACTAAGGGTTTTATGTTTTAGAATGCCGTAAAATATTTACTAAATAATTTATAAATTTTAA